TTTTTTAGGTTTTAAATAACTTTACATAAAATTTACTATCAATTTTTTTAACCTCTATGTATGATTTTATCCTATCAAATTTTGACTAGAAGTCAAAATTTGACTTATAATTAGCTACATTTTAGAAAAATGCATTTGTCAAGTTTTCTTTTAAGACCTTTTATAGATTAATTGTATTGATTATAAATATTATGGATTCAAGACCTGAATCAAAAGGGAGATTTTTAGGAGTTAGCTAGTTGCAATATTGTTGAGTTTTTAGTGTAATTTTTTTGTTTTTGATGATACAATTTTCATAAATATGAATCATATATTGCTTTATTGCATTGACGAAGATTTTCTTGGATTTGAGGATGTTTGCTTTGAGGATTGCATGAGGTTGAGTACTTTCTTGTCAATATAAAGAGGAGTTTTAAGCTCTTAAATGGTTTTATCCAAGTGAAAATAAATTGCAGAATTGATGGTAAAATGCTGAAGAGTGCCAAGATTATTTCATAGGATTAGCATCCAAACATCATGGAGTCGATGAAATTTATATGCTATTTGTGCATTCCAAGGTTGAAAACTTCTTGAATAACCAAAATTTTGATATTTTGGTCATTCATGAGGTATATTAATACAAGAATTAGATCTTACAAGAATACATGCTTTGATGAGTGACATCCAAAATACATATTTCCATGTACTTGTACTGGTAATTTATGTGGTCCTTGTTAAGTAATCACATGTGTTGTTGCTGGTTGGAAAATAGGTTATTCGTTGAATTAAAAATTCCAATAACAATTTGAACTTTCTAATTTCCACAAACCGGAAGTAAAAGTCATCCATCTCTTTCAGATGTTAGCATAACGACGTAACACGGGGACCTTTGGAAAACATAGCCTCACCTCATCTACTGCATATTCAACCCATAAATTATTATTTGGAGAAGAAATGGGCAGTCTGAAAAGGATCGTATTAGTGAAGTGGAGCTAGCATGAACTCTCCATATAAAGCGAATATATTTAGAATGAAATGCTTTTGGGGGGAAAGCTCCCTCGTCGTGTGAAGTATTGAAAACTAGCGTTACGAAGCTGCTAGCGATAGTCTCATCATTAATAGCCTCCGCTTGTGGTCGATGGACTCAAACAAAGATATGTCACGACAATGGTGTAAGGGTTGGCTCTTGAAACTCGATGGCGGGAGGGATTTTGATTCAGTCTGCATGACAAGCAGATCCTTTAATACAATGGTCAGTAGATGTACAGAATGTTATGTTATTCTGGGAATTCTGTTCTGACTGAATCCTTGATCTGACATTTCTGTTTGGAATCTGTTTGGGCAGTGAAGGGAGGTTATTACTCTATCTTGGACTACAGAATAGAATCATCGATCAAGGTTATGAAATTGTTCTTTTCTGCCAAATCTTCAGTTCTAACGAAGTTGGTCTAAAACATAAATTGAATTACTTTTCCAATGCTCTATGTCAATATAGCATACAATATCTTCTTTTGAACTTTTGTGAATACAGAGATGCAAAAATAAGATATAGAACTTTGAGTAGATCATGCAACTTAATGCAATATTTTACATTCCTGGAAATATAATGGATAAGCTGGACACGACGTCTTTCAAGCCTGGATATGGTACTGTAAGCCAAGACTGTACCAGGTCATCCGTTAGAGAGCCATGACTAGAGGCGTAGCAGGACTGGAGATACAAACGGGACCAGGAGTTTGAACACTGGCTGTCTCACTCCACTGAACTCTTCCTCTATTTATACAATTTCCCTGATCACCAGCTCTCCCACAATTAGACTCGAGACTGCGTTGCAATTACACGGGCTCCAACAGTTGTTCCGGAGTCTCCAGGTCCAGCTTTATTTCTCGGCTGGAAGTCCAGACAAGCGGGGGCGCACACGAATTCGAATCGCCTGCATAAGAACACGAAGACCGACAAGTGCGAAACACACAGGAAATATACGAAGCTGGCAGAAGCAGTTTCAGATCTGTTCCGCTTAAACATGTGTGTAGTCTCTTGCATGGTGCCCAGCTCCTGCCTGGCATGACAATATTGATCCATGAAAGAGAGTGCTGATAAAGACGTCGAATTAAAATCCTCAAAGATCCTGTCTACTGATAGGACCAGAGATTCTTTTAGTGCAGGAAAGGGTAAATGAAAAACGAATGGACAGTGTCGGCGGATGTTGCATCAGTCGATGATTGGGAAGATGGAGTGAGTGCTTACCGGGCACGGTTATCAAGTCGGATATTCTGATGCACTTAGTCAACGAAAGGACAATGTTTTCTGCAAATAGTAAACACGAAAAGCTTCTTTCTGAGCACAATGTTCGACCGTCTCTTGCTGAGAGTCCACTTTCTACTTCGTTTGTAGGCAAAATTTGCTCATTCCCAGCTGACCGAAATTAATCACCAGACCTTGAATCCGGCAGTGTGCGAAATCTTCAGACAGCATGAACCTTCTCTCACTTGATTCACAAGTCGCCGATCGACCCACCGTTAGGAGATTCCGCGCACGGGACATTCCACGTTCATATTTTGGTCAAACGCATGACATTTTACAAGAACAACAACAACTGCCATTCTTTCTTATCTTTCTTGGCGTCGAGAGTCAATCGAATTCTCATGCGGAAAGGGAGGTTTGTGAAGATCCTCAGACTGGAAGTGGGCCAGAGAGAGCAAGATGTACGAATTGGGAAATAGATGGGCCACGTGTCACAAAAATCTTCTCGATATAGAGTACCGGAAAGGAACTTTCCGGTACATATCAGAATCACGTCATCAGCATTGTCACTCGGTAAAAAACTTTGGTATATCGGATCTGATTTTGAACTGTGGAGGTAACGAAGACGAAGATGATATTGCGAATTTCGCCACCGGTTTGACGTGCCACCAGTCTTCCCTTGTACTAGTTTATAGTGCTGTGGTAACTTTATCATCGTCTGTCTTTCCTCGAGAATTACTGCTGGTTTGTTTGGCAAGGGCCCTCTGTTCATTGCAGCTTGTACGTTTCAGGACATCGGGTAAGAGCTGGAATGCACCCGCTACGTGACTTCACCTTCGTTTGAGTCAAAGTATAATCTACCTCCCACTATCATGCTTATCTCCAGCACTCTCGTTCGAGATGCTCGTTTTAGATCAGCTGCAGCTGTACTCTGATACGAACAACGAAGAAGAGGCCAGATCGGGCGTATCACATGTTGCACACAGCAGCTTACTGCAGTGGATATCATGCTTCGGTAAAAATTGAGCAATCAAAGAGGGGTGATGATCAGGTGGTGAGCATGACAGCGTGCAATGTCACATTCTGCGGTTCTGTAAAGAGCAAGACACAACATCTACCCATCACCTCCTTACCACTTCCACCACATCTCGAGGCGAATGTCATGCTGACGTCTGCTGAACTAAGCATCTCCAATTCTCGTGAGATCTCCAATTCTCGTGACTCATCTGTGTAAGAACGAAGTTACTCTCGTCAGCATACTCTGATGGCGTGTACGTTAGTAAATCGAGCTCTGCCTTGGGCTTCAGAACGGAGCTACGTACTCACTGCAGCTTGCAACTGCTTGTACATGTGACGGAATTCACACTTGAATAATTTAGAAACAAGAACTGCTACACCTCAGAGTAGAGGAGAGTAGAGGCAGAGGAGGTCAATATACAGCGCATATGACCGATAACTACCCTGTGACCATGAGATCACATTCAGAGTTGACTCAACTGCACTCTCACTCACTCAAGTACATGGTAGGACCGCTCTGCTCCTGTAAGATCTTGATAAACAGTGTCACGGAAGTTCTTTGGATTACAAGTATGAAGCAGTTTTCGTAAAGTTGGCTTCTCTGATCAGTTCATCGTGTGAAGTCAAGCCATGATCCACTACCCTGGGTCAGACGTACTTGCAACACTTCCTGCATGAGCCTTTCTCTAGGTTTCTCCTTCTTTCGAGAATTTACTTTCTTGTATTGAATGTGCTACATAATTTAGCTGAGTGATACTAAAGAGAAAAAAAAACAATATTTCTGTGAAAAATATAATCTTTGCAAATATTTTTTGATACAGAATTGAAGTCGACCTGTTATGAACGTCGAAATTGTTGGCTGCTCAAGTTCATTCTCGCATCGTTTTACAGGAGAAGTTAGTAAGTCGTTTGACGTTGTGGCAATAATAATTCCTTTTAATATTAATTTCTCATTAATCAGGTTCCCATCTTTAGCTTGGCAATCCTGAAACTGCTCCGTCAGTCAGCCTTTCGCCCAGAGCTGAAATTCCCCACAGCTGCCACCTCGTCATTTGCTCAGTTCTGACGAACGGAGGTCAAGTCGTTGACTTACATGTCGGCTCCAACGTACAGAGGACTCGCTCGGTCCACGGAGGTCAGGTATGGTCGATTCGGATCATTTTCATCTTGAACCATGCATGTCTCGAGATTATCCGAGGCGTCGAACGACTCGTAGGAATCGATCTCTCAGGCCAAGAAATATGTCAGCGATCATTTTTTCTCCCGTCGAAGAAGGAAATCCTGACCGGCCCATCATCTGAATCTAATTTATCCAGCACTACGATCAACCACAAAAACGTACAGTCTGCGAGTCGAGTCTACGAAGACTCGACTTGCAGGAGCTAGCCTCACAGTCTCTTCCCGGATCGGTGTGGAAAATTTGAGCTCAGACTCCACAATGATATAGATATCACAGCAGCAATGGGGAATCCGATCGGCTGAACTCGCAGAAACCAACACTTTGCGGACCCAGGACTGAAAAAATCTGAAACCACGAACGGAACCCCAGATCAGTCCTCGAATTCTAAAGAATTTTCTCGGACGGCGACACTCTCGCTGCGATCGCGGTGCCGAGAGGATCCGAACGGCATGGGATGTCCGAAGCCAAAACAGCACTTGCTATTGCATGCTATTGCATGCTATTGCCAGCAATAGCAAGCACAGCCGCAGGCCCCTACGAGAGCTGCTTCGAGCGGACGGAGGCAAGCGTCCGTCCAGGCTCACGGACGGTGTTGACTATCCGAAAAACGGCTGCCGGTCCATGAGATCTGCGAAGGAGGAGGTGCTGGTGCATGGCGAGGGGGGGCGGGGGCGGGGGAGGGCGATGCGAGGGGAGGGGGAGGCTTTTGCCACGATCGGCAAAAATCCAGAGCAGCTGCGCGGTGCTGGCCGTCGTCGTCCGATCGCCGGGTCCTGTCACGTCGGTCCACGTTGCGGTGCCAAGCTCTCGCACCTTGCATATTCTAAATTCGTACGCCGACTGCGGTTGGCGTATCTTGTACTCTCGAGCAGGGCCGAGGGTCGAGGATCTGGCTCACTGTGTGCTTGGGACCTCATCCCCAAACTCTTGGCAAAGCATCCGCTCCCCTCCGTTCTCCCCTCCTCTCTCTCTCTCTCTCTCGATCCGCTCGTGAGGATTGAGCTTTTCCGTTCCTGTTCCCTGTCGCGGGGGTAGCAGCGGGGGTAGAGCAGCATCGACCCCGACCGCAAGAGGAGGAGGGGGCCGGAGGGGAGGTGGGGGCTCCGAGGGGTATTTAGAAGGGCTGGGGGGGCGTGCGGAGCGTTTCGAAGAAGAGTGCAGCATCGCAGCTCGTCCTCGATGCGGAGCACGATCTTCCGGAGTCTTGGTCTTGGGCGGGATCGGGACTGAGGCTGCGGAGCGAGGTTCAGGATCGATTGTGAGGGACGAGAGACCATGGAGCGGGGGGCTGCAGATGCGGTCTCGGCCTTCGGCGACTCGGACTTCGAATCGTTCCCCTTCCGTCAGTACCTTCGTCCGGTGGAGATTTGTGTGATGAACACCAGCGTGGTGAAGTTTTCCGTGTCGTTCGAGGTGCCCCCCAACCCTAGTGACGAGCAGGAGTGCGCTTGCATCAGCCGGAATCAACCCGATTTCGGCACGATTGCCCACGGAATTTACCTCGAGCTTGCAGATCGTTTCAGGAAATTGACCTCATTTTCGCTTGGATTTCTCGGCGAGTTTCTTGTAGGACGATCCGGCATTTTTGCTCCCGACGCACGGAGCAGATGGTAGCCACCCCTCTTCTCTCGAAATTATGGGACCTTGCTGCTTATGCGCGCCTCGTTTTGCTGGGAATCCACTCCTCGTGAAATCGGGTGAGTGCAGAAAATTCCACGGCGACTCTCTTGCCATTTTGGCATGAAAGGCTTTTGGCTCGACAGTTGTTTGTGGTAAAAAAGATGTGTAGAAGAAAATCGAGGATCTGGAGAATCACGTTCAGGAGAACGGTTCCAATTTCGAGACCTTGTCTTGTCTACTTCCATGCGGATTATCTGGTGGGAGGTGGGAGGTGGGAGGTGTGAGGTTTGAGGGAAGAAGGTGCTTCTTTGGCAAACGAGTGCACCGACCGTCCGAGCATGGCGACCCTAATCAGCGACCCCTCCAATTGAATACTGTAAGCAGAGAGGCGAAGTGCGCTCTTCCCGACGGTGACGAGCCTTCGCCCTCTTGTCATCAGTGTGTACAGAACCCCGTCGACACAACCACCGTACGTCGTGTAGATATTTGTGTTCTTGGCATGTACAAAAATATCAGTCCAATTCCATCTGTATGCAGAGGAGTGCCTTACTCATCTACGCTGATGCGATGCAGTATGAACTGCTAGCGGGCTCGCAGTTCATCCATACCGCACTGGATTCTGCTAGAAAATAGTCCTCCATGTGCCAAGCACTGGATTTTGCTAGAAAATCGTCCTCCATGTGCCAGCGTTCTCGTGTACATTTGTAATCTGTAATTTGCTCCAGCTTTTGGAGACCTCAATCAATAATTCTCAGCTGACGATGTCCAACGAATTACTGACATCGACCTTTGTGAGTTGATTATCAAATCCACTTGTCATTCGAGTCCCAAATCTTAGCAGAGTGACCACGACAGTCTTTGTTCCCGTTGCATCGGTATTCAGTTCACTCCCAAATACTCGTGGCATGCCCAGACACAAAGCATCAGTTACTTCGACACGTTTAACCTCGAAACCTTCGAGTCATTGCTTGAAAAATCCTCTTCCAACATCTTGTGAATGTGTCACTGTAAGGTGTGAACGAAAGCTGGGCAGCGGACGATGCATGGTGTACTCCCGGCAGTATAAAGTCGAAGTTATGCATGGCACGAGTGTATATTGCGGCATGCATCATTTGCAAAATTATAATTTTGATACAAGTATATGGACTTGTTATATCAACGGGAGCCCCACATATATTGCATTTTGTAGTAGTGTTTAAATTATGCTTTACCAAGTGTAGGGTTTGTGGACACATCGAGTAAAGTGAGAAAGGATTAAAAAGTGGTCATTAGTAGTCTGCAAATTAAGGATGAATATGATTCCCAAGGGTGGGGTTTGTGGACAACTCAGGTAAGGTGTGAACTCATTAAGTAGTGTTCAATTTTAGTGTGTATGTTGTGGTGGATTGTGATTCCCCAGGGTGGGGCTTTGTATGGAACTTGTGTTCGGGAGGTAATTAGGGTTTAGCGAGAGTGTAGGTAATTAATTAATAAATTAATACTTAATTAGTTAATCTGTGAGAGACACCGAGGCTCATTCCTAAAGTGATCTCTAAAGAGTTATACACTTTACAGTTGTTTTTGTCGAGACTGGAATTGAAAATTTTTCTTAGAAGTTGAATTACATACTCAAATCTGTCATTGGAGTGAAGACCATGACAATGCAACGAGTCAACCTAGTTTGTAACCAGAAGGCAAGCTGCGAAAATGCATACGAATCAAGGTCTTTGGAATTCAGGACTCGGAAAGCTCTGGCTATGTTTCTGCTGGATGCGGTTTGAACCTTTGCTACCCGAGGAATAACCTCAACCATCTTTGGTTATGATCGAGTATCCGAGATCTTCCACTGCGGTCAACAAATGCTTCTGAACAATACAACATTGTTGTAAGGACGAAACTTCAGCTCAATTTGTTACACTCGAAACTTGTAATTCAACTCGAAGTATCGGAAGGGTTCTCAGCCTTGACCAAATTTCCTACACTGGCATTAACAAAGCGTACGAACATTCCGTTTCTGGGCTATGATCCAAAGACAGAGTGAGGCTCTTAAACGAGTAGCTCAGACTTCCATGTTGAGAAGTAAGACTGATATGTGGACAGACCTAAGCAAAGGCCATCAGCTCTATGTAATCAACAAATGTGGCCTGGGTAGGATTAAGTCTCCAGATGGCAGTAACTCCCCACGGAATTGATAACAGTTTTAACAAAATAAAACTAACTCACCTTTCATCCCAATCTATGTTGAAGCTGTGCTGCATTTCACGGGACTAGTGATGCATTTCAGGTGCATGATGGAGTGAAGTTATCCAGTAGTGAAGTGATGGTAGTTTCATCTTTTGCCGCGTGTGTTACTACAACCAGAGCTCAGCCTTGGGACGAGTATTTGACATTTAGTGGATGACAAGGGAAAACGAATGACTACATGAATTAGGCAAATATTGCGTTCTACTTGGCACTGTGTTGCGTGGCTCCCTATTCCAAACATTCCTGATCCTGTGATATCCCTTTTATCCCCAGCGTTATTTCCCCCCCCCCCCCCCCCCCCCCCCCCCCCGCTAAAATGCAAAGAGCATGAATTTACGAAGGTGTCTGCATGTGCAGCAGTTTTAGTCCTCTGTTTACGGCCGCTGCCATTTCACAATTTAAGCATGGTCACGGCCCTAACACGTAAATGAAAATATCACAAGTTCACTCCACTTCTCCAGTTAACACATCGAATCGCATGACCTCCATCTTTTCAAGTGATTCAACATATGAAATCATAACATTTTGGTCACGGGAAACGTACAAAGATGGAATCAGCTCGAAATCGTGAGGCCTGAATAACTCACTCTGCGGACCAAGGGTTTCCGTTCCGTATCATCGAAACTGAATTATGTATGATTGAGTCCGGAGCAACAATAGTATAGGGAGTATATCCTTTTGCCAGGTAAATGTCCACCTTATACAGTATCATCCAATCAAGTGTCTGAACCTTCCATGGTCCATTCAGTTTGGCCTTATATCTGCCCATCAGCACCCAGTGCTTGGATTGCCTCTCAGAACCACCGATTGCACTCACAATCCAATCTGCTAGTGGTAGTTGTCTCATCTTTTATTTCCTCGGTTCTCAAGCCGATGAAGTTAGGTCAGACTCGCCGCACAGATGTTAACATCCAGAAGCTCTTTAAGAATTCTTGACCGCCGTTTTTTATCAGTCTTCCTTTGTCGTAATCAGCACCTTGATTGAACTTGATGCAAGTATGAAGCTCAGTCATCGAAGTATATCGTAATAACATATTGAAACCTCCGATGCAATCTACAGTCAAACGTAACTGGAGTCGCTGTCATAATAACGCAAACTTTCAACATATGAGAAGATTTCTGCAGTGAAAAAGCTGCTAGCATAGAATCAGTTGATTTCTCGGTGCAGAATGCATGCTACGACATCAGACAGACTATTGTGCAAGAATGGATTGCAGATTCTTGGTTTTTGCCTCTGCCAGCTGTTAAAACTTGTAATGGTGACCTTACGAGTAAAACTTGTACATGCAGCTCGTACACGACGTCCAGGCAAGAGAGAGGCCATCAACGCTTGCGCCGGCCCCCTGATTTGCCAGAAGGTTGATTCTCCCACGACAGGCTCGCTTCTTATTGTTTACAAATGTTTCGGCCCGTGGAACATTCAAACGGGCCCTCAAGTGCGTGATCAGCTCTAAAGGTTCTCACTTTCTTTGAAAAGCTGGAGATCGATGGGCTATAGCCCTATCGTCTGGATAATTCTCTTTTACTATCATGTGAACAATGATTCCATCTCCTTGATTTGCTTCTCAAGTATGTTCAGTTTCTGATGAGCTTCGTTGAATACTTTTTGCACATGACAGTGAGTAGATTCTGGGTGGTTTGGACTGTCTCGTAAATAAACTGTCGTGGTCTCTTTCACCAGAGTAGCTTAGACTTTTCATGGATCTTTATGTACGTTTTCAAGGACTTTCTGTTCATAGAAAACTCGCATGAAATCCATTGGGAATAGCTGTCTATCAAGATTAAGGTCTTAGGGTTTTGTGGTTTCACGATTGGTCACATGGTTACGGTTCATGTGACTGGCTCAATAAGATTTGATTCTGAATACAGAAAGTATTCAGAATTGTAAGCTTGTGTTTCTTTATAATAGATTGACCTATTTTCATTTTAGCCATTTCATAGACGGAAGGGAAATACTTAATTCATGATTTTATTCTATACTTATTTTGTTTTAAGGAAGAGAGGTACTCTTATGGGCCAAATAAAAAAATATCCTAGAAAATAAAGCACGAATGATTGTTGCCTACTTTGTAACGAAGAATTTCGGAACCAAAACTATTGTTTGTATCTTAACTGCTGTAGGTAAACTTGGGTAAACTTCAATCATCTCAATCATTGGATGGGTGTTCCTGTTGTTACTAGCAGTTATTATTTTTTAATATCTTGATGATATTATTATCTTAAAACGTGAATTTAATAGAAATTTATATTTGCAATCATATTGGGCTCAGATTTTGCCTATTTTATAGAACTTTAAAACATGTATAGTTTGCACTTTCTTTCGTCACAATTGGTAGTAGAGCTAAGGTACATATACAGTGAACAATGCTATACTTGTATTGACTTTTGAAACATTCGTCTCGTCCATTCATTTCTGCATTCAGATTGTATTTCTATACCTCGTTTACTATATCTTTACGTAGCTTATGCCTTGTTAAGGCCTTGTTTGAGAAACCTCGAACATAGTTGTGTCTATATGCAGAACTTAGTTTGTTTAATCAATTGATTCTCTACCATCTGAAGAGATAGTAAACTTTTATTTTGACTTTTAAGTATTATTTTTTGCCTGGGAATCAAGACTATATAAAAGCTCCACATGAATATGATCATGAAAAAACGTGCCACAATATCCTCGCAACTTGCGAATGAAGCCACATCTAAGGCTACAATAGGCGAAAATTTGAAACCCCGTGGTGGATCTGCCGCTAGAGCCGGTAATTCTGCGGTACAGTGGGCAACTGATTGGGCCTAGTAAAATTTTTGGGAACACTAAACACTACAAATGACTCTCCACCAAATATCGACACAAATTTCTACATCTTCCATTAAGTCTCAGTGGTCTCAAAATGCAATATTGGAGACAACTAATAGAAATGGTCAATAATGTACATTTTGATGATATCAACTGGTTGTAGACATTTGAATGTTGTATTTACTAGGCATATGCGATGAACGACAGGCAATCCTTTAATCAATCTCTAGTTTGATATATGGGAATGTGAAATTCTTAACAAGAGATGCATGGTAGTCTACAAGTGTACTGAGTATGCAAGTCCGGCCTGAACGTAGGCTCTGGATGTGCAGATTCTGCACAGATTATGGCCAAAAATATGACTCTTTCGAATTTATCAGCACGTCCTTGTGGGGATGATACCCTCTCTGAATTTGTCTCTTACCACTCAAGGCTTTGTACCTCAAACACAGCACCGCGTAAATTATTATTTATGCGTCTCCAGTGGTCGCACAACTCTCTGTGTAGATAAATACAGCGTTGTATGATGCTATGTCTTTGTCGATCTCGGGTTGTCAAGGCGATCGTGAATTCGCATAATACATATGCCAGTTTTCTACGCGGACCATATCCTCCCGGCTCCACCTCCATAACTTATGACGTAGTCTTGACATTTTCTCTGAAGCATAGTATCAAGGAATCCAAAATGATGTCTGTGCCTTTACATCTACGAGGCCTCAAATCACGTCAACTGTCTCATCCTGTCATGTCCTTCACGACTGTACAGTTTCATGGGTCGATACGTATTGGTTCGGTCCTCGTCTCCATCCTCGCACAAAGCTCTGCAGGAGACGAGAACTTCCATACATTCTAGCTGTCTGGATCTGAGAAATCTCGACGTCCTGCTCTAGAGAGAAGTACCTGAGAGGAGGTGACGTCTGGTGGTGCATCCAAAATAAATGGGGAACTCCTTCAGTTCAAAACTCTTCTTGACTCATGCTTTTACTTCTATCGATGAACTGCAGCACCCTGCGCCAACCTATTGCGCAGAAGAAGTGCCACATCTAGACTCGAGCTACACAGAGTAGTTTGAGCTCCTAAACTCCAATAAACTTCACTAATAACCCTTCAGCATGCAACGCACGTGCATTATCCTCGCTGCCTACTTATCGTAGCAACGGTGAATGGCAAAAACTAAAACTATGCTTTGAGATCTCGAGCTCGGACCCGTCCTGCGAAGAGTATGGAGCTCCGTGCAAGGAACTGAATTATGATATGAACCCAAAAGGCTATATGGCTACGCTTGTTTCTACAAGTGTCTCTTCGTCTTATCATATCTACCATTCAATTGCATGTGTTCCTCTACATCTGCTTTCCCATCTAAGTCTTCGCGATCTACAAAGGGGATCTGATTGGGTAGGACATGATGTTGCAAGCTAATAGGTTATCAGTTTTCTGCATACATCAATTGGAAAGAATATAAATTTCTGTTCTCTCCAAATCGCAGATGTTAGCGTCTGGTCAACTTTTGCGAGTTCGTAGTTCCATTATTTCAGTCATTCAGTCCACCACTGAATATGTTAGTGTCTTCATCCGACTGCCATGATCGTACGATTTGAGTCAGACTGACATCTTTGATCAACTTACCCTTTCAAGCGACTGTTAGAATGTAGCGGATAGATCTTTGCGAGATGTAAAGTGAAAATCTATCAGACTTTGTAAACTACAGAGGTCATTCAGTTGAGTTTGAAGAAACCGTCAAACTGAATCTGGCTCTAGTTCCAAGTGTATCCTCCGCACATGGTACGTGAGTCGGCTGGCTACAAGTTACTAGCTTTACGCCGATAGGTCTGAAACCGAGAGAGGTGACCCTGCGAAGCAGATGGTGATCTTCGAAGATGCATTGCATATTAGATCGAGCATTACAAGCACAATTCCACATAACTCAGGTAGGCTTCATCGCAGGATTCGATCAATCGCTGAATTCGACGGAGACAACCAAAGAAAGGATCACATGAATAGCTATGGGTACCGGCCTGACTGTCCATAATGAGTATATCGATGAATCTTGGCAGGGGACAGGATTCATGTCATGCAGCGGATTGGAAGAGGCTGATTTCTTCACCACTCCTTCCAGTTTTGTGAGGCTAAGGTTCGATGGAACTGCCGGAATTGCCAGCATTGCATAACGACTTGTGTGGAAAGACATGTGGAAAGCGTTGGGTCTCACCCAAACGACTGCCGAGGATAGCTTTAGGACGCCTACGATTAAGGGTCTGAGTTCTGTGGAAGATGGAGAACCGTCTCGGCAACCATGCATCAGCATCAGCGATAACGCCAAGCTCCTGTTGAACAGCACAACTCCAGGGCAAGCGGTCAACGACGTGATCCGTCGACAAAATCAGTGTGAAGAGATCGCTGGAGGAATTGCAGGCGCTATGGGCGCATTTCGAAGGCGGAGAGAGAGCCTGGAATAGCCTCGTTTCCTTTCTTCCTCATCAGATGACCATCCATGTGCCCGGACTGAACGTCAGCAGCCACACTGACGTCCAGTCCAGTACGGCGACAGGAACGATCCAGAGAAGCTGACGGCGGCGATCTATGTGGTGAGCTGCGCCGACGGGCACGACAGAAGGATGCAAGCTGACGGCGAAATACAAGAACCTCACGAGCACCATCAACTCCGAAGCCTGTCATGAATCAAGTCTATCAGAGTCTTCGGAGGTGGAGGAAGGAACAGGCGATGGCAAACAAGCGAACCAAATTGCCCTCGTATCATGCCCATAACTAATATTGATAATGACGATCCGATTCGTTCCGCAGTAGGCCGGAAAGGGGAGTGAGTACCTTCTTGTATCCGTGGCTATGAGAAGGAAGCGAGCAAGAGCAAAGGCTATTTCAAGTTGAAGAATCAACAGTGCTTAATTGCGGGCAATCCGATCAACGGTGATAAGCTCGGTGGCTATCAGCTGGACGACTCAGGACTGTCTCACTCCACGAATTGGATTTTCGATTTAGCCAAAAGGTTAACCGTTTGTGATTATCATTCATTATACATGGCACTGTATTCCTCGATGACAGATCTGTTTGCGTAGAGTTCTACAGCCTTGTTGTTGCTCCAGACATTTCAGGAATTTCTTCCAACCTGGAGATGACTTGTTGGAAAGAGTGTGAACATTGTCCATGTCACTTGCTCCTGCATGTAAAAGACAGATCCAAATTTGGACACACGACTCAATTCCAAGACCATTTTGAACACGGCTGTGACTCACCAAAATTCTCCCTTTTATTCCGGTTTATCTTAATAAAAGATCCTATCATGCGAAAGTTTGTGAATTTTGATTCTGAAAGCGTGTTGAATTTGATGAAGGTAGGACACTGAATAGACAACAGTGAGGTTCTGTTGTCTTAACTGTGCAAGCATTCGCCTGCACAGTTAAAGGAAGTCCAGCTGCATACTAATACTTGGTCTCGGTCACACGAGTCTTTCGGAAGACAATCGTGAGTGTATTGTGATCTGATACTGATCGCAGTCTAAGAGTTGCGGTTATTCATACTTATTGCCAGTATTTCTTGTGCTGCAAAAGTAAAAGTTTTTCCGGTAATGTAATTAGATTCAGGTTGGAGCAAGAAATATTAATGTAATGACATTTTAGTCTCAATTTAAATCTGAGTGTGATCATGCAAGTTTTGGTCATTCATTTTCTCCTGCTGCACCCCAATCAGACAGGCTCTGAGATCAGTACTTGAGAAATCGTCATAACTTCAGACTAGATTAGAACATGTCAGAGAATTGATTAGTTTTGGGGGATGTTACTTCAACTGGTCTAAGCAGGCTTAAATATTCGTTAAAATCTATTCGAACCAAGCCCAAGTATATGGAAATATTTCACGAGGAACGTAAGTATTGCAGTTTTACTACGGCTAGGTGGAATCTAAGCCAACTCATTTGTAACGAAAGGAAACCCTTGGCATTTTTCACGTAATGTTACCCTGCCTAAATTGTTTACTGTACGTCGTACTTTCTGATCTCAGTGAGTTTTTGCAATACTTTACAATCTTTGTACGATTATTGTGGCAGGCCTTGCGCCTTTGCCAACGCCAACCTTGGCACTCTCACATATGGATTCCTATACTTGCATGTCCCAACATGATCATAACGTGAATATTGAACTTCAATTACCAACAACACCAAGAAAAGAAGAACGTCAGCTTTGAACTATTGAATGAAGTTTGGACGTAATGAACTAATAATGAAATAAGTTTTGACGTAAAAATAAAAGGCAATTCCCCTACAATCGGCAATGCACAAGGGGTATGACATGCAACGGAAAAATCTGCCAGGACCTGGTATTATGTCCAAAGAATTTCGGACGTGTCAACACAATTTATGTAGTTAAACGTGAACATATTTATACTTCCAATCTAAATTTATCTATATTTTCGATTGATATGATAAGTGTTGAAAGCTACAAAAATCCCTTCTGTTCTCCTTTTCACATGCATAGTCATCAGAATATCATCCATGAGTGTAGGGAGAGAAAAACTTTATGCAGCTCGGCAGGATATTTAAAATTTGGCCCCTCGTTATGATCACATAATTCTAGAAATTTTTAAGAACATACAAACCACCCTCAGACAGAAAGACATCAAAATACATAAATACAGATTTAATTTTTTATGGTACAGCTCAGTTGATCAAACTATTCGAAGACTGTTCATAGTTTATCAACCGAATTTATATATATATATATATATATATACACACACACACACCGCGTGCTCAGTTTCTCGTGGCTAGGGTGCTCGAGGCTGGAAGAGCGGGTCTAAAAATGGAGAAAGAGCTCGAGGTCGACAGGTTGACGTTGCCCTAAGAAGAGCAGTAAGAAATTGAAATCGAGGCCAGGGCAGAGGTAGGTACGTATATATAAATAATTATATATATTATTTCTTGGATAAAACATAGAATGAGAGACAAGTCTCATTCATTTAAGGTTGAAAGTAACACTTTTTCTAAAAAAAAAATTGTTTGATTTTTTGATACACGACAAAATTCAACCTTTTTTCTGCGTTTATTGATAATCATGAACTTCACAAGTTTTCAGATTGAGATGCATTTCAGGGACCCGCAATGGGATGGACAAGTCTCCAAGTTATACTTAGAATGGAACGTGCAATGCCTACGATCATCAGTATGTTACAAAATATGAAGGCATGTCATTCCAAATTACTTTCTTCTATATTTGTATTTCTTTCAGTTTAAAAGCTTCATTCGCTAAATTGGAATTGACAAATGCTTGGAAATAATAATATAATAAATAATAATTCTATTATAATCAAAAAATAAAAAAAGTATAGATGTTAAATAGAAATCTTTTTAGATTGATTTTTCAGCGGTAGTTGCCTAGAAGATAAATCTTCTGTTTGATTGCTTTTCTCAGAGTGAAAAGTAGATTACTTCTGTGTATCAGTCTTAATAGCTGTCCCAGAGGGTGTGCACAGTGCACAACTATCATAACACTTAGTAAGAGATGCTGTACAAGCAAATTATAGGGTGAAAGTTAAAAAAAAATGAGCTCGAAAAATCTAAAACCCATCGACTTTTCGCTTTGGAACTAGCACTCAACTCTTTCACTCTCTTAAGAATAACATTCCAGTTTGTAACTAGCCCACAACTTCCTCACTCACTCCAGAATAACATTCCAAATTACTAGTGAGACTGAGCGCTCGATCAGAATGTACTGAACCAAACCAAAAATCATCACGTGGGCACAGGAAGGTCGGGGGACGTGTGAGCGTACATATGTCACCATAGCAGCTCAAATGTCGAATCTGCAAGTCAACGACTTAAGTAAGGTCCAGTTGCTTAAGTAACCGACAACCTTCTCAGAAGCAGAGTCAATGTCACGATGCTACGAAGCTATAAACGAGTACAATGATTCAGTCGACGAGAATCAAACTGCTTTTCTATCATGCAGGAAAATGAAGCATATTCATGTCCCTGTAGTGCGAACCATTTGGAACCAGGGACTGGAATATGAAGAAAGCTTTCCTCTCTCTGTTATTCTTTGGGATCCTCTCAGAACTTCTCAAATGAACATAAGATATTAGTTGACTGTGAAGGTATATTCTGGCTACAACGAACTGGCCGGGTAAGGATCAGCATCGGCAGCAGAAAATTATTTTCCATGCAATAGATACCAAAGCGAGGCCAATGCCAGACGAATCGTCGACGTTCCCAGATTCCTCGTCAACGAAAATCCAAACGTTGAGACGGCATGGCCAGAGTGAAATTCTTCAAGCTAAGAGGGGATTTATTCTTGTTTTATGAGACTACGAGGCCGCTGGACTGACGACCAGCGGTGCTTCAGATCGAGAGAGGTTCATGGGAGAGGCTTAGACTAAAACTCATACGTTAATTAATTCTGAGAATTAAAAAAGCTCCTCGAGTTTACTTCAATCATGGGAATGCAGTAGACGGTCAACCTCCTCCGCTACGTCAACCGAATCGGAATAGCACCCGCATTGGCCCCAAATGGTCACGCACCTCCGTCTGAATTTGATCCCATGCATCAGACGGTCAGCCATGTCGTATTCAGATGCTGGCGATAGCATGCGGCTATGAGATCACTGCAGCCATGACTGAATGTCCGGCAGACGGTGTTGGGAGGGAGGCGGGGGCATCCAAATCACCCAGCTCTCACAAGGCATCTATGCCCGAGCTCGTGATCACCTCGTCCTGGGCTGCTGCTGCTGCTGCGTCAGAGTGTCCTTGATGCAGCACTGTACGGTGGTGGTGAATGAGCCGCGTACAGAATCAATCCGAGACAGTCGGGGAGCGAGTCAGTCATCCCGAATGTGGCAATGGAAAGCGGGTCAACCGTCCGGCTCCGAAATATATGCCTTCTACACCTCACGAGCACCCGGCGCCAGTGCGCAGCGATATCGTGAATGCATAGAAAACGGGACTGCAAGGAGCGCTGCGCTAAACAGGATTTGACCGCAGGAGGTCGTGAGCGGTGCGAATACTGAAGGCTTGCTCTGTAGCAGTATTAAACCGCAGTTTGACCTCTGGCATATTATAGTTTAGCGAGTTCACTCTCTAGTGGCGAATCACGGCATCTTCACCGCAACTCGGTCCTCGATCCTGTTGGCCGAGTGCGCGCGTGAGGTTGCATTTTGTGTGTGCTGTAGGCTGGCTCGCTCTGTACAACTTTTTTATAAGGTGTAGATTACGATAAAGAGCAAAAGTTGCTGAATCTCTGAGATCTCGTGGACCCTTTCGTGGCTTGGTGTCCAAGGAGTCGCCACCACCACCACCACCACCACCACTCCCGTCTGGTGCAGGCTGCTCCATCAAAATCCTCTCGGAATACACGAGTGCGCTCATCGACACCACATTGTTGTTGTTGCTGCTGCTGCTGCTGGTGTTGCTGCTGTGTGCGTACACGTGATCTGGAGAGTGGCTCCAGCTCGAGAATTTCATCGGGCTGGGCTGGTCCGCTGCATCAAAATCCTCTCGAAATACACGAGTGCACGACCAGCAGTAGAAGTGTGTGCGATTGTCGCATCATCATCATGCATCATGAGGGCCGGAGGATGGACTGCTCGAATCGACATCGGTGCCCGACGAAATAACCACAGCTGCAGAGTGACAGTCGACTTTTAGCTCAAGAAGGAAGACTTTAGCAACTCTTCGATCTCCCTCCTTCTTCCTTGTAATCCGTTCGTCCGTTCCTTAGCCTTGCCCAGCGGATCGATTGCGAGCTTCGAGGAGATCCTTCATAGAAATGACGCCGCCCTGTGCAGAACGTCCGAGCACAGCGCAGGTCGTCGATTTAGATGTCGATGTTCCTCCCCGAGTGGTGGAGGAGCCTTCGGGCGCCAGTGGAAGCGGAGAGAGCAAGCAAGAGGGAGAGGGAGAAGAAAAGGTCAGGGATGACGATGCGGAACGACCAGTCGACGAAATCGAGGTCCTCGAGATCTTCGAGGACCTCGAGCCAGTGGTTCCCGTTCCAATTTCAACTCTAGACTCAATGTCGGGTGTCTGGCATGGTTTCTTCGGTGCCCGTGAACAAGCAGGAGATGATGCGGCTGGCGGCGCCTCTCGTTCGTACGTAGCACCTCCGAGAGCGAGTGATGGATTTCAATCGAGTCCGCTGCACGACATTGCTACCAGCAAAACTCTCGAGACGATCCACCTGAATGTGAACATGTTGCCGGCCGGAGGGAAGGAGGCCAGAGCGCTACTGAGCTCGCTCATGTCCGATCCTGCTTTACAGATGCTAGAGATTGAGGGCGAGTGGAAGTCAGCGGGATCATTCATGGCCGAGGGATTGTGGAAGGTGATCAGGTGTGCTCCCAAGCTCGAGGAGATCCATCTTCTCCGGCTCGGCGAGCTAGATGCGCAGGACGTGAAGGGCTGGGCGGACGCTTTGGTGAACTGCACTCGGAGTTTGAAAGTGCTCGTGCTCGGAGAATTGGAGGAAGGACACATGCAGTTCCTGATGATGGCATTCACCGGAGAATTCTGCAATCAAACGATTCGCACGCTTTACTTCTACGCTCAGAGCGGCTGCATTCCCGAATCATTCGAAGATCGTCTCCCGAAACTGGTGTCCGCGAATCGATCACTGAAACGGATTTGCATCGACGAGTGGACGCTGGAGCAAACGTCCGTGGGCCTGTGGGACGACGTCGGCCACTCTTTGCATTCGAACACGTTCATCGAGTACCTCGAAATAGTAATCTCGACGAAGCGACAATTAGAGGAGAAAGCTCGAGCATTGCTGACTGCGGCGAATCAGAAATCAAAACCTGTCATCAAAATTCTGATACCTCTGAAATCGAGGCACTGGGCCAACGAAGCGTCGTGGAAAAGTCTGGCGAAACTCTTGGCCGAGTGCAACTCTGTGAAATCACTCAGGCTGCACTTTCTGAGGCCAATGTCGATCCACAGCAGGATACTCGACGTATTACGGGATAATTTATCGACCCTGCAGGAGCTGGAGTTGGTGGACGTAAGGGACCAGGATGCAGGAAGCTGGAAGCGGTTCTTTCATTCTCTGCGCTACAACACCAGCCTCACACACATGCGGTTCAGGAATATCGTTGGCCTCGATGATGAATCATTCCGGGAACTTATGGAACTGCTGAAAGCCAACTCGACTCTGAGAACGATCGACTGTGACGGCACGAAGTGGAAAGCTGATGGCAAAGGGGCTCTCATCGACGAGCTTCTGAGGAATAATGTCCAAAGGGAGTCATACCTTTCTGTTCTGAAGAAAGCCAAGTTGAAGTTTGACGATGCCAGGGCTGCCCGTTTGCTGCTCTGTGGATCCTCGAATGCAGGTATGCTCCCGGCTATGGCTATCAGAAAGTACCAAGAATTTCATGAGAAAATACCTGCATAATCTTCTAGCTCGTGGGTGAATCTGATCATTCATCTCAAAGTTGAATGGTTTTAAAATTTGAGAGAAGTGTTGTTGAGAACACGAACATGTTTGGAAAGTGAACTGTTTTGGATTTCCTGTAGGCAAAACCAGGTTGAAGACCACGATGATGCGGGCTCGCAACAAACGCTGGCTGGAAACAGACAACTACAAGACATGCAAGACCCTGGGCATCGAAGTGGAGTTTCTGCAGAATGATGAGGACATGCAGATTGCAATTTGGGATTTAGCGGGCCAGAAGAAGTTTCGTATCGTGCAGGAGGTGCTGTTCCCGAAAGCAGATCAACCTTGCATCTTCCTCTTCGTGTTCAGTCCCTTCAATAACGTGAAGAAGAATGCAACATCTGATCCCCAGGGACAACTGCGCGCAGAGCTACAAGAGTGGTTGCGTTTCGTGGCGTCGAACTCTTGCAATGGAACGGTTCTTCCACGGATGATGGTGGTGTTCACGCATCAGGACAAAGTCAAGAAACCCACAACCGAGTGGGCTCTCACCATCGTCCAGGAAATGCAGGAGGAGTTTCGAGGGCTGGTGGATCTCATCATCGATCCGATTTTCTACATCAACGCCAACAAGAAGAAGCACGTTCTGCCTCTCCTCGACAAAATTCTTACCTCTTTCAAGGACTTGTTACACGAGAGGTCTGACATCGTGCCCCAAATCTGCTCCCAGCTCACCTCCATTCTAGCATGCCCTGGGGATAACATCCAGAGTAATCCCATATGGAGCCGCGAGACATTCTATGAGTTCTGTTTCAAGAGAGTAGAACCCTTCAACTTCTTCAGGAAAATAAATCCACCCACGAGAGAGATTTGGGATGCTATAGCATCGTATTTACATGATGTCGGCAGCATCATTTTGATCTCGGAAGCTGATCTCGTGGTTGTGTATCCCAATTGGCTCTCACGCCACTTCCTGGGATCTCTCATCAAACTCGGTCATTCCTTGCCTGCCAACCGCAAAGCTTATCATGCCTTGACAAGAACTGCTTCCCTTAGATCATGCAATTTGGCCGAGAGAGATTTAGAAACGCTTCTACATTCTTTCATCAGCAAGCCCAGCTGTATATCCTGTTTCAATGGATTCGAAAATCTGGAAACCTTGAAATTACTTCTCCTGCGGCTAGGTCTATGTTACAGAACGGTAGATGGAGGTGAACCCCATGTTGCCCGCTATTTTATGCCCAGCATAGTCCAGGAAGGTCCACAACCCAACACTAACCTTCTCCGATGGGAAGCCGAGGCAAAGGATGAGGATCTGCACAATTACATTGGCTTTCGACTTCTGTGCAAAGATTTCAGGAGAACATCGCTGACTTCAACTCTTTTTACGAGATTACAGGTAATTCCACATCATCAATCTCTGATAGAATGTGTATTCTTCTCACAAGTTCTCAACTTTCCCGTACATGATTTATATTTTAGATGCTTTTGTCCAAACTGAAAACATAACACCGCCCACACCAAATTTCATTTCATTGCAAAGGCTAACATTTTTCATGCAGCCACTTCATAATCAGAGAACCCAAGAAACATCATTTTAAGTACAAGCGGGGAACTCACTTTGAAATTTTGTAATTGATGTTTAGATTATTCATTTAAGTGGCCATAATTTGAAACATCTTATCATGTTACATAAACGAAAAGATTATAATGGGTTCTTAACCGAGTTGTATAAACTCAACTTTAGCTAAAATCTCAAAGTGATCGTAGGCAACTTCAACACTCGGTGTGGAACATGAGCTGATCAAACCAGGAATTTGTTTGTCCAACAATTTCTGATGTAGATCGACTTGCGCAACAAATTGACAGCCAACTCTACATTCACAGCGGAGGTGAAGTCGTATCAAGGATACAGCAAGTTTTTCATAGACGGGCATGAGATCATCCTGGAGAAGTCGGTCGACGGAAGTCATGTGGACACTTTAATCAGAGGCTCGCGGATGAAGAAGAGAAAGGAGACAGTCCAGTTCATAATGAAGCACATCATTGATGAGATTCAAGCATTTTGTGCTTCCCCGCAAGGCTGTCCAGGGGTGAACTTCGCCCTCTCTGTACTTAGTTCAAGGAGCGTGCAGCTTCTGATTCCATGTGAGCACAGGAATGACAAACATGTGATCCCGGTGGACCTTCTGAGACAACACCTGCAGCGCAATGCCGAGGCCCAGTTGGAGGAAGATGATTTTGCAGATGAGAGGAAGCTGTTAAGGTATGAACATGTTTGGCCTGAAGTAGCTGATCTCAATCTTCCACGCTACTCGCAGCCAGCGGAAGATCTTCTTCCAAATTGGGAGAGTGAAGTCGCGAGCATTTTAGGAGACATAAAAGGTAGATGGATGAAGCGTCTACAAAATCTTGGTAGAATCATGGCAGAAATGAGAGCAGAAGTGGACCACTACAAGGACGAGCGCACAGCACAAGGTCTACTGGCTCTAATGGTTGGTGAAGCAAGTTCAGCCTGTGAGTCAATACCGCATCCTCCCACAGCTTCTCCTTCAGCAACACTTGCATGTGAGAGGCAAATCCAACAACCAGAGCTACTACTGCTTGACAAATTGCATGATTTTAAGCCGGAGGCAATCCTCGGCAACACATTCAGCGGAGATAGAGGAGTTCCAACATCCGAGGAGACGCTCCATGATATCATTCGCATGCAACACACACTGAACTCAAACTTGATCACATTTCAGTCCACGATTGAGGAGCTGACAGGATACTTCCAGTCCTTGGAGCAGGCAAGGACACCCAAGTTTCCGTTTTTGAGTTCGAAGGGTGAAATTTTCTTGCATGGGATGCACAGGTTTGGAGCTACACACATCGGCACTCCTGTGCGCCTGCATTTCATGTGTGAATCCATGCCGAAACCCCATGCTGTGGAGGGCCAACGAGGTTTGGAGATGGTAGTGGAGATGAAGAACTTCGAATACTTGAGAAAACTGTCCATCATTTCCACCAAAATCGTATGTTATAATTTAAAAGCAGGCTTGAAAATCTATGTCCGCTCGAGGCCACGCGTCTCACGGACCTCCACGGACCTCACCACATTTGAAAATAGGATGCCTTCGTTCATCAATAAAGTTTTGGAGGAAGATTTTAGACTAGACGAACAGATAACATCGTTGGAGAAAACTGAAGTTTGGCTGTGGTTAAGAGATTTGCTTGAGTCCGAGCTGAAACAAAGCTACGCAAATCCTTTTAATCTCTATAGAGTCCGATACTCCAAACCAAATAACGGTGGTTGTGCTTGGCTATGCGACAAGTGCATGTTTAGAGAGATTAGAGAAGGCAAGTTGGATCCATTCCCAATGGGCTAGAGCTGGCGCGTTGGATTTAGTAGACTCATTCATTGATTGGAGTACCCGGAAAGTTGGTGTGGTATGCAGCAAAGTAAACATATTATCAGTCTGTAGTATGTAGGACTATTAGACCGACCCCTCCAAGCTGCTTGGGTGCTTTGAATTGCACATATGTGTACGTGTATATATAAACTGTATAGATCGATCGAGCTAATATCGAATTCTTTAGACGCCCGCTGGAGTCTACAGACTACCGGTGGAGTCTCCAGCTGTGCTATTGCAACTGGTAGTCCCTTGTAAAGCCTTGAAGATTTGTTCCACATTCTTCGCGCAAACTGCACAAGATTCGTTTTCAGGTTGGATTAATTTTGTTGGTTGGTGTAGAGTTGTCATCAGTATAGCACAGATTGTCCTGCTGGGGACTCAGTGTCCTCGTGCTCTGAAGAGACAATTTGTCGTCAGTTGTCCATCCAACATGGCTTAGGAGGATCTGGGCCTTCGTTTCCAGCGGGAAAAAAATAGTTTTATCATTCGTTATCAACATACCTCAGATTAATTATATATTCTGAACTAACTGATCCAGCTGATTGTGGCAAATAAAGCTGCAGTTTAGTACATGATATACTAAAAGGTAATAATAAATCATTTTGATTTCCAGAAGTCTCTGGAATCTTTCTGAGATCCTTGGCTAATTCTCTCTCAAAGTGAAACTTACGAGAGGATTGATTAACACAACTGCAAACTTACATATTACTCTTTGCTATATGCTACCACGACAGCTCGTGTTTATTCTTTCAAGTATGAGGCCTTGCTGCACTAGTTGCCGTAGGTAGGAGAAGAAATTCTAGAATTTTGGTTGCGCCGATCATTCTTCTTAGATCGCGATTAAAAATTTCCGCTATAAAAAAGAAAACCTCCAATCTGACTTGAGGTGCTATGCAGTTATGGATACTCTTAATCAACCTAATCGTATTCTGATGGTGAAGATAAAGTTTAACACATGATGCTTTTCAACAGTGCTTTACTGACAGGAATAACTCTGAAGCCTTGCATCCGAACCGTCAGGGTTGTTTTATGCTAGAGAGAGAAAAGAGGGAGAAGAACTGGAAAAGAAGGTCTGTTGATGAAGCGAATATAATGATGGTGCACTTCACTCGGTAGTATACTTCGGTTCGTTTCCAAGAGTTTAAAAAACCTGGGTCAACTATCATAAGACAGGTATAAAGTTCAAGGTTCAAGTACTAACTAAGATGTTTATAGCTCTGAACAAACTGTACTTAGATACAAGCTCCAACTCCTCGGACAGCCGAAGCTCAACAAGTTTCCGATACTTTTCGGTGGAGATTTTATTACTCGTCCTGGACTGAATGTACGAAAATTATTCTTGACGATGACCACAATCACGTTGTTGATGGTGCACATCCTTAACTTCCCGAAGAACTTACAATTTTCTGTACATGCGAATTCCTCTTTCTATGATTCTCTGGTGGAGGTACAATTATGTGTAACAGAACTAGATGCCTCAAAAAGGTTCCATCCGACTTCACATTGAGACTTATGCTTCATACAAAATTGCTCTCCTCGTTAGTCATTACCAGTATATTGTTTTGATGTTTGCAGCACGAGTATGTTAAGAAACAAGACACGTCAAAAAACACATGGACTGAGTAACATTCGCTTCATCTCACCGTCGAAACATTGAGAATGAAGATTTCTATTTCAAAATGAAATCAATTCTGCAATGTGCCAAGCAACGTTCTTGGATGAGGACGTACTGAACGGAAGGAAAAAAGAGAATTACAATCACTAATCTCCTGACAAAGGTTCGTCATAACTTAAATGAACATTTCTTCTGTGGCAATAGATGAACTACATGATCAGCACAGCGACCTATTTGCAGCCCAGCGGCCACAAAAATGTCTGTGCAAGAACTGAAACGACAAAATCTTCAGAATCCAAGATGAAGTCACAGCAAGAATATACATTAAATAATACGATAGGTGCCAATCGGATGTATGTAGTTGAGACATTCCAGCAAACCGAGAGATCCACCGTTCCAATGTGTCGGCGGGTTCGAATCCCACTGTTCCACAACCTTCGGAGATTTTTGACATGGTTAGCAGGTTCCAACGATTACAGGAAGAAGAAGGCGGAAATCAGGGTTCTACTGTCAACTAGATGAACTAAATTATTCAAAACATCGGCAAAGACCATCACATGGTTTACATGGCAAATGTAATAAGCGTGACAAGGAAGGAGCAGTTTTTCACGGAAATAAATCTTTAAATTGCACCAACAGTAATCCAATATTCGGCATTCGACAGACAAATATGCTATCCAGCATAAACTGACGCCCAAAAAAAACCTCAAAAAGAAATCCCACCTCACATCATCAGAACTCATTATGTACTTGTTGCAGCCTTGGATAGATACAGAAAGGGGGGCTTAAGGAAAACACCACTCAGTATTGGGAGCTAGATAAATTATCATTTGAAGTGTCAAATGACAGCAAAGAATGTAACCCAACTAAACCACCATACGCATATCATCAAGATACAGTACCTCTTAAACTATAGTTTGTCGTGGTATGCCTACAAAACTACTTCAGATTTGACACGCTACTAGGCAAATCTGTTACTACAGGCGAGCTGGAAATATTAAGACGCAAGTTTCATGCCAGTTGTAATTCTTTACCACGTTGTGATGAGTAATAATCCTTAACCTTCACCGTTCAATATAGCTCCTACGTCTAATTTTTTAGGGAGACGAGTATGATGGCACAAAATCTGTTGTGTTTTTCTTCTGCCTCAATTTGAAATCAAGCTGGTATCTCAGCATCCCTATGCAAAACTGATAAATAATTTCTCAGGTAGCAAATCGCGGACAGAAAGGGTCACCTATCAACCTTGATCGACGAATAACCAGCACCTCCAGAAGCCCCAACAAACCCACTTCCATTTGCACTTTGCTGCCCGACACCAGAAGAAGCCTGCTCCGAATGAAATGATCTTCTTCCCTTTGAATTTCTTGGAGAGCCGAAAAAGCCAGAATTATTCGGCGACTGAGAACCCAATCCACTGAAGTCCCCATTGGCCATGGCGTACGCTGCAGAAGACGAAGCAGGATTCTTCGAGGCAGGAGGCGGCAGCCCAGTCGTATCATAAATAGTATGTGATGGCCTTGATGGCGTGTCGGGGTCTACTGGCAACTCTTCCAACGTCTGGACACAGGCACCACAATGTAGACATCTTCACACACTACTCCAACAACTTGACTGTTCGAAAATTGGAGCTCTCCAAGACAATCAAATTTGGACATGCGAAGAACGTGACCCGTAATAAACAGGCACAACTTCACGTTACCCTAAATTAGCGTCATTCGTTCTATGATAGCACACTCAAAGTCCATGTTGGGACTGAGCTGATTATGAACAATTACTCGCACATAGCTATCTCAGACCAGGAACCTTAGCGACCCTGGTTAAAATAGCATAGGGTCCTCGAATTATCTCGGTGGAAAAACTATCTATCAAAACTGATTCAAACAGTGTACAATAATGACCAGGCCCAATAAGTGCTGGCATCGTAAAACCACCAAGAGATCAAAAAGACAAGGTGTCCAGTTCCTGCAAAAAGCAACCCAAACCCAAAGAGGATAACCCTCAGACATAGTTCGGTATCTACCATACATGGAAACGAACAACCTAGATACAATGGTTTACCAACCTTCCACGACTACAAAGATAACAAGAGCGCCACTCTCTCCATTCTTTGCTCTGCCAACTTCGGCTTATTTACCCAGGAATATCTCATGGGACCCGGTTTACTGGATACTTCACTGGGACAAATGAATTGCTTTAACTTCATAAGATACTAAAAGGCGACAGTGGTAGGTAAGTGTACCCAAGCGGCTTGCTGTAAAACTCGTAGAATTTCCTTGCAACGTTTCCTCTTGGCGGCAATCTCTTCTTTCTCTTGCAGCATCTCCTCGAACAAGCTCTCCCTAAACACACGACATCAATCTTAGCTTCAAACAGGGGAAGAGACTTTAAGGTAAGAAGTCTGCGCATGCTTGAAGTGGCTGTCCGGTCAGTTAAAGACAGATAAGAGCAAAAATCGGGTTTATAATTGAAAGAGGGACTTTTCAAACTTTGATATCAAACATGGAAATCAAGACTTCTTTACATAAGAAAGAGTCACAACATCACCTGGCACTAGTGAACTAGTGAGGGATCATCAGAGTGCTAACCTGTACAGTTTTCGGATAAACACACTGTGAAGCTCTCGTTTGACATGGTTCACCTGCGCAAAATAACAAGTAAAACATGAGATGAGGAGATCCAAAGCTCCATAATTTCCTTGACAAATTTTCTACATAAAAACTTCGGACATGCTGCACGCAGTGTACTACATGCAGGCAGACCACGGACAAGAAAGAGGCAACATTCAATCCATGTTGAGAAGACTGCACTGAACAACTATTCAGATTACTACAATTGCCCTGCCGAACATTCTATTTAAAATCTCCTTAAATAAAGTACACTACCAAAGAACAGTATATTGATCAGAATCATCATAGCGCAGAAATAGCTCTCCGTTGAGAAACTTCGGGAGAGTCTCAGTGCTCGTTGACTTTTTCATCAGAAATGCTTTTCAAGTGATGAATTTTCCTGTGAAAAAATACTAAACCTACGATCTAAAATTACTGAACTCTCCAGCCTGAGATCAAACAAAGTATACACTTGACAAAAACAGCCACAGATCAGAGCGAGGACAACGAGATCAAAAGTTTCACTCACCAAAAAGTGCATGATTGCCTTCGGCACAGAATCTTGGATATTTTTGCGTACAATGTCATAGTACGATTTTAACAACAAACGCGTCACAGCAATTTCTACTGTCTCTTGCTCAGTCTGCGCATCAGTGGCTCTAAGAACTGTTGGAGGCTGCAGAACGAACAACAACGCGTTATTTTAGAACAATTGAAATATGCAGGCTGTAGATAGAGATGCCAGCAACCTGGCGCAATTATGAAGCATTAGTGAAAATAAATCCGGTTCTCTTGAGAAATACGCACAACAGGCAACCTCAAAACAAGACCGCCATCAAACAAATGTACTTGTTTAGGGACATCTTTGACGGAATCGATTATGTAACGAAGACATAATGTACAAGCAGTATGCAGATGGCTTACTTCTCTTAGCTGAATGCTGGAAAAGGACGGTTCTAATCCTTGTGCAGGTTCATTGTAGCCTCTGCTTAAAACATGCTCCTTGCCATTCCCGTTGATTCGCGACTCGTTTCCCCCAAAGATTGACGTAATGCCCCAGCTACTATTTCCAGCAGATGTGCCTGTGAGCATTTACAATGTTAGACTAACAGCGCCCCAGTCGTACAAGCTAAATGATAGTTCTGGGTCTTGCATTAGACCATCAAAGAGAAACGGCTAAAGTACAGCAGTTACAGCTGAAACTACTGAGCAATATGAAAACCAGAAACAATATCTGTTTAAAAGCCTCCGCATAAAATGCATATAATAACACAGCTTGTGCTCTACACAGAAATCCCTCAGGATAGTTCCGTGAAACTTGATATCCGTAAAATCCCTCTACAACTTAGTAGAAAGAGGAAGAAGAAAGACATCAATGTAAAGAGATTTGTAGTCTTGAGATGTGCGTATTTCCTGCAGAATCCTTCGTTTAAAGAATCAAGTCTGCCTGAACTTATAACTGCAGTCATGGGCTATGCAGTCCTTGAAGCCTCACCTGATGAAGAACCCGGCTTCTCAAGCGGAGGTGGAGGCTTTACACTCTGGACATATACAACACAAGGTGAGAAGTTGTACCTCAAAATAGACCGTATGAAGTTATGTATACAAGACAGCCAAACCTCTACGGAACCAAGCGGAAAGGGCTTCAAGCAGTGACGTACATGTTCATGGGCAACAACTCCTGCAGCATTGGTGCGAGCCAAGATTGCCCGAGACTTTGAAGTCTTGTCAGGAAGAGGTAGCCTGTCTGCTCCTGAATCTTTCCACTCAGAGGCATCCTGCGAACGGAATATTAATCGTCACTTGATAGTGCACCGCATGAAATCATAGGTAGAAGTTTCCTGCCAAAGCAGAAGAGGACAGGCCCTTCCGTTTGATCTGAGATACTTCACCGAACCAACTGGAAATGATGGTAAAACGAAGCTTTTGAAGTGAATGTAAGTAACAAATCTATCATCCGAGACTCTAACATAGGAATTCGAAAGTCAATTCCCTACTCATTAAGCATGTCATAAGCCTCATAAGAACGGCATAGCAACTAGAGTATGCGGGCCATCCAGTAAAGGCTCCATGCAAACCTTGGTTTTAGTGTTAGAAGGTAACACCTTGACTCCTCGTTGCTGTTGTAAAGCCATTTCTACCGCTTTGCTGCCTCCTATAAAGCCTGGGTGTGATGTGTTGATATAGTCCATCTGCACTTGATCAGTTGTACAAAGTGCTTCTCCATTTTCAGAACTAACCGAACAAGTCCGACATCTCGCAACAAGTTACGACATTCTCACTTCCAAATTTGCACGTCGCGTGACGTCCTATGATACGTCCAAATGATACTGACAATAGAGCCGACTGTACTAGAAGGCTGTAGAATGCGTTAGCTACTGTCTTAGCCATGTGTAAGAAGTTTTTTCGAAAGACAAGGTGTGTTCAAATTTGCAAACACTGAAATGAAAACGATTCGGCAGATGAAGCTAAGGCATGTGTACCTCCATTTCGATCAGGTGGCCGATCATGGTTTCTGCTGGTGCTAAACCTTCCCGCAAAAAGTTGGCAACAACCTCCTCAATCCGACGGCGTAAAACCGGAAAACGCTGCAGCTCGTACGACTCTGATCTGTGAGATATCTGCAAAGCCTCAATGATACATCAAAGAGTAAATTTCGCTGATCAGAAAGTGCAAGAGTAAAACCCTTCTGTAAGAATTGGGCCCCTTCTCTAGTATTAGTTCAGTGCGGACGAGCAAGGGGAAATTTACTAAGGCAGAGTAAGAAAAATGAATATAGCTGGTAATCCTCATTAACTGTACCTTGACGAGCTCATCATATATAAACCTTGCACACTGTAAGCTGGGCTCCAACAACCTGGCAATTTGACGCCGAACCAACACCTCAAATGGCACCTGCAATGAGCAGACAATACGTAAGCGCATCCGTACAAAGCAAGTGCGTTGTTTCACGAAGAGTTCTTTGGTAGAGACATAAGACTTTCTTCTCCAAAGAAAAGACTGGGCTTCAGATGAAAGCGGCATCTCTATCTTCATGATCTTCCACATAAAATCGTGCTCCCTGAAATGCTACCTAACGGGACGTTACCAAAAACTAAGTTTGCTATGGTAATTGTGTAAGAAATCGAGCAGGCCTCTCTATCCATCTTCTCCTCACTTTTTCCACGTCTATTACATAGTAGCACCCCTCAGAAAGGAGACGGTATCTATTGTCTTCACTCCATAACAGTCAAATACTAATGCGTGGAATTAATCCGTCAGCAGCGTCTGTTAGACTTGCAAAAACAAAGGCCTCGGAAAGTTCAGGTCTCGGCACCCGGATGATTCACCCCCACTAGTCACTGACCACATACCCTTATGGCCAACGCTAGCAACAAGCCTCTAGCGATAAGACTACTGTTCAAAAAAAAGGCAAGTTTCAACCTCTGGTACAAATAGTACATTCTTGGGGCCTGTGGCATTTTGAATTGCTGTTCGGATATCCTCATCGGTCAGATCATCACAGGGATCTACTTCCTGTCGGGAACATTGACCAACAACATTCAATGAACAAAGATCAGCTCAAGCTTAATGTGTCCTCAAAAACATCATTCAAGTGGAAAATCTGACAGACAGAGAAAGTAATACGTTTCTACTGCTAGACACTACAATATTGAAACATTCCAAACAACGATCGAGAAACGCCGGGTCAAGATTTTACGAACAAACCTCTAAACTCTTGACAAATATAGACTGAAAAATATAATGTATTCGGGCCCCTCCCGACAACTCTGTTGTTGACATCTCCTCGTTCTTTCCATCAACGATGGATTGGAAACCTGTAAGCAAGACCTTTAGATTGTAAGACATTCACAATAAAACCTTTGCAGAAGGATAAACTTCATTTAAAGATTATAAAGAAAACTGCAAGTGAATCTCTCTTGAGGTAACAAATATGTTTGTGGCAAACAGCCAATACGAGCACACAAAATTTCACTAATCTAAACCTTGTAACCTGTATTTATCTTGCCTTCACGATCCTGAAAGAAAAAGCTGCGACTCCATGAATTTGATTTAGTGTCCCCACATAATCAACAAAATCGCTGTAAAATTATATTGAATTAACCACACAAAACACCAACTTGAGTTGGCTATTTTGATTCCAAAAAAGTAGTATTACCCGTCTACTCTACACGGTTCGCCCTCTTGTTCCCGAATTTACAAGGACGCCAAGTTCATACAAAACCAGCAGAGTCATGCCAAAATCCCTTCAAATTGGAAAATTTGGCATGACTGCTGTTTTTCACTTCACCTCTCAGGATGAGCACTGTAGAACATGGTGTTATGGAAGCGGGCACGGCTCAGTCAGGACGCGGGTTTTATGGTCTTCAGGCTGGAACAGAAACTCACTATCCAAAACAGGTCTTGAAAAATTAGAAGATTGATACATAAGGAAGAATTAGCTAACCACACGTTTTATCCCTCACGGTTTACAAAATATCCTGAAAGCAATTCTGACACTCAATCTTCATGGGGTTCCGCGTCTAAGCAAACGGCTGAAGGTCAGGTAGCGTATGGGAGTCAACCTCCTTATCGAAAAGAAGACCAAGATGGCTTACCAACCCACTAATTGCACATTGTGTGGTATAGAAGACGAAACCACTGTTCATAATCTGGATACATGCAGCAACCTTAACGAAATAAGAACATCATTATACACTCACCTCGCTCGGCTGTGGAAACCAAGAATCCTAGTCGGAGTTTCTAGACCTTGAAAACGCCACAAACTGCCGTTCTTTAGAGTCAGAAAACTTTGGACCACAACCTAAAAAGGTAAATGTACGAAAAGAGGGTTCCTTGGTGGACAACAACAAAGTCCGAATGAACCTCGGTTTTTGATCTTACTTCATAGCCAACACTTCCGCGTTCACACTTCAGTAAAAACCCAGTTAGTCCACATGTAAGATCCTTGACAATCTAAGGTACCTGTCGCTGTGAAATCTTTGAAGCAACTGGTCTGATTCTTTCGCACAGCGGCGTTGTGTAATTGACTACTACATCTATATAATACCAGAATCGTTACCAACCATTGAATGTTACTAAATCTGCACACTTTACCCTGGACCCCAGCCATATATGTGCGTGACATGGCAGTCCCAGCCATATATGTGCGTGACATGGCAGTCACAAGGTATGTAGGCCTCAAAGTCAAACGTAATTCGAGGTCCCATTAATCGAGAAGCCCACATGTCTAGACTAATCGGACTACGCAGCTCAGCTTTCGAGCCATTGATTGATTGCTTGATTAGTTCCGATCCACAGAGAGGTCTTTTCTATCCGTTTAAAACAATCCGGGTGAGAGTTTCAAATTCTCTGATAAATAAGACTCCTTAGGTGCACCTCTGATAAGTAACTAATCGGGCGCCTAAGCAACGTATATATGTTTTAAGTCGACGTACCTTGAGAATACTTGGTAATGATGTTCAACAGCAAAGCCCCCTGACCTGACTGCAACCACACATTATGCAGCATGTTATAACAGTGCGCCCCCGAGGCTCAAAGTCCGTAGTGAGATGTCTTATATGAAGCCTTAACTTGTGAACATGAGCAGAATGAATTTGTGAAAATCTAGGAACACCTTAATAATATCGTTCTTCCTGTATACGGCTAAATCTAAATTGGGTTCATGGATGACTGACATTCTGCCATACAAGCGCATCAAGGCTCTCAAAAGTCGTGCTACCAGGGCTCAAACAGACCGCAATTTGACTACGAGATGGGCCCAGAAATTTCAAAAATACTCTGGGGAGCAAGAATCACCTTAGAATCTGTCAACTCTCCATAACCAGCAAGCTCTTTTTGCAAAGTTACCATCTGAGTACTGATTCTAGCCTTCAGGTCTGGTAAAATTGCCCGTATATGTTGCACCAATATCTGAAGAAGCCATTACGACATGTAAGTACAAACTATGCATTTCTCCAGGGCTATTTGAAATAAAATTGGTAATTTCTTTCAACACGCACTAATCAAAGGAGAGGGTTACCAACTGCAGACACGTATAGACCACAAAAAACCATGCATCCAGCCTATTTTGCAGCTTCCTGGATGTTTGGAAACGTGTACTCACGGAATTTAACTTCTTTGCCAATTGTGGAATGCCACAACGTTCGGATAGACTATGATATACCTGCATAGGGAATCACACGTCTTATATTCCACCATAGAAAGTAGATAATCTCACAGAAACACGCGGCTAGGACACTAAAACAGAAGAAGTAGAAAAGTTAACTTCTCACGACACCGAATGATGTAAGTTGGGACAACAATGAGAGAACTTACAGGGCGGCTCCGAAAAAAGTTCTCTTCATAACCCAAAGCTTCGCGTATAGTTTTGTTAGCTTGAATGTCCTACACGGGCGAACACAGAACCTCAGTATCACTTTATAGGTCTTTCTGTCTGACCCAAACAAAACGAACTTTAGAAACCTCTTGCAAATATTTCTTAATGTTGAAAATAGAGCTGCGCAGCTGATGCAGGAACGCTACCTCCTGACTGCGGTTTACAACTCCAATGTACCCAAGTCGTAAAGGGACCACATTTCCCAGCAAGAAGTTGCGTGCATCTGTACCTCTATCCATGATGTCAAGCTGCACCACAACAATCCGACAAATATAAAACTTCCTCTTCTAAAAATGCAGAGAATAATCATACCCCGGCTCCGCAAGTTCCCGTCGGACACTATTCGAAAGCGAAAAAAGGAACGAAAATGCGCGTAACATCAAATAAGAGCTTGGCACTGCAGAACTGTGTTGCCAGTATGTATGTAGAAGTGCAGTCATCCAGTTTTAACGATGAACCATTATACGAATCACACCTTAGTGATGACACCAATCGTACGAGATCCTGCATCCACAAACCACTTTGCTTGAGTGCTTCATCACAACTGCGGACCATGACAGCGTTGCAAACAACAACATGCCCAATTCCTCATCTGTATTTTAAAGTTCGAGAAAATGAGTGCGCGTAAAAGCATGCAGACAGAACGGTAAGCCGCGTAGTTCTGTAGAGAATACAGTTCAGTAAGCCTGGATAGCTGAAATATGAGCTAACAATAGAATCCGCATAATGTTCAGTACAATCGTGGAGAAACAAAGTCAGTGGCACGCGCTTCAGACACTGCAGAGGTCAGTATGAGGCAGACGTTAAAATGAAGGAGGATTGATCGTACACACCGTCAGGGTCAGCGATCCTTGCCATCTGAAGGGCATCGGAGTTGGCCAAATCGGCATTGGCAGGTGAGACTGCGAGGATGATGCACGTTTCGTGCTTTATATAATTTAAAATCATAGTCCTCACTCTCGCTTCGATATCTGAAGGTTGATCACCGACAGGCACTTTTGTAATGCCAGGCAAGTCTACGAGTGTGATGTTCAAGACATTTGGCGAAAATATCTTCAAACGAATTTGCTTCTCCGAAATCCCCTTATTTGTGCCCAACTCTCGGTCCGTTTCTGCCTGCAATACGCTGTGTTAGGTGCACATCCGCATGATCTCTCTCCTTCCATCGAAGTGCTAACGCATGAAATACACTATGAATTCAACCTCTATGTAAACCTCAAGATTCCATCCTCTACCACCCTAGGTAGTCCCCAGCGGCAACGTCGTGGAAATCCAACCTGTATTTCCTTGCGAATGGCGGTGAAATCCGTAAAGCGCCTTCCAGGAATGTGCAAAAACTCGCCCCATTCGACCAATTCCGAACGATCCTCGGGTCTCCTCACTGTCTGAACCAACTGCAACACCAAAGGCCTCCTAGTGCATATATCTGCCCCTCGAGGCAGAAAATCGCGCCCCACCATAGCTTCCAGGACACTCGACTTCCCACTGCTCTGGCTACCAACGACGGCCACCTGTGGTAGATCTATAGTAGACGCACTCCCAAGCTGAGAAAAAATGTCTTGCAGTTTATTTACGAGAGGAATCACGGATTGCCCTAAATACACAGCAGGTGGAGATGGAGAGGGAGGCAGTGCAGGAGGCACCGCGGCAGATGGAGATGCAGGTGCCGATGGCATGACGGGATTTGCTTGAGGCTGCGCCATTGGGCCAATCGTTGGATGCAAATGGAGCAATCAGTGCACGGCTACTGCTCACTGACGCGAAAAAATCGATCCCCTCCGAGCTCAGGCGCGTCGCACAATCATCAAGACGGATTGAAAACAAGAACCATGACCGTCTTCCCCCGAGGATCTGCTCTCAGCCCAACAACATTGCGCGCAATTCATCCGAAGAATCGGAGCAGCAATTTTTCATCGACAGAGGGTGCCAATCGCCATCGAGCAAGAAGCCTACGATTCCATCACTCGCTCCAAGCCAAAGCGAAAGCAAAAGCCAAACCCAAACCCAAACCCGCGCGAGTATGTGGTAAACCTACAGGGCGGGCACGGTTTACCACATACTCTTCACCATCATAAAAATCGCGGGAACTCTGTCCGAGCTACAGCGGAGTTCGAGCTTTCCTTCTCTCCGACTCCAGAACTGCTCGCCTTTCGCCTGCACGACAAATGGAAGAAATCAACGATGAAAGAGGCAGCGAGCGAGGGACGAGACGGACCAGCAGCAGCAGCAGCAGGCAGGCAGCGCGAGGAGGACGACGACTGCGTCGGGCGACTGACTGCGGAATGAATGTCCTGTCCTGTCCTCACCTCGTCGTAGTCAGTCAATCAGTCAGTCAGCCAGTCAGTCGGTCAGTCAGCTGTCCCTTTTGGGCTTGGCCACGCTCCGTCGCCAACTTGGCCACCGCTTTATTCCGCGACTCGTTTGAACTGTCTCGGCTCTCCGCTCTCTTCACTGGCCTGTCGCCATCTCCATCGGCTCTCCATCGGCTCGCTATCGGCTAAATTTAGCCCATCCCCCCCTCCTCTACCCCACCAGCCAAAGCCAACCACTTCTGCTCGTTTCTTGCCCGACGGGGTCGCTTTAAGGCCGTGCTTCGGCCCGACGCCCTTCGCCCTTCGCTGCCTCATAATTTGGCTCTGGCTCCCCCCTTTCCTTTCCAAAATGACAAGATTGAGATCTTTTCTGGACGTTTGCTGCGTAGACTTTGATTTTTTCGCCTGGATTTTGTCTACCACAGTCTGCCTACAAGTGGTGATAGGCACTTTGGCCACTTATTGATTTTGTCCATGACTTTTACTGCAACTCCCGCAATGTGCTTTTTATGCGGAAAGCCTGGCTTTTCGTCTTGTGTTCTTGTTGAGGACTTGGATACGAGTGATGGGTCTTGTGAGATGTATTCTGCAATGTGCAGTGAGAATCTTTTGTACATGAGGAAGTCTCGCTACATTGGACTCATGAAAATGAGTAATCATGAAAAAGGCGATGTGATTAACTCCCATCGACCAAAAACCTCCAAGTATCTAACTTTTCTATATGAAGTAAGTGTGAATTCAGCATGGAAAAAGAGTTATCACGCTTTGAAATTAACTAGAGGTATGACATATCTCTACTTGGTTCAAGACTAATACCTTAAATAAAGGTTAAATAAGTTAAGATTATAAATCTTGCACTCAGTAGAGTTTCAACGAGGGAGATTACCTATCTTATTTATGGACTGAGAGTGGAGCGGCAATAGCAAATATCTCCAAAAAATAAATTTGTATACAAAGAGTTTACTGTTTTTAAACTACTCTTTAATCTACTTGATTTTTGAAATTTCCTTAAAAAAATTTGTATATATATACATTTGTAAATATATTCCAACTCTAAATTCTCCTCACAAATAGATGAATAAAGATAGATGAGAACAGATACACATAGTTTTGTTAGTGCATATCTGAGAAGAAAAATTTGGATTTTGCTGGTAAGGATATAACGAGGATATTCCTGTGTGTATTTCTTTTCCAACAGTATGATGTGTCCGGATATTAACTCAAAGGGTCGCACTGTTTTATATGAGCTAAAACCATCGGGGGGTGATGTGGCGCAAGTACACCATGGAAAGCGAAGGGGATGATGCAAAGTTCTGAGCTAAGCAACCCAAGTGAGAAAGAAATTAATTCACCATCACACGTCATGATAGTAAACCCTATTGTTGCGAGGTCCGGTTCAAAGATTCCGCCATGACACCACTATTTGAAAGCCAACGGGATATCCTACATAGGGTCGTCCACGCATCTTTCGACAGCGTTGTTTAGATATTGCCAACACTCCCCCTTATGTCATGCCAAGATAGAATAAATAAATAAATGAAGGGAGTTAAGTGATCATTGCAATTGGATAAAATGGATATTTTTAAAGCCAATTAGAGTTTTGGAAAGGGAACTCTCTGGTCAAGAGAGGATCACATACAGGTTTTGCTTCTTGAAGCGTGAGTTCTCCAGGTATTCCTTAGAGCACTGGTGGTAGCACAGCGATCAATCCTTTGGGTAAAGACCTCATATTGTTGAGCATGGGCCGAATGCAATCGAGCTCTTGACTTCGCTACGATGATGATTCACTTTGGTCTCTTAGGTGATACCCTAGGTTTTAATTTTCAGTTTGTTTCACAAATATGTTGCCGTTGGAATATGGTCTCTAACTGTCCTCATGAGAAACATATTAGTTGTTGATTGCATGAGACTTGTCATGACAGTTATCATAAATAGTGTGTACCAGTTATATAGCAAAATTGGTGGTTGTAGACTGAAGTGAGTAAACCATAAAGGTAGCATGGACCTAGGGTTCAGCAGAATCACGACGGGATACATGAGCTATTACAATTGATAAATCCAATCGTCTATGTCAAATGATCAATTCTAATATTTTTTCTCTCATATTCATCGCAAGTATGATCATTGAAAAAAAAAAAAAGAGGAATTTTTAGTATAAATATTCATTGAACACTAGGAAGAACCATGACTTACGTTGTTGTAAACATATGTGGTACGTGGTTTAGAAATGTATACTTTCCACCTCTAGAGCGTTGTCACGATTCATAAACTGAACTCTTGAAGGAATTGTTGTAGATAAAACCCTCTTAAAAATATCCTTGAATTATACAATAAGAATAAGTTTGAATTACAGTAAGATAGATTTATTAGGTATATAGAAATTCAGCCAAGATATTACTATTGATTTAACACAAATACAGAAATTAACTACCAAATCAAATTAGTAAATTTTTCGAATAATTCTCCGTAAGTACATATCATATAAATTGAACAATTAGAAATAATACCACTATGATGCTATGGGGGCCAGCCATATACCACCAGTTTCGTATCAACTCGAGGAGTCGTCACACACTTTTGTAATCTTATTGTGTCCTCCAGTACAAAACATATTCATTTCTTTTAGGTCGTCAGCGACCAAACCGAGATAAAACCTGGGGAGGAAAAGTCGTTAGCCTCTTCAGGGCAAGCTGAATGTCCACACCATATGAATCGTTGAATGCCTCCGTGTGAGATAGATTTGAAAACACGTACGAAGAACACAAATAGTCGCCCGTTGCCACGTTCGTTCTAGCGCAGCAATTCAGTTCAAACTTTTGAATAGGGTACGGCTCGGATTCTGCTGACGAGCTTCTAGGGGGGAAGAAGGTTGAAGGGGGAGTAGGCATCGTTCTCGTACCGTGTTATCGACCAACCACGAGCTCAGGACTGTTTGACTGTGAGTTGATTCCGCAGGATTCACAACGTTACGCATGGAGGGATCCTTGAGGTGATTGAGGACTCGACGTACGAGGCCAACGCGCTTTCGAATCCTTTAGTCCTGGAGTTTACGGAATCGGGGTTGCGATCGAAGATCTCAATCATGGAACGATTAACCGGCGAGAGCATGCTGGAACAGTTTGAAAGAATTGCTCGATAGAGTCGAATATTCGATGAAGAATATGTCGCCTTCCGACGGGAGGGTATGAGCGGTGTTTTTCTCCTGGCGGCTGAAGAGGGAAAGAAATGGCTCGGGGAGGGGGAGGGGGAGCCGGTGGGGCGGGAAAAACGACAGTTGTGGTGCTGGATAATGGAGCTGGATTTTGCAAGGCCGGTTTTGGCGGTGAGACTGATCCGTCCGTTGTCGTACCGAATTGCATGGCGCGACCACGATCGGCGAAGAAATGGGTGGTCGGCGATCAAATTTCGGAAGTTCAAGACATTCAGGGAATATCGATTCGGCGCCCCATGGACAGGGGCTACTTGATAAACCCCGACACGGAGAAGGAAATTTGGGAAAGGGTGTTTAAGACTCACCTCAAGATACGCCCTTCTGAATGCAGCCTGTTGTTGGTGGAGCCTCTGTTTAATCTGCCATCGATACAGAAGTCGACGGACGAAATCGTTTTTGAAGAATTTGGTTTCCAATCGCTGTTCGTTGCGAATGCACCAGCTTTAAGTCATAATTATCAAGTGGATTGTGCCCCGGATAGTTTGATTGCGAAGTCGAACTGCAGCTTGGTCGTAGACGCAGGATTTAGCTTCACCCACGCTGTCCCGGTCTTTGACGGGTTTGTAGTGAATCATGCTGCGAGGAGAATGAATCTCGGCGGGAAAGCCCTGACGAACTATCTGAAGGAGTTGGTTTCGTATAGAGCGTGGAATATGATGGACGAGACGTACATCATGGAAGATGTCAAAGAGAAGCTCTGTCTTTGTTCACTCGATACGGCTGCTGATCTCGACGTTGCAAGGTCTGCTTGTCTTTTGTTTTCACGCTCGTTCTTCACATGATATTTTATGTTTTTATTTTGAAGCTCGACTCAGTCACCTCAGAAATTATTTTAGCTCGCTCGATTCTGAAGCTGCCAACGCAAAGCAATTTTTTTTTCCTTTATCCAGTCACAGTGGAACGAGATGTAATAAAGCAAGACTTCAATTCACTCTCCTTCCAGATTTCAGTTACTGAGTTGGACATGTTTCTGAAGCCAGAAATTTCTCAAATTTCCAGTATTCCCAAAGTGCCAATGTTTTCCCCTCTTTTTGTTGCAGGAGCCGTGGACGAAGCAATTATTTTCTCTGCGATTACATTTTGCCAGATGGAATCAAGCATAAGCGAGGGTTCGTCAAGAATCCACAAGCAGCATCAGCATACATGCACAAGCGGAAGAAAGTAGAGCCCGTGGACATGGAAGAAGACGATGATGAGGAGATTGCTGAGAAGGAAGAGACGAGGAGTGCAACCAAAGCTGGATTACCAGCTAAAGAGGATCATCAGGTTTATTAACCACTGAAGTTGATGTTTAGGAATTCAGTACTTTAAACCATCAATATTAGCTGAAGGAGAACGCGGGCAGTTCACCTAATAGCTCTGGCTTATTTGAGTTCTGACACTTGTTACGGATTTGCTCCTTGGAATAGATCTTGACCTTGACCAATGAGCGCTTTCTGGTCCCGGAGATGTTATTCCATCCTGCCGACCTTGGTACGTAAGAGTTTCGAATCATCTTGGGCATGAAATTCCATTTCAGATTGTCTAAAATAACATTGTCAGGGCTCCACTTATTGGGCAATCATGGAATGTGCAGGGATGAATGAAGCCGGTTTGGCAGAGTGCATTGTTCGAGCCGTAAAGGCCTGCCACCCAACTTTACATCCTGTTATGTATTCGAAGTAAGTTCTGGCATTAAAAAGAACCCGCTCTTCGGAATTGTGGTTTGAGAGCTACAATGTGATGCATTCTGGGCTTTATGTGATAATTTTGTATATTCTTTTTTAACAAAGTCCAAATTCTACACAGTATCTAAATTTTATTATGCATTTTCATAAGTACTCACTTCTGCTGGCTGGATGATGCTAGTGTGCTGCTTACTGGCGGCAGTACTCTCTTCAATGGCTTCAAGGAAAGATTGTAAGTTCAGCTATGACATTCAGCTCAACCAAAAAGTATGATAGTCGTAAGAAGTTTTTATCGGTAGCCTAGTGGTATGTTATGTGTTGGCCTCCGTGTTTTATCAATTATGTGTGGTAAAGATCCAGTATAAACATGAGTCTCGTAAGCCTACGATCATCATTCGTCGCAAAAGGGTTTAGCTGTCTCCTTGATTTGCTTTATCAAGGTTTGGCTAGATTGACGAAGAGGTCAAGCCTACTGACTTTTTCAATAACCAGAGTCCAGTCCACGAGAGCATAAATTTAGAAAATAAAACTGTGCATATGGATTATACGGATATATATCCCTTAACTCTGTGAGGATTTCAGTCATGTAATTGATTGGTCTGATTAGTTGACACTTTGTTGCAGAGAGAACGAACTTCGCCCCCTTGTCCCTGATGAATTTGAAGTAAATGTTCAATCCGTAGATGAGTAAGTACCGTATCTCTGACGCATATTTCAAAGAATTATTCTGAGTACTTGGTCTCTAGTTTCTGAGGAAGAGTTCTTCTGGAGCAATCGTTACTGACGTTCATGGAGAATTTGCGACCTGTAGCATACATCCATGAGTGGGTTCGTCTCTAGCGTGTGAATTGGACCCAGTTTGTAGTAAAGCTCATATATCAGGAATTGCTTTTCTGACCTATTTCCCATTCTGCACAGTCCACTTTTGGCGGCTTGGAAAGGAGGATCAATGTTGGCTGCTAGTCAAGACTTCCACACCGCAGCAATAACCAAAAGAGAATATGAAGAAAGTGGATCGTCTCGTTGTCGTCGTAGATTCATGTTTTGACGTCAGCCGGATGAGTGATAATGATGTTTCGACGTCAGCTCTTTCGCACTGGATGTTAAAGCATTGTTCTCACATTCTGCGTCTATCCATGCCGGTCTCATTTCGTGGCCTTCATTTCTTTTTACAACTTCAACCCGAAGTGAAGTCGAGCACCAAGAGAGCTTCCGATCTCATTTAGTGGCCTTCATTTCTTTTTACAACTTCAACCGGAAGTGAAGTCGAGCACCAAGAGAGCTTCCAACCTTCGAAACCAAGAATGTCCCTGAAGGATGGCGGTCAGTTACCCCTCACTCCCCTCCTCTCCGTGTCCTCCACCATGAAGCACTTAGTGAAGTGAAGTGCAGAAGGATGTGTACACAGCTATGCGATGAAGCGATCACGGGGCTTTAGCTGCAGGTCATCTGTTTCGCTTTTTAAAGTAGTCGATGTATCAGCGTTTCAGTTCTGTCGCTTGTCTTGTGGTGCTCAATATCTTTTGGATGGTTCAGTATCCTGTTTTTTTCTTACCGAGATCTTCAATAACATCGTACACTTGTGCAGACGTTAAAATTCTGTTCAGAGGCGAATCATCTTCAAAGTGATATCTGTGAGGACTTGGGAGGCATCTACTTTCCAGGGCCGAGTTAATTATACAAGCTTGCCTTTTCCACTCGTACTATTCAAAATTGTGGTGGTTTATCATCCATGTGAGACTACTCACTGGATGTTTTCAAGCCAACGCTGAGGCGATGAAAGTTGTACGTAGTGTCAGATGCTCCGCTCACGGAAGAAACGGCCACATGCTGTGCACATTGTTTTTCAGAGGCAACAGCAGAGTGGCACGAGGCATAGCAGATCTGAAACTTTGTTCATCGATTGATGCGTAGTCATTTACTGCTGTGTATAAGCTCAAAAATTAAGATATGCGGTGCTGAGTTGAGCATTCTGTACTTTCAGAGGAACAGCACCGTCTTGCAAAGAGCCCAAGCTTTCTGTTGTTGCGATCTGTGGACTTTCATACCTCAATAAATGTACTCGGAAGGCAATCACAGCTGCTTGATAGATTGATCAATCATCTTGAATTCCTTTTGTTTGGTTTGCGCTATTGATCTACCTCCGTATTGTGCCGTCTTGACACCAATCACGTTGCAATACAATACCCTCGTGGACATACGCTCATAGTTTGCGAATGAGGGTAATTGTCGTACAATATTCGCGAAGCAGGCTCGCAGGAAGGTGCGAGTTCAGTGGAATCATTCCCTCCGTCGTCAGGTCTTAGAATCATACGGTGACCTCTGAGCTAATTTCACCAGCCGACTTTGCCATTCTCGTATACAGCATTCGATTTTCACTGTGTCAATGCCTTGATAATTTTCTCGCAAAGCCAAGTAGGACGCAGGATCGGGGTCTACGGTCATCCTTGGCTGCAGGATCTCGAGTAGGAGAAACATTGCTAGGGAACGCAGACAAATTTGTGCACACAAATGTCGATCGCGGGAATAAACGTTTACACACAACCTGATGGAATCATACTGTCTCTTCAAACGGTAAATTCCTACCGTTAAGTATTTTACAGTATGACATATATTTCACATAATTCTACTTAGATTAAATTAATGGAAAAGCAGTGCTAATACATCATCATGTCTAGAAGAGTTGAGATGTACGTAAAGAATGTATCTTTAATGACAATGTGCAACGAAATTGCGATAACAAACATTGTTTTGCTATGGGAGCCGCTAACCAGCATTCTTTACGAAGGAAGGTGCCGTCACAATGCTCGACGTTGCCAGCAACCTCCTGCATCTCCCTGATATTGAAGAAGATAGATAAACAATAGCTCAAATAATATTTAATACAAAAATGGTTTTCTGACGGCGGCAAATTATTTTTTCGTGATAATATTGAATGGTTCCAACCAATCACAGGCCTCGAAAACGAGCCTAGGGGTTCTATATAGACAGGGTGAGTGCTGGTTAGCCAAAGGTGAGTGCTGGTTAGCGGCTCCCTTTGCTATGTTCAATCTCATATATTAATAAATAGAACTTTAGTATTACATGGGATTTTCTCATCTTTTACTCCTACAACTTACAATTACTTTCAAGAAACATTATGTCAAATTTTTCTATTTTTAATTATACCATATCATTTTTAGTATATATATATATATATATATATTACTACATTTAAGATTATTGAAAAGAATCATAAATCACTTTACGTTCTATTCTTTTCTTTTTAACCCTCAACAACAGATCTTAGCTTTGTTCTATGTGCAAGAGACATCAAAAGTTTGGTTACCTCCTTTGGTAGGAAGAAGTAATATTCAAAACAATTACCGTAGATCCTTAATACGGCAATTAATCACCAAAAATTACTACGTATATCTTTTCATCGTTTGTTTTCTTGATCATTTCAATAAAAATTCTAGAATGTTTGGAGTGTACAATTTCATGCATTATTAATGATACGCAGATCGGAAGATGTGTTAACTTTAATGAACTTAATAGCCAATTATATGAAGAGTGATTGAAGGAAATGTTTCAAGATGCAAAACTATGATCTCCTTCACGTTTTGTGAGTACAAAAAGATTTTTGAGAATTTTATGGATATATTGAGTACTTACATATAAGAAGTTGATACTTGGAGGAAGCCCTTATGTAAATCTAGATCCACATTGATTTTTCCATATTCACCACGCATGATGTTATTTAAACTAGTGTTTCATATCGATCAACTTATCTAATAAAACTATATCTAGGTATAACTCCCTCAAATCCTATCTGAAGATAATATGATCTAGGAGCGTACTAGTAATTTCTTGGTACCTATATTTTACAATGGAATATAATAATTACCCAATGAGTACTTTGTACAAGTAATGTTTCACGCTGATATCTTCTCCGTTAGGATAATATCATAGCATACTTGGCTTAAGTCCTAGTTGGAGAAAGATAAAAGTGATAGAAGGCATTATTATCCATGAGCATGGGAGAGACTTCATGGTTACTTAACAGTTGGCCGGACTATCTTTTATGGTGGCTTACAATAACTTTCCATCTAATATTATAAAGTTTTATTTGACTTGTTTATACATGAGGGAGAGCAACATCTTGGATTATTGTGATGCCTAGTTTTTTAGTTTTTCTTTAAAAATCAACAAAACTAAAAGATATTTAAGTAGAAAGTAGTCGTATGAGTTAGAATGAATAGCTTTGAAGGAGTATGATAGGATTAGTTAATATTCGCCTACGGCCGAAGATCTTCGGATCTTCGACGCAGCCTTTTCTGGACAGTGCAAGAGTTGCGTTTTCGTCGAAGACATAGGAATCAATTTGAAATCGCGCAACGGGCCGGACGACGTTCACACACGTCGAGAATTCTACTGAACGCGGGAGGAGGCAATGTTAGGGCTTCAAGGGTAAGGGCATTACAATGAGCCTGCGCGCCAACGTTGCAATATCGAGCAAGAACGAGCGAGAGTGAGAGAGAGCAAAATTGACCGACTTTGCTAGCAGCGAAGACGCGAATTGGAAACATGGCGCCCAAGAAGAGTGATAAGGTGCGGAAATTGGTTCCCTTGAATGTGCCCTACGAGGAATTGCGACCCTTCAGGCGCGAGCTGAGCGAATTGCAGCTCGATTTCCTTTTGTGCAACTAGAATTGCATCTCGACGAGTATCTGTAAGGAGATATTGGATAAGAACGAGACCGAGGGCGAGGATCTTCGAGTTAATCCCATGTTGTGGACAATTGGATATTAGGCAAAGGTGATGGGTCCGTGCGCAGGTAGCGATGGAGATCTTTTGTTTGAGAAGAGTAGTGTGGGACTTACGCGCACTGAAGAATTCTCTTACGGGCCACTCTTCAGTTATGGGAGGCAGGGGACTAACGGGTGGAAGACAGCTGATTACCTGGATTCGAAGAGAAGAGCGATTGCTCTGTGGATTATGCATATCTTGCGACCGGCGCGCACGACGTATGTGACGGCCTAGCAAGTAGGGTTCTTCGAGCAAATCCTGAAGGGACAGAGAGTACACTGGGCAAGAATCTTTCATGATCTTGTCTGGGTGAATGCGGGCTCTCGGTGGACGGGATCATTGATCAATCATATCACTCCCTTCCTTGTGAATTTCTATCGAGGCATGGATTTGCTTACGAGGGGGGAGGAAAAACGATTTCCGAGGGAGCGGGAGATCTTGACAGCTGAATCGAGTGAATGGACCGAAGACGACGACCGGCTACCCTCAATCCCACCACAGACGACGGCTCAAGGACCCGTTCAGGTGGACGTTATGCCGAGACGGGAGAGGCCAGAACGGCGTTTGGCGAAGAGAAGGAGGGTGGTGAGTGATGAAGAGGGAGATTTGGCGCTGGAAGTCGGAAGAACCGAAACAGAGGTAGAAGTAATCAGGCAGTCAAGAACTCGCGCGAGACCAAAGAAGAGGGCGAATTGAGGGTTGGTGGCAACTGAAGTATCGGATAGCAGCGTGGAAAAGACAGTTGTCCTGATTGTGAGTACACCCGAAGTCACAATTGACGAGTCGACACAGCCTGTGGAGATTGAAGGACCTTCGGGGGTATAAATCAAAGTTCGAGCAGAGGCACCGGCATAACCTTTGAAGGAGGGAACAGATATGGTAAGTCCGAATTCTCTGTCTTCGCAGCAGACACGGTCTGCGGGGAGTGAAGAAATACCTCAACCGAAGACAAGCGAGGAATTGGTGAAGGAGCTTACACTGAGTGACGAAATACTTGAGCAGGTTGTTGCGCAGGTTGGAGGGACTGTGGTAGATACCGCGGACATTACATTGCCGTCATCTCCTACGGAAGATGTGAGACCCGAAGAAGAGAAGAAGACTTCGGAGGAGTAATCGAAGGGGGTAGAGATCACATTTCCCGACTTCTTACAGGACAGTGTAGTTCCACTACTGAAGTACCTGGATAGGAAGAGAGAGAAGTATATTGTGTTCAAGGAAGTAGGATTTTATGTAGAGATGGTGAGAAATAAAACGCAGTTCAAGAGAGCAGTAGCGGTGAAGAGGGAGTGGGATTCCACGACTGAATTGGCACGGGAGCGAGCTGCAAACTTGTCAAACGAGTGCGCGGCAGCAAAGGCTACATTGCATGTGCGGGAAGCCCAGCTTCGGGAGAAGAAGATTGAGTGCGAAGTACTGCAATTGAACATAGCGTAAGAATTTGGATGATGTGCAGAGTTAGAAGATACATGTGGCGAACTTAGTGTCTCTAATGAGAATGCACAGAAAATGACAGTGGATTTGCTCGCGAGGTTGGAGAAATCCAAGGAATCGTACGATGAGGTAGTCAAACAATCGGAGCGATTGATCGTAACTGTGGAAAGACGAGAGAAGAATCATGTTGAAGAAGTTGCTAAGTTGGAGTCCCGAAGAGCCGAAGAAGTTTGTATCGCCGAAGAACTTCAAGGCAAGATCGCAGAGGCGAAGATGGCGGAAAAAGATCTTTGTAGCAAGATTTCGGAGATTGAGGGTAAGTGCAAGGCGGAATTCCGACGTGCGGAGGAGCTATCAGCAAGTCTGGCGGAGGGAGTCCGGAAGCATGAGGAGAAGTTAGCGAATTGGGCCAAGAAATTGGCGGATTGTGAATCGGCCAGGTCTTCGGAGGTCGAATGTAAATTGAAGGTTGAATCAGAATGTCGACGGTTGCGGGACCAGTTAGGCAAGGCGGACATGAAATCGCAGGAGTCGTAACGGAGAATGGAGAAGGCAGAGGAGGCCTACCGTCAACTACGGGACGAGTCAATCGACGAGTTGAAGTTGCGTTTGGAGAAGTGTCTGAACGGATTCGCGATGTGGGGATTGCAAATGGTGAAGTGGTTGAAGCTAGATTCGCTCGAGCGACGGTTGATGAGCGCCAAGACTAGCAGATCCGCAAGACACAAACAGATTGTAGAGTTAGTTAATACATTTTCAGAGGGATTTAATGAGGCGCCCCAGAATGTAGAAGTAGAGATTGTAAATGTGTTGCGTAGGATAGGAGTAGATGTAAGTTCAGATGACATTGTAACCGCTACATCAGACGGCACAGCCCTTGAGATCGATTCGCCTCAGGCGGTTGATATTCCAGAGTTGCCATTGTGAATAAAGAGTCCCAAGGCTCTTTCCTTGGGGGGCTTTTCTGTCAATTGGCTTGTCTTGACTGTAAACATGCATCCACTGTGTGTCTGTGTGCTGGTGTGTGATCCAGACATCGAGCACAGTGCGCTCCTGTTTGTCGAAGTTATCCCATCTGGAGTTGTGTGTATTCAGCTTGAATGTTCTGAGTAGTCGAGTGCTCCTTGGGATTTAAGCAAGTTCAAGTCTGAGTATTCGGGTCAGTGTGTCGGGATGTATGCAATGCTGGGAAGTTTTCCCCCTGAAATATGAGTGTGGGGTCGCAAGCGATTCCTACAAGTGTTGATTGGAAAAGTTTCAGGCTGTGAGTGTGGTTACGCACTACTCTGTGGGTCTTCGGTCGCTGGGTAGTGTCTTCTGGGAGTGGCATTGGCCTAAGAAGTAAAACTCCTTAATAGAATGCTAATCTGTGATAAATCGTGAATTTTGTGGTTGTTTCTGTGTTCGTGGGATCGGATCTGTACCATTATGCTCCATTTTGGTATTTATCTGTCATTACAATTATCATGTTTCACAAATTTTATAACTATTCACTTCTTTACAACATGAACTAGTATCAACAAGACAACTTACTACCTATAGCTATGAAGTAACCTCCGATCTTATAAAGTTTATTTATCTCATGGGCAAGAGGATTACATGCATTTTGATTATGTACATCAAAACACTTATATCCACTTTGAACAATGACTCTTTATACAAAGCATGGAGAGCCATGGATTATCTTGTTAAAGCCAGAGTGTGCAACATTATGTTTGATTTGACTAAGACCGAAGTCTATCTTGCTTATTTGTGTGTTAGATGCATTCGCATTACATTTGTGGTCAAAGGATAGTTGCAACTCATACTTTACGATGTGGCTTGCATCTTAGCTCGGGGGAATGAACACTTCAGTGCCTAGAAAAATGTCAAGTGAGTGGAGCATCAAGAGGATTCGGAATATGCATTTCACACGAGTCAAAAGTCTATTGCAAATGTGATTAACCATTGAAACGAGAGTCGGTGATTATAGCTTTCCTATTGGAGCTGAAGTTAGTGTTGGAAAGATCAGATTTACGAGAATGTTGACCGGACACATTTTATCTCCTTTGCTGTGGAAATACTTATTATGCTCATGATAAACCCCTTTAAACTACTGGTCTACTTTTACGTACACTTCTTAACAATATCTGTTGACGACCTTGCTCCCTAGTTTTGTTTAAATTATTATTGCAAAAAGGCGACATTTATCCGCTATGTCCCAGTGTAACATCCGGCCCTGGTTCCAAAATGTATCAATATTATACCGTCAACTCCTGTCTTCGTTAAAAGTGCCAGCTTGTCAACTGTAAATTCAGTGATCCTTAAAAGTAGATTCTCAGAAGTAGATTTCGTCTAATTTGGGCGAAACGGGAAGATCAAACTAAATTCTACCATGAGTGGATGTTTGCACAAAAAAGGTCTCCTAGGTGATGGCCAACAATCTTCTATAGGTGTCCATTGCTTTCTGGCGGCTCTGTTGCACATCGGACCACGCAACGGAATAGAAGCTACAGGTCAGCTAAGTAAAACCATCACGGCCCGAAGGCGTTTGGAAGTTCAGTGTAACAAACTCCGAACGTAAGGGCAATGGTCTCAAATGGGGCTAGCGGGTAAACACCTATCAGAGAACACATTTGCATAAAGACCGACACATCCTGCCAGGCCGGATTGATAAAAACAGTTTTGGTACTATTGCTCTAGACTATGGATGGGATGAGTTGTTACAAAAGAACTACATCCGTCAGTCAGCTGCATCACGAGATTCTAAGGTCTGTCTGTAGCATCGTCATAAGTATACCACACTACTTCAGCTGTTGGAACTGTATCAAGACGAGCGCGGACTTCGTCTCCAACCTTCAATCAGGAAACATACTGGGATTGACTCATTTCACGTACAGTAGAGCACCATGACCACCATTTGAAATGACGAACTTGAATTTCTCGCAAAGAATGAGTGGATATTGCATTGAACTTAAGAAAAGCGAACTTGAAGATATCTGCTAATACTCCATAGAACTCCAATCAATTAGACATTCAGAGAAAAGATATGGACTCCTACATAACAATTTTGGATCCAAAAGACAGAGAAAAGACCTCCATATATCCCAGTCTTGACTTCCTGCGTGAAGTTCAAGATAAAACCCAACAGCATTTAATGATTTATTAAACGCGTCTTATATGGACAAAGTCAGAAAGATGAGGCAAAACTGAGAACTCGTGATTGCAAAATGTTTCATCCCGTAAGTATCGTGTATTTGTCATCGTGACATGTCCAATGACTTTCCTCTACTACAGCAAAAATCTGTCGAGGAGAGACATTCTTGACATATGATGAAGAAGTATACAACTGTCTGAGCCGCTTTAAATAACCAGGCGTCTCAGCTAAATCACAAGCTCGAAATGCTGCGTACTCCCGGCTGACTAAACCACAAAAGCTGGAATGCACGCTTCGGGTTGGAAACTACTCCATCTGCCGATTTAAGGTAAAAGAAAAAGAAAAAGGGGGAAACAAATAAAACCTTTACAAAGTCATGTTGTGATGGAGAGCCGAGATTTCAAACCTAGTAAATTCTCTAGCTCTCTAATTCTAAGCAGTTTGGCCTTTTTGAGTCTTCCATTTAAACGTCAAGATCAATTTATAGAATCCACAGAGAAACTAAACCCACGATTGATAGGTACTCTGCTCTTTCTTCAAAAGATCCATATTGTCAGACACCTCGAGACAACATCCGGCGGGCTCTCATGGCTGATTGGCCACTGCTTCCTCCAGAAGCTCCACAATCACCGACGTCGAACGCCTCGAGCCAACATAGGATCGGATGGGCACTCCACGGCCATGTGTCCGCGCCCACCACAGTTATTACAGATAATGACCTGGAGACAATCCTTCCCTTTGTGTCCAGGTTGCTTACAGTTCCGACAAACCACGTTCGGAAAGTTCTCATTTGGTCTAGTCCCTCCACCGCCCACAGCCAGTCTGGGGCAGTCCCGAGCGATGTGACCGGGCTGGCTACACCCATTGCAAACTGGGCTATTTAGACAATCACGGGCCAAATGGCCAGATTGCCGGCAGTTGTTACACGCCTTCTCGTTGGGACAGTCGACTGAGACATGTCCTGGTCGATAGCAATTGTTGCATAGCCTAGACTTCGGAAGACCCAGCTCCTGTGCAGCACAACCCTTGGCGATGTGGCCAGGTTTCCCACACATGTTGCACACTGGCTCATTGTGACACTCACTCGCAATGTGCCCGGGTTTCTTGCAGTTACGGCATAGTGGTTCAGTTGGGCACGCTGCAGCTATATGCCTGCACAACAGCATCATGATTGACTCGGAACTATTAAGAACAAGCTAACCATTACCATGATAGACCACGAGTGCAGAGCACTCAGACCCATTAAAAAATCAATAACGATTGAATGTTGACTTGAGTCTCTTCGACAAAAAATAGGAAGAAAAAATGCAAACAATTTTAAAACATGATAATCAAGATAAAAAACCATAAAAAGGGTGCTCATTTATATACTATGTAATAGACAAATACATTGAAACACCAATAAATCTTGTCCGTGATGAGTGTAACAAAAAATGTGGTAGGTTTTATACAAAAATGGCCAGGAACGAAGAGATATATTGCAATATTGATAACATTGGTATTGGACTAAGATGAAGATGGTCCACGATTCGCTGGGAGCTCACTCCAAGGTTGTTTCGACACTGGACCACTCCAATTAAAACTTTTATCTCTTACTACAAGTTAACTATAATCTATCTGTTAGAGATCTCGAAAAATGAAAACATCATGTTTTCTCTTCAAAACATCTTTCTAAGAAGCTGTATAGTTTATTATGGAGAAATGAAGTAAGAAGTCGTGAATCACACGGGAGCAGTTTCGTTTGTTACACGATAGATAAATAGCTGAAACGTTAATTAACATGCCTGTAAAAAACATAATGCACAAGAATAGAGACTTTGAATGAACATACCCTGAAACACCACAATTGTTGCAGACCGATGCATTGGGACAGTCCCTTGCAAAATGTCCCGTGCGTCTGCAGTTATTACATAGCTCTAAGAGCGGCCTGTACCAAAGAAGAAAAACAGACAAGTTTTAGCACATGTCATGAAAAGAAAACAGCAGCGATGTCAGATATCCACGACCGAAAAAGTCATGGAAGTTTGTAGTTGTTTCTACGGCTGGCTGCTCAGTAGCCTGAACTGAGATATCATCCCACCCATCTGTTTGTGTATTGGACAGGATGTTTTGAATATCTGTCACCCAGTAATTACAATGTCCGAAATAGTTGTGCCGGCCCGCAACAAGTAACATCTTGTAGTACAAAGATATAACCAACCTACATAACTTTCCGATCAGCAAGGATGACAACTGATGTGGTGACAAAACTTTGGCCAAGATGAGCCGTAAAATAGACGGAGTTCGTGTGCAGCCTATGGAGACTTGATGACTTCATCCGCGTGTACTTGATGGTCTCGACGTAACCGAAGTGACTTTGAACATAATGGCAGGGACTTTATAGTTCCAAATCCCATTGAACTCAAAGTTGTTTCCTCATCGAAGAGAATGAACTTTGTGTAAATGGTCGATGGCCTTCACTACCGCACAATTTTAAACTAAATGGCACAAAAACTTTCATGGTAACTATATACAAACTTTGACTATCCTTACCTCTTCATAAATTCTTATCCAAACAATCAATCTGATCTCATTCTCCCACGGTATCTCCCAAGAATTCCCAACCTATCACTTCAACCCTCGGATATACCGAAGCCGGTAAAGCCAGCAGCCGACTGAGCAACAACGACAAATCACCTCTACTAAACCCCTTCCCACATAACAACTGACAGCTTTTACTTCAACGTCAAGTATTTCATCTTCACAGATATCTTCCTTCACCACAACTGCCACATACATACACAACATCCGGCTCCCTTCACCACTTCCATCCTCCACACATATCTACCACCTCCTTCCCTCAACATCTCACAAAGACTCCAACCTGAAAAAAACTCCAGTGGACAACTTCCAACCACCCTCCCTTCAAAAGAAAATGCTTCCCCTTCCCTCCCTTCTTCGACACCTCCCTGCAGTAAACAGATCTCCCTCCGTCATATAGTACAGTTGATGCTGTCCAGGTCGATGGATGGAACAATCACCTGGCTGGGGGACGAGCAAACCCACTCTTCTCACGAGGGAACACTTTGTAGGGGATGCTTCGGCGAAAAGCTCTCTTGCCAACAATGCCGCTTTGAATGCGGCGTGAGGACGAGCGGGACGTTAAGTCGTCAAGACTCATCCCAAGCTTGGCTTGAGTATCCAGCACCACCGACATCCAACTCCCTCCTCAAAAAACCCCCGAAAGGAATAAACAGGAGATAAAATGCCTCTGAAAGCGGATTGCCTCTGCGATTCGCCAATGCTCCGCCAATCTCCTAGTTCCTCCCTTCTAATTTGCCTGCAACCCCCTCCCGGTCTCGACCTCGGCACGTAGGCAGCTTTGCTCTGCTCCGCTCCCTCCCTTCGAAACAGGAAAATGGTCTCCGGGGCTTGGACTAGACGCTCCACCCGCTCGTTCTACGGCTCCCTTACAATTCGCATTTGCTCTGGTCTTCGCAATTATACCCCCACAGGCCTTCTGCAACTCTTAAAAGTTTCGTTTACCCTTCACTGATCTTAAATTTGAACTTTACTGAGGAGAAAGCAAAGGTACTTATTAGAATAGGGATCAATAGGCTTGCAACCAAGAAAAGGAAAGAGGACCTTCACACACATCAGCACTTCTCCACCTCTTCCTTCACGAAAAGAGAAACAACTGGTGCGGCATCTGAGATCGATGCGAGAGCAACGGCAGGTTATTTTCACTCGTGGACATTACAGCCGATCAGATCTTCCTTATCTTCCGAAACTAAACCTAGAAGAAGTGTTGTGTACAATTTCCAATTCAAAGGGATGTTAACAAGATCTAACTCCAACTTCCTCTTGTAAAGCTCAAAAGCACGTCCTGCATCCGTTGTTGGCTGAAAATACCTCAGTTCTTCTCAGCTCTTCCGCAATTTCTCTCTCCTTCAACTACAATCCAGTCCCAAAACTCTTCACCACCAACAGACTCCGCCCCTGCCTGCCTGCCGCTCTCCCTCCTCTCCTCCTTCTCGCCCTCTTCTCTCCCACAACTCTTCCAACCTCCTTCCCCCACCCTCGCTCCTTCCCTCCCTCCCTCTCTCGACAATCGACTCCCGCTGCCTCTTCTCGCCCCAAACAACAAAGTTTTCTCTCACCTCCCTCTCGCGCTCTCTCCCTCTCTCTCTCTCTCCTCTCGAGCTGCAAAAACTCTCTTCTATGACTCCTCGCTCCTGCTGCTGCTCTCTCTCCCACTGTTCCTCCTCTCTCTCTCTGGTCCCCTCGTCCCCTCGGCCGCCCTTCCAAAGCTCCTCGACCTACAACAGACTTCCTCTCCCTCTCCCACAAAACCCTTCCTTCCGCTACAATACTCGACAGACGAAGAGAAAAACGACTCCAATAAAAGACACCGAAATAACAAAATTGAATTAAGACACGCTGATCACGATCTTGCCCTCTCTCTCTCTCTCTCTCTCTCTCTCTCTCCTTACTCCAACTCGCTGTCACCGAGATTTCGACCCTCTGCTGCGACTCTCCTCCTCCTCCTCCTCCTGCTCCCTCTCTCTCTCCCTCTCCGCTCCTGCTCTCTGCTGCTCTCCCGTCTTCCTCTCGCCGCTCGCTCGTCTTTCTCGTCTCCCCTCCCGCTCGCTGGGCAGGCAGGGAGGCAGGCGGGCGGGCAGGCAGTTGCACCAGTGCCCGGCCTTCCGTCATGGAACCCAGAGCGGGAACGCGTCAGTCCAGTCCACTCCCGTCCCGTCCAGTCCAGTCCAGAGGACGGCTCGGTGTCCTCCTGCCCTCGGCTTCGCTTCGCTCGCCGGACCGAAACCGATCTGGCTGCCTGCCGGTTTCTTGGTCCTCCCTTGCCGAGGACTTTCCCTGCGATGCCGGTCCTACGCTCGTCGGTTCGTTACGCGCGCCCATGCGCCAAACCCTAAGTCCGCTCCTCTACGACGCGGGGAATGTTCTCCTACCGAACGCTATCCTTCCCTCATTAAATACGACTCCTCGAGAACAGTATTTCTCCTCTTCACCCATGCTCGCTTTGTTTCATATTTCAGCTTTGTCCGCTGCAAGTTCATCTGCATCCGATGTATCGAGCTGACACAGGATTTTCCCTGTAGCATTCCATGCTGCCTAGCTCACCTCTAGCACTTTTTGCTATTTCGGCGAACCACCACTCTTTGTTATGTCTACAAAGTAAACAGATCTTATTTGTTCAATTCTCTACTTGTGATTCTCACTTTTTATTTTTCTTCAATTGACTACATATTGTCTCAGTCTCCATGTGTATGAGACAAAATTCATGTCGTACAATGTCATGTCACCCTTTAGGTCTAGCTTTAATCCGTGTCTTTATGGATGAACAGGTTGTTTGATCCAGCTCTAGAATCGCCATCAATTTAACACCCACTTCTAGTTTATTAACATATGTCCACACTGTATACAACTTGCACTAACCACTCCTCAACATGATGAAATTCTGCATTCGCTTTGTACATCCATCTACATTTTCCTCACTTCCATGTGAATGTATTAAAATGTTAAATGGAACACATCCATGTGTCTCCATGCCATTCTAAAGGACAGCATAGTTATTCGTGAAGTCCTTAATAATGATTTCACATTGTGACTATGGTGTTGCCTACAAACAAGGAGCATGTTGATTATTTATCCTGTATGTAAGATAGATTCGCTTGGGCTGATATGGATGGTGGCTATATCAGCATCAGTCAAGGTTAGGTTCAAATTCTCATTGATAAGAACTTTAATTCTTTAGTTCTTCGGAGGTATATGAAACTATGCTCACCAATTTCCTGATTATTTATTCATATTTGTGAGATTAATTACAAATCATACTAAGCAACATAAATTTCACTGTCTCTATATTACTGTATATTAAATATTAATCTATTTTTTTTTCATATACAATACACAATGTTATTAATTATATATTAAACCATTCAACAAATATAGTTCAAATATTATAAGTGCAAAATGAACAAAGTCTTATTGTGGTGCAGTTGCATGCTATGCTAGTATTCTCTTTTGTAAAATCAAACTCAGCTTTAAATTTTTGAAAAATTACACTTTACTCTTAATCTTTATTTGATATAATTTCGTACTTCAAACATAGACACTTATACATTCTGTCATAAACTTAGTTCTAGTATATCACATTCAAAAATACTTACATTATACGCAAACTTTGTGCTATTACTAAGTTGAGGTGTATTAAACTGATCTCTATGCAAGGAAAAAATTTACCTACTCGAAAATGGGAAATAAAAAACTTGCTGAGATCCAACTTGATTCATTTTATATGATGGAATCCTAACTGCAATTCAACCCATCATCCATATTTTCATACGTGTGTGATTTCAAAAGTGCATTTCATAATTTGAATGTAGTGATAATTTTAATTGGAATTCCTTGATGTCCATTACATCAAGTAGATATGAGTTATTGATATGTGGCGAGTTGATAATTCTAGTTTACCATAGTAACTCCCTGATACACTTTAGCAATGTTGCATATGAATTTGGAACATGAAATTTGCAAAATTGCTTATGGCATTTTGAGTTGACTCGTTGTTCCAAAACTAGCGAATGCAGTAGATTGTACTTTCCCGACACATTCTATCATGATATAATGTTGAAAACTTACTCCTGTAAGCAAAACATTTACAAAAACTCGCATTGCAACATAGATGATGATGGAGTGCAAAAAAGTCGAGGAGCTCCATCAGATAGAATGAATCTTGTTGGATTCCAACAAATACTTTGTGTTCCATAGATATATCATCAGGTAATGTTTTTATGCATGGCATCAATAAATGCATCAATGTTAGGATTTTCAAGTACAATAAATGTGATATTGATAGTTGCACATTGAATTTTAGATTCTTTGCCAATGAACATGTGTAGAAATTTAAAAAACTAAATGTATATCTTGTACTTTCTAATTTTTTCAAATAATTCAAAACCAAATAAATCAAGTTGAATATCACTTAACATAACAATATACAATCAATACATATAGTAAGAAATATGTTGAACATAGATTAACGATGGAAAATTAAGATCTTTTCAATCAATATTTGATTAAAATGTTGTGAAACACATCTCAAATATGTATGAATCACACCACTTGCATATTGAATAAATATTCACCATACTTTCATCTTTAAGCTCATAAATGCATATATAGAGTTCTCATTGCATGTCTTATAATATGTTAAAAAATCAATACTTTTTAATTGAGTCTCAAAAATATTGTGAAGTATTTGATCTCATCATTGATATTTTACAACATGTATCATTACAGAAATTAATTCCTTGTAAATATTGTAAAAAAATTTCAAAAATATTTTATTAGTTTTATATATATATTTTTAGAAATACAAGACAAAATACTTGATGATTTGAAAAGTAATCCATCATTATAGGTCATGCGTTCATAAAATGCGTTCACAATTAAAAAAACGTTCATGCGTTCACAATTAAAAAAAATTCTTCATCCAATATGGTCATATTTATCAAATCACATAGCTTCAAAGAAAAGAGAGTTTTTTTTTGGAAAAAAAAACCATACAAATATTACTTTATTTCAATCAATTTTTGTATATGTGATTTTGTTTTTTATTTACAATAATATTTTGGATTATGAAAATAATATCGATATTAAAATCGTATGTCATTAAGTTTAATTCAAATATGTTCTGTAAACTTAAATAATATAATACTTAGTAAATCAAGTCCAACATTTTCATAACTTGAAGGTGAGTACATATTATATAACTAGGCTACATTGTTCATTAACTTATTGACATTTTGTCACATCCATCTCAAATAGATCTGCAATTGAAAAAAAAGAAACATTCTTGTAGTAATTAATAATCATGACATCATCTCCACAATAAATCAAGGTCAAAATACATTCAGTGCAATAAAGATCATGATCTAGTTGTTTAACGTTAAAAATTAGATGTAGATATAGCTTAAGACAGTAATTCAAATTAAATTATTTATATGTTTACAATAAGAAAAATATTATCAACATTTCTTTTTCCAGAATACTTATGAATACGAGTTATTTGAAAATTATTGTATATATGTATACAATATACAACTTGTATCGATCACTATTAATTGGCTCTCAAAAACAGGGATAAGTTTCTCAGATTTTCGAACTTCTCACTCCAAGATAGACGCCAATAGATATGTTTTAGAATGCTATAATATTGCGTGGTTCATTTTTCACAAATGTGGCCTTGTCTAAGTTGTTAGAGCAACAACGCTAAAAAAAGTGATTCAACCAGTACCGAAACATAAGCTCCAAAATTCGATGGTGTGTATCATTTACAAGAATGAAAACATTCCAGGCGAGTCTGACTAAAATGGATATTGGTCTACATGCCATAATGTCGGGCTTAAAATGTTGAAGAATTCCTCAAGCTTTTGAGAACAGAGTGTTTTCACTTCCAAATCTTGCAAATAATGAACGATATTCCTCGGTGCTAATGGTTAACATGACTTCGACTGGATGGATAAACTAGCACGCTGAACATGTGGCCAAGTATAGACTATGTAAATCAGCGGCCTTTGAGAATCTACAGGTGATAACTTACACATTTCTGGATGTTATCGATGCACCTACAAGCTTTGTAGACCAGCGCAGTAAATTTTCCTCGTGCTTGTCCAGATAGTAAAATGGAACAGATTGAACCCTTCTTCGAAAATTCTTCAAGAAATCTCAAGAAAGAGAAGAGACATTCGGTAACTGTGAAACCTAGAAAGGAAATACCCTGCACACCCACGACGAAGAAGACTGATATAAAAAGCACGATGCACGGCCATATACGGAAGAGATAATTTGATACCCTTTCAATATTATCTTAAACCTCTCGAACTATAGCCCTCCTCAATTCCAAAAGAAGCACCTTTTACAGTTCCTTCCGGCATCAACGCCGCCATACCGAATTCGTCATCTCTCGATCATGACATCATCATCCGAAGAACCTGCCTTGCCTTGTGAAACTCACGTCGAGGGAGGCGGGAACCGAGAAAAGAAGCGTGAATATCTCCCAGCAGATTACAAAGCACAAACACCAGACGAAATTCTTGCAGAGAATCCCTGCGGTGATCACAATGCCTGCAAACGAACTCGACACATCAGAACCTAACTACAGGGGGGCTCAAACATTTCGACGGACAATGGATCTGCTGGAGGAGGCACTTCCAGCCACCGCCAACATTCTGACTACACTTCGTCCTCCTCTTATTCAGCTAAGAACGACGCCAGGAGCACATTACCGAAGCTCAGCTTTTCCAAAACTGGCATCAAGGAATGAAAACTGTCAAACATGAAACTAAGGTCCAGGTCTAAGAAATAACGACGTAAAATATCAGATAATGATAGCATTTATATATTTTATTTTGTCTAACCCATCAACTAAAGCAATTATTTTACTGAAAATCCCCAAGTTAGCGGTCTGGCCCTTAACCCGCTTGCATCGACGTGGTGCCCGTTTGTCCTTGTTGGCAGTAAGGACGCGTGTGTGGAGTCGAAGTCTGTCCATATGATGGACCAGAGCTGAGGCAAAGGTTCCCGCAGCCATCACCAAAGAAGGTGCCGGGCTTGGACTCAGAGCGAACAGAGCAGGAGTGGTGACGTTCTGAAAAGTGTACTGAAAAGTCCTTCCTGGAACTATGTTGCAGGCACACACAAGGCAAGAGGAAAAAGGCGGCGAAGAGAATCCTCTTGCTAAGGAAACATCTGAATTCAGAGCATATTATTTTCAGCGCAGCCGCTCTAGTGTGTGCCAAAATCAAGCGGTGCCCCGAGTGCAATTCCTGCCATCTTCGCTAAAGCACGAACAGCTTACGTTTTTCCTGCCTCCCCTTTGCATTTGATCTCCCTTCCTGCAAACCATGGCCCCCGGTATTGGCCCGTCCCTGGGCACCCTAGCTGACATCCAAGCGACTGACCAGATGCCTGGGGATCAGCAGCGGTAGTACAGTAGACATGCACTCACATCACTGAAATCCCTGCCATTCCATGATTGTCGGAGTTGAGAATGATGATTCTGCCCAAAAGCTTAAAGACATATATCGCAACAACACAGAAAGTTTGAGTGTTTCACGAATTAAGTAATAATACTTTCCTTCACAAGGTTGATAACGCGGTAAAATATTTCTCAGTCATAAATTTAAATTTCCACTGGTAAAGTTTAGGTCTAAATAAAGACACAAAGAATATCTCGAAAGTACTCTTATCCAACTTCGATAGGGATGTGTAGCAACTTCCACGATGTACTACATCCAACTAGAACCAAAAGTTACTGTTTTGAACTTGAATCTAGACGGTTTACTCTTTGGATAGTGTCGCGCTTAAGAGGTTCTAACGGAGTTGGTTACATAACATACGTGGTTGTTACACCAAACGATGTTTCAGACAAGATGGATAATCATCACCTTCGGCAAAGATACTAACATCAACCTCATGTGTCTTCAAGGATAAGAAATTGACATAATTATGTCATCGTTCATATCTTATGAAGAAATAAACGCTTCAGCAATTTTATAAAGATCATGCCTTTTTTAACGTGCAATCCCCATCCTTTGGGAAGCCTCAAACCTATGATCTTTTCAATTAGATTATATAAGTTTCATTGATGCTAATTAATGCTTGAACTTACATAATTCAAGTCATGGTTATCACTTTCTTTCTCACATTCTCATGATATATATCAATATCTTAATAATAAATCTCCATCAATTCACAAGATTATTTTCACAAAATATTTGACTCTAATATAAATAATGATTATCCTCATATTCATATTTTGTGTGAATCCAAAACATATTTTTTCATTATCATATCATTAAATGTTAACTTGATACATTTTTCCAACTTGTACACTTTTTTAATTGCAAACCGTGCTAAAGCATCAAAATGAAGAAGAAAACATCTATCTTGAAACTTGTATCATCTAGTCATATACAAATAGAAAGTACTCTAAAGGTAAAAATATATAAATACAAACTTTAAAGATGATTGAATAAACTCATTAATAAGTAAAATTATTTACATTTTTAACATGATTTTCACCTCAATAACTATATATTATTAAGATTTTTTGACACTTTCAATATCAAATCAAGGCAAGAGTATTCCTGATCATTACTTTATGCATTTACTCATGCTCTCCATGACAAATCTTCGCCAGTGTATGTTGTTAAGAAAAAGATTAATCATTCTGATGTGACATAAGGAAAAGTTTTGATATAGCTATAGCAAAATATTGCAACTGAGCGTGATATGAACTACCTTATGAATAACAGGATCTCAAAGCTAGCGGAGCTTTTAAGAAATCGAAACTTGATTGAAACCAAGTACAGATGAAGCGAAACATTGCAATGGAGCGTGATATGAACTCCCTAATGAATCACAAGACTCAAGGAACTAGTGAAACTTACTAAAAATCAAACTTTGATTGATAACAACTAAATGTATAAGCTGAGATGCAATCCAACAAATGAAGAATGAAGAATCTTCAAAGTCAGATTGGTGATTAGAGGTTTGACAAAAAAAAAGATGCAATTGACAATAAAATGTACTCATTTGTAGCAAATTATATTACAATTCAATTAGCATGTGCACTGGCTGCAACAGTTTGTTTGATTATGGATTAAATAGATATTGTTAAAACATTTTTTGAGTAAAACATTTACACAAGACAATCGGTTAAATTTAAATAAAATTATCATGAAAAGTTGATTTATAGTTGAGTGAGATCATTTTATTGATTGAAACAAATTACTAAATAGTGAAATTTGATGTTTAATAAGTTCATCGAAGCATGAAACTTTACACAAAATATGTATGATTCATATGTTTACTTGAATAAGATGCTTTATTTGCATAACATGCTTATTTTCGCAAAAAATTAATTTGCCGATGCAAAATTCAGCTAAATTTTACATTTAAAATAAATTTAATGAATAAATCCAATAATACATTAAAAATGTATATCCATAGAAAGTTGGAAAATTGAACGTTATTGTTGATAAAAAAATACCTTTAACTAGTGTTTGATCAATTACACATAATAAATTTATAAGATTATGTACTTCTTTGGCAGCAAATTTTAAAGTATTATGGATTTCTTTGGCAGAAAAAATTAAACTTTTTGCATTTTAGTCTATAAAAACCATTCTTCAGAAGTAAAATACATCAAAATATATAGATTTCCTATGACAAAATTTTGAACAGTTTTATATATTTAATAATATGTGGAAGATCCAATCATGCTCTTACTGTAATACATGTTTGTTTCAAATTCAAGGAAATTTCATTGAAAAACAGTCAAATGTACTATCACGTATGTGAGGATTACTAAATATTATGATTTATTGTTTGATAATTTATTAAAAAATATAAAATCGTTATTACATTATGTTGATGCTAACTATGAACAAGATCCAAAAAATAAAATATTTACAACTAGATTTGTGTTTAAATTCGATAAATAATACATTCGTTGGAGATCTTTTTTGCAAAATTGTGTAACTCAATGCACACTGGAAGCTAAAAAAAATATGAATGCATTAGTTGGATATCTATTTTACAAAATTATATGATTAAATGCACACTGAAAGCTAAAAATATAGCGGCACGTGTACGAGCAAAAGAAGTTGTTATGTTAAATATGTTTAATACTAAATGAGAAATAAATACAAGGGTCTCAATCTTCATTGTAACAATCTATATGCATTAAATCTTGCTCCAAATTATACAATAAAAAGTTGAGCAAAACACATTAACATCAATAATCATTTTATTCTTTGTAATTTTTGATAAAAAAAAACCAAACTACTCAAGAATCAATGGTAATTCAATCCAACTCATTCGTTGATCAAGGTAATTTCTTTGAAAAATTTGAAAAATCATTATATTATTATGAAGCTTTTGCACGAGGACTACAAGTATAATTTGTAAGCAATTTTGTTTGGAATCTATATCTTTTTATATCATCATGATTTGTCTATGGCTTAATTATAATTAGTTATAGTTTAGACATGCGTATGTGTTATATAGACATGTTTCTATGTTATGTTTCTTTCTATAACTTTACTCAAAGTTATTATATGACTTATGGAACCTTTTGTCTCCAAGATAGAAGTTAAGTGGAATATTATAAGTATTAATTGAACTACTATGTTAGCTCTACTTAGCTAAATCTGAGTTGTGGTTGAATTTGAATTAAAACTCAAATTTTTTTGGCATAGAATTAAATTATAATTTGTACTATCCATTAGATCTAAGAGCGCAAGCCATAACTTGCAATGAATATTTTATACACTTTTAGAAAGTTATATTTTTTCTTATGAACATAACACAAAATGATAAATCATGTATATGTTGGCTCGGCGTCGTGTACTTTGCTATATTCCTTGATTTATTGATCTCAAATTCTACACAAATACATATGTAATCAATTTGTTTTCATAATTTTTCATGTAAAGTCCAAGATGAATTTTTAATGAGATTGTTATTTTTGCTAAATTGATAAGTTTTTTTCCAGAAATTTTAAAAACATTTTAATAATTATATTCAAGTATATAACAATAACAAATTTTTTCAATACTTATGAAATAAAATAAATTTCATGATTTTGAATCAGTATATCCATATAAAACCTCAAGTTTGTATTCATTTTGTATGTACATATTAAAATTTTAATTTATAATTTATAAATATATTATGCATAATTATTTCTGAACAAAATAAAAAAATATATTAATAAAAAATAATTCAAAACAAAAATAGAGAAAATAAACAAATAAAAATTACAACAAAATCATAAAGAATTTGATGTTATTTTATTTAAAACACAGATTAATTTTACTTATCATAAATTGATTATACAAAAAATGGAGCATGTCAAGTATGTTAAGAAGTCTCCTTATAGTGATTAAGATAAATTAAGAATATGATTGTATGATAGACAGTTAAATTTGTAAGTATCTATAATTTTTAAAATTAATATTGTTAATCAAAAACCTTAAAAAGATAATCAATTATATTTTTAAATTCATATGTAATTAAAATATTTTGTTTGATAGTTTATATAAAAAAACCTTATCACTATTTTGAAAGCCGATTTGTAGATGTATGTTATTTCAGTCATATAAATTGAAATTTTTATTTATATAATAAAGGCAAAAAACCTTAAAAAGATAATCAATTATATTTTTATATTCATATGTAATTAAAATATTTTGTTTGATAGTTTATATAAAATAACCTTATCACTATTTTGAAAGCCGATTTGTAGATGTATGTTATTTCAGTCATATAAATTGAAATTTTTATTTATATAATAAAGGCAAAAAACCTTGTTTTTTTAGTTGCATATATACGATTTAAGATTGTAATTGTAAATTGCAAAACTCACATTTGCAAGCTATGATTTGCAAAACTATCAAGTAAAATGATATAAATTCATTTGATGTTAATAATAATGTTAATTGATATATTTTTTCATTTCAAGCAAATTTTTAAATTTCCAAAATTAAATACAAAAATAACGTCTTCAACTTGATGTTTTTTTATAATTTGAATTATGAACAAAAATAGCTGTATCATATATTAAAAATGTTATCATGTAGTGTTTTCAAAACCAATGTATGTTGTTATGTACATTTGTTAGTTCAAAAAACATACAAAAAAGCATAAGACAATTGTTATACATTCATTGAACGAGATTTCAAAAAAATTACATGTAAAGATATGATTTAGTTTAAAAAATTAAAATTAAAAAATTATATTTATATAATTATCTTTCAACTTTATTTTCAAAAAAATTTTATCTTTCAATATTTGGTTTTTTCCAATTTAAATTAACTTTTTATTTTTATTTTTATTTAAGTATAATAATAATATGTTAAATTTTCAATCAAGCATCATCATGCAATTGCATCACAAGCTTCTTAACAACATGTTATACAACAATTTATATTTTTCAACTCTAAAATGAAGCTTTTGTCAACAACAAAATATTCATTATCAATGCAATTTCATGATTATATTAAATACAATAATTTAAATGTAAAAATATATATTTTTTGTTATATTTCTAAATTTTAAAACTTTCTATAAAATTTTCTAATATTTTTGTAAATTTATTTTGTGGATCTTCATTTTTTGATGAAATACTTGAGATTGATCAACATATTATTTTATTAATTTTGTATAATTCAATTTAGTTCCTAGTTTCAAAAAAATTAATTTGATTCTTAAGTGCATGATTTTTGATTTCATCTATATTCAAACTCCTTTCTCTGCCACCATATAGAAAAAAATATGAACATTTTTCTGTTTTTTTCTAAATTATATTTTTGATTGTTATGTTTTAAATTTGTACAAGTTTTATATTGCGTTGTTTGACTTTTCAGATATACATTTGAAATTTTGGAATAAATTTTATCATTCAAATTTTACAAAGTTTGCATGATAAACTTGTTTGAAAATATATTATATGTTTTTTTATTATACAAAATTAAATTACATTTTTTAATAAAATATTTTTTAAATTTTAAATTACATCATTATGTAACATTTCATACTATTTTTTAAATATATGTGTTTTAACAAAATATAAAATTAAATGTATGATGAAATATAAAACAATATTTACAAATTTGTTGGATATGGAAAAAATTTGTATTTAAAATATATATTTTTTCAATCAAATTATTACCTATAAACCTCAAACATCAAATTATAATTAATAGACTTAAAGGTTTTTTTTTTTAATTTTAACATTGTAAATATTATATGATAAGGAAGAGATTAGTTCTCCCTCATTTTTGACTAAATATACCTCATTCAATTATACTCTCTTCTAGAGAGGTTTGTGATTAGTCAAATGCAGGGACTGACCAAGATATAGTTTTTACGTGATGGGTGTATGTTAATGATTTGTGTTGCTTTGACTAGCTAGAGAGAGTTTCAGGAGCGGATTATCGGAATCAAAGACACAACGTAGAAGCCAGCCATAGTACTCAATCAACTACAACCTTGTAATCAGACATTGCACGAGAATTGAGTCCGATCAAAGCTCAAATGGCTAGCATGTGGATTGTTTCCTAATGAAAAAAGTGCATGGGCGTGGAACCATGAACATGAAGGTGAAATTCCATGGTGGGGTTGTGCATGCTCGTTGTGAAGATACATTAGGCTAGAAATTGAAATCGAAAGTGAAAGAAGTCTAAAAATCAGTATTAAAATGAAACAAGTGCAGAGAATGTCATACAAAATCGTCACCGTGAACATTGTATAAATTCTATAGAAATTCTAATGCTTTCAAAAAAAGCTAGGGAGAAGGCTTTGATGTGACGTGGCATACATGACTTTGACATGACGTCTGCAATGTCAAAGCCACTTCCTCATAAAACTTAAATTATAACTTCATTTGTGCTTCTTAATCCAACACAAACAGAAAACGTTTTTTGATAGAATGGCAGAGTGGAAAAAAAAACTTCCTCAATTCACAAAAAAGTCTTTATTTTAGAAGTAATATCCATCCATCCATCCCGCAAAAACTACATCCCTGTCTTGTACTTCCATCTTATCAATCACAGAATTCTACAGAAAAAAGTATACTAGTATGAGGAAGATTTAGCAAAAAATAAGTTATAACTATCCGCTTCCTAGAATAATATATTCAACATGCTTTGAAAAAAAAAAAAAGATTTATTTGTGATTCAAAGAAACAATATGAATATCAACATCTTGTTTCAAGAAATTACTTGATGGGATTCCATTGAAACACTTTGTAGGTTACTAGTATCAATCATGTATCATTTTATATAATGGACCTCCACTTGCGACACACGTCATCCATGTTATACATTCTACCTACACTGAAAGAGTAACTAGTAAGAGCAAAAGATGAGAATAGACCTTTGATCAAAGAAACAATTTTCAAAAAATTAGTTGTTTTGTTTAAATACTATCAGCATATTGATCAAGTTGCGTGCACAAATTTGGAAAAAAATTTGTGAGAAGAAAAAAAAATCAGATTGTTGGATGAATTTTGCATTGTGGAAGTATTAAGCAGAAGTCGGAAGTGTTCACTCTTTTGAAATTTAAGACGTAGCGAAGTAATTTTTGAATGTTGTAGCTTCAATGATGTGGAGTTTTTTATGCGGAAATAATATCAAGATTCAACACTTCTTGAGTAAGTGACACTCCTTTATGCACAAAACGTAATAGAATTGAACAACTCTAGTAATATTTCTTTGCAATGAAAAAAATGTTTTTTTCATCCGACTTTTTTCATACTCCTCTCCTATTACTCATCCTGCATTGTTGATGGATAGTGAAAAATGTATTACGTGTGCCGTCGATGGGATATCACTGTGTAAAACAATACTTAATAGATACTAGTAAGCTATTTGTGTTATGAGAGTATACTATCAAGTAAGCTTTTATGCTTCAAAATTTTCTCTTCAATTTGCTTTTCAAATATTATTGTATATTTTAGATAATAATCACATACATTGCACTGTATTGAATTATGTGAAGTGCAAACTTTTCAATTTTTATTAAAAACACATCTTGTTATTAACTTATGAAGATTGTCTCTTGTGTTGTTTGTTCAAAAAAATGATATTTTAAGATTCATATAAAAATAAATTAACAATTATGAAAAAAATTTAAACTTTGTTTATATATATTAATTTATAATGTAAAGCAAAGAAATAATTTTAATTTTAATATTATTAACAAAAATTAGTGATAAAATATTAAAATTTTTAATTTGATTCATGTCATAACAATCTTAGATCAAACACACAAATTTTAATATGCTTGAAACATTTTATTATATTCTTTGAATATTGAAAGATATGTTTGCATATGAAGTAAGAATAAACATATATTATCATATGATTGTAAACTTTATGATGAACATTGTGATACTACTAATAGAACTTACATATTTCAATTAAAGTGAATCATCAATCATTAACAAAATATGACACATTTCATAAAAAATGTATTGTATATTTTGCGATTGCTAAGGTTATCATCAAGTTTTTAGTTTTTTTGTTTGTGAATGTAAATATGAAAGTCATAGTGTTGAATTGTGGAGCTATAAAATTATACAATGTCTAGTATGATAAAACATATAAGTCAACTTCTCTCCATGTGAGAATACTTTATTGAGTAATTACAAATTCATACTATATTTTCACTAAATGAAACATATTAGTAGTGGATGTGTGATTCATAAGTTGAATATTTTGTATTGACAATGAAAAATGTATCAACTATGTTGTTGAAATATTATCACACAATCACAAATTCATGTCATTCTGACACCATGATGATAACATCATTGCATTGTTGAATTTATTGATTACAATATTAATAGCACAACTCACATTTCATGTCAACATCTTTCTTTTAATCTATGAAAAGTGCAATTAGTAGTAAGGTGATTTGTGATTTTGTAAGTAGTAGTCTTTCAGTACTATTCTCCTTATATAAATAACTGATCATTTTCTTTATTAGTTGCAAATATTTGATATAGATGACATCTGACATTCAAGCATATGTTTCAAAAAGAATATGATGAAGAGTTTGATTGCCTTTACAAATGATATTATCACAACAAATACTCTTTACTACAAATCATAAAGATATTACCCAAAGAGATTTAAATCATCATAAAACATAAAACTTACTTTATTTTACATCAATTTTGTGTTGTTGATAATGATTGAATGTTAATTATATTACTACAAACTTAGAATTTTTGTTCATTTGAATTTATGCTAAGAGTAATAAATTCTTAAAATATTGCATGTATCACAACTTAAATTACAACAATACCATTCATTAAAATCACCATAATGATCAAGATCAAATGAAGTATTATTTTTCTCATTTGATCAATATAACTTATATTGCTGAACGATTTATATTCAAAGGTGTAAATTTAAATCTGCTTGTAAGAATTGAAGTTTCAAGTGAATTGTTTTATAATAAGAATTTTACAGTAATTATTATGATTACTGTAAAATTATTATTATTATTTCTACAAGACGATACTTTTATAACTATGGTATATAGATGAATGTTCAAAATAGCTGATGAAGTATTACAATGTTCATGATATTCTATAAGGTGAAGAAACTTTTTGCAACCCGGCATGATGGAATATAGCCGGATGATGCTGAAAAGGTTACAAAGTTTCATCAGACAATTGCCGCATGTAACTTCCGCCATGAATGTGAATGCGACTTTGTGGTCGGAACGTCCGAGATTTTCTTCCAAAACTTTTATTCCAATAACACAGTGACAGCTGGCATACGGAAAATCCCACGAGATGCCGCACCGCCACGTGGCAGCTCCTTTATCGTCTTCTTTTTTCTGGAGAGCTCTATCCGTTCTGTTTATTTTACTTCCTATTCCAAACCTTCGGACGCCTAAAATCCGGCCATATATTCAATTCGAGTCTCCCGAACATATTTCCAAAAGAAAACGGACGGCTGGAAATCGCCGTCACTAAAGTATTGCGATGATAGATAAATAATATTCTTATTTATCCACATCTCGCGGTCACAAAGTAACTATTGCACTACAGCCCCATACTTTTTGGCGTCTTTCTTTCGAAAATAGCACGGTTCTTGGCCACAAACGCAGCCCCTGAGCTTTCCCCAGGAGGTATTCGGCGGAGCATGCCGGAATGTTGGAATATAAAACTTATCCAAACTGGTTCACGAGAAGAACCGAAGAGGAAAAGCACGACCCTACGAGCAATAGGAGATAGTCTTGTGGGCTTGCGCATTGGCTCCGATGAAGGCACGGAATCAGGCCAAAGGGGTGACGCTAGTCAGAGCTATCTAGTTTAGAAGAGGCCGCGCGTGAGCACGCGGGCGGGCATGCGATAGGCGTCCGAGGGCCAGCGCCAGCGCCATACGAAGTTCGCAACGAGTGGAGCGCGAGCGAGCGAGCGAGTCGGAGACTGCGAGAGATCAGAGACAGAGAAGCAGGCGATTCTCTGCGGCCATGGCTGCATCTGCTTGCGTCTGCCGCTTGGCTCCTGCCCCGGCCGCGTTCGTCTCCTCGGCGCTTGATTCTTCGTCTCTCTCGACCCACAGAGCCTCGTTCAGTCGTTGCAAAATCGCGCTCAGAAATGGCTCTTCTTTCACCCAAATTGGAGAACCGCAGCGCGGCAATTTCGTTTTTAGAATGTGAGTGTTTTTCTTCCTTCGATTCTGATTTCTGATGCGTGGAGTTTCTGTGGCAATTCCGTGAGTGGACGATGGACTTTCGTTCGTAGATTCGTACTGGAAGGTTTTTCCTTGAATTTCAAATTGTCGAATGGATTTGGTTCATTGCCTTGTAAGTGTGCATTTTCCTTCTAGTGACGAGAATGTTCTGCCTTGTAGAAATGCGGGTGAAATTGGGGACTTCGGAGCAAGGGATCCTTTCCCGCAGGAGATTGAAAGCAACTTCGGAGACAAGGTCCTGGGACATGCAGGAACCGAGCACATTATCCTCATTCCTAGCTCTCTTCTGGGTCTGTCGGAGAAGAGCTGCCAACCTTTGGAGCCTGGGACCCAGCCTCTATCGGAAGTGGAAGCGAAAGCGCTGCTCCGAAAGGTTAGTTCCCGGTCCGTTGCTCTGCTGTCCAGCTTGAATGTTGTATCCATGGTTCAGATGGGGGAATGTAGGAAACTCGTCAAACGCAAAATCCCGCAGCTAGTTTGGATACACTCAGTGATTTGACGATGTCTTCCATCTGGAATCAGGAATGAAGTCATACATGCCATCCAGTCTTGAGTTCGTAATGAACAGTCTTGCATTATAAATCCCCCCAAATGGAGTCAGATGGAGCTTACAGTAGTCCTTGAAGTCGAGTTACGGGCCTTGGAAGACTCAACAATATGGTGAAAGAATCCAAAGAGCTATTACGCACTTTGTAGTTATAGAACTATATGTGTAACTTGCAATTGGACAGGTTAGTACTACCTTAAGTTATTCGCAGTTGGACACAGTGACAAGATGATATCTGGCAATGCGATGCACAAACAATAAGCCACCACTTGCTTGTCACTGCCTTAGTCCTTAGTCCCCCTCTTTCCGTACGGAGATGAAATCGTGCACATGTCATCTCCGTTCTGTGCTTCCTACGGACTGTAATAGTTTCAATTGATTTGCCCGATTCAACTCTCACTCTTTCACATGGTTAGAAATTGATTAATATTCGATTGTACCTTGAACTGTGAGCAGGTAATTGGCTGGAGACTTATCTCAAATGAGAAAGGTTTGAAGATTTTTTGCGAGTGGAATGTAAAGGATTTCGGATCAGGAGTCACCCTTATAGACAGAATTGCAGTTGTAGCCAGTTCCGAGGAGCATTATCCCGAACTTCATCTCGAGCGTGGAAACAAAGTCAGAGCCGAAATCTCCACCCAGTCCATCGGTAAGTTGATGATACCAAGTAGTCAACTGTTTTAAAGGTTGTTTAGTGTAGTAAATAGTACACAGCGATTGGATGGATGCCGAATTGAGTTCACTGAAACTGTACATCACTGAATCCTATGGAGGCTTGCTTTGTCAGTAACTGACACTGGAAACTCCGTAGAAAAATTTCTTCCAGAGTTTCTTGACAAAGTACGGTAGTGAAGATATAGTGTAGGGATATATTCATTGCTCGATATTGAATTTTCATTGATCGGAATTTTGTTATGTCTGTTGTATCCAGGAGGTCTGAGCGAGAACGACTTTATCCTGGCTGCCAAGATCGACAAGATCCAAACTTCGGATTTAGTGAAGAAGACCAGGTTCTGGGCTTGAGATTCATCTTCATGAAACAGATGAAGAGGAAGAAAACAAGTTAGCTACCGTAGGTCACAAATACAAAATTGAATAACCTCTTTAGGACCCACGCATTCTAATGCACTCCATTATTTTAGTCAAACATAATTTTGTAGAAATGTAGTGCATTTCTACTTGCCCCTATCTCGCCTTCACAAGATGGGTGTAACTCGTGTACTGTACTGTATTTGATGTTCCACCCAATTACAGATTTGACTTCCGATTGCATCTGGTCTTCGTTGGACATTCTTTACTTCTGATCTCTCTTCACTCATGCGTTTTCTGGATTTAGTGCACCTTAAAATATGAAATTCGTATACCCACCTATTTGTCACCTGTATCTGTGATGGATGTGTTTTTGTTCGGAAACCTACTTTGGAAGTGGTCCTGGAGCGTTCATTCCGATCACCAGCAATGAAAGCTCCTTTCCGTTGTATCGGGCCAACACGGTGAGAAACTTCGAGGAAATGTCCGCCGATATTATAATGGGTAGTAGTGTACATACAGATCTGTAAGCCAGCAATCTTCTACCCCACAGCCGTACTAATTCTCACACCCGTATACGATTTCTATGATGTGTACGATTTTCCGTGATGTGTATGACGCAGTCAAAACAGAAGTAGATGAGGAAGGGAGAGGAAGGGGGAATAGGAAGACAGTGACATTGCAAATGTAGCTTCTGCAGAGAGGAAAGTCTGATCAAACCGAGCAAATTCTAATGACATCGTTGTAGCAAAGATTGTGCATTCTATCTGTCGGCACACATAATACTTTCAAAAATATTGTATATTTGAATAGTGAAGTTTTTTTACAATCGTTTACGCATCCCAACTGTGAGAGTAGTGGGCAATAAGAATATATGGAGCAACATCTAGCTGCGCTCCGGTGGCTACGAGCTCTTTTTCAATTTTGGTATGCGCTCTTTTTCAATTTAAGTGCACATTCTATGTAACTGCAGATCGTCACAGATTATTTCTTTAGTAATAGTTATATACATTGTAGTATGTCAGAATATTGTTTAGTTTTTCATCATGATAGCTGCTTACTCTTTCCTTTGCCGCTGCAATGTACAGTCCATTGTACTAGAGAATCGTATGTTGCATTCAGGCGACAATGATATTGTACCTGTCATAGATGTGGTAATGTGTACGATAAAGAGGATTGCACATGGACAAGTATTTTCTTCATAATTCACTTTGTGCTCTTAAGCAATTATTAATTTTTCTTTTTCCGTCTGTTCACCGCTTCTTTTTTCCCTCTTCTTCGAAGATAATTTTTCCACTCTGATAAGAGGAAACAAAACTTCCTTTTCGTGCTCTATTCATCTTGAATTTTGCTATATACACATACGGATCGATATCGCATACTTTTTCTACATCGTAACTTCGTCGTAAAATGAGATGAAGTTAATGTTTCTTTAGAAGATTCAACATCGTTTGCACGATTGGCAGTGTATTAAAAGTTCTCGAGGGCCTTCGTGCGGCAATGAAGCAAATAATCTTGTATGCGAACCAGATTTTAAATCATTCCGACCTACAAAAAGCTGGTCAGTGAAGGTACTACAAGTTCTTGAGGGGCTTCGTGCGCCAATGAAGCAGATAATCTTGTATGCGAACCTGATCTTAAATCATCCCGAACTACATAAAGCTGGTCTGGGGCATTTAGTACATAAATGTTGAATGAAAACATCCAAATCTGGCGCTCAATAGATGTTTATTCGAAAATGAAAAGTTCAAGAGTGGTGCGGTCACATTAAGACGTGGATTTGTACCATGAACAGTTGGAAAGAACTTTGGGCAATAGACTCAGAATTCTCATCACTGTGGGATAGGGGCCGGTGACTACGCCGAAAGGATTTCTCAAAGCCTGAAATTAATTAATGGAGAGTACAAAGCCATATCAAGCAGCCCGGAAAACAACAGCGACATGGCTCCAGCTCCCCTCGTCAACAAGTTCCTGCAAAATCGAGGAGTGTATTCATGAGTTTTTTACACAGCCACATATGCGATACCAGTCATATTTCGACTAATGTCTACTGTTCTCGAGCAACAATCAGTCACTCATCCGGCTTTCAGGCCTTGAGCACAGAAACGATATCTCGAGGTTGATCTGGACCACCTCCTGAAGAAAGTTACATAACTTGAAACCGAAGTTCCAAGCATTGAACTCCCTACAGAAAGAAGGCGGTACTCGCTTGTTCGTGAAAACCAGCTAACACAAGGAACAGTTTACTCCACCAAACACTAATTATAGTGAGTCTTAAGAGATCCTCGCCCAAACCAGGTCTAGAGACCATACCTCTGAACTACTTCGCTGTTTGTAAAGAGACGTAGATGGCTGACTAAACCAGTAACTTACAATTACAGTCATACTACACTCGACACAGCAGCAAGACACCAAGCCATCAGTTGGTAGTGCATGTTGATTCCACATTAGGATTCAGAACAGGTCTATGAGTTGATCATCGTTTGGCTGGTGCCGAATGAGACAGACAGAGACACAATTAACACCGGGTACTCTCCGAAATGCCATCAGTTGGTAGTGCATGTTGATTCCACATTAGGATTCAGAACAGGTCTATGTGTTGATCATCGTATGGCTTAACCGGAGTGAGACGAACCGAGACATGAAGAGAACACTACACAATCTTCGAGATGCCATCAGTTGGTAGTGCATGTTGATTCCACATTAGGATTCAGAACAGGTCTATGTATTGATCATCGTATGGCTTCTCCAGAGTGAGACAAATAGAAACATGAAGTGAACACTAAACGATCCTCGGGGTGCCATCAGTTGGTAGTGCATGTTGATTCCACATTAGGATTCAGAACAGGTCTATGAGTTGATCATCGTTTGGCATCCCTTGAATATGGTGTGGCTGTGCGTAGTGAGGTGCATTTAAATATCATAAAGGTTCTACACACATTACACATTACCTACCTCGACAACTATATTCCTTTGTTCACATCTACATGTTACGACTACAGGCTGGAAAGTAAAGACTTCCCGCTAGACAGATGGCAGTTGCATCACATAGTAACAGAAATACTAAGTGAGGTCGGAGGCCAGTTAAACGTTCGGTTAATAACGTGAAGGATACGAAGCCGATGCGTCCGACGCAAGGCCAGTATTTTACCTCTTCTTTAAAACCTATCTGCTAGGTAGGAGAAGTCACATGGTCGATTGAAGGAGGCACTTACATCGACTGCTTTGCAGCAGTTTCTCGATAAGGCGAGTTGAGGCCCAGGAGCTTTGAAGGCACATCGCCATCCCAGGCCAGATGCAGCGGGATTCGCAGACCTCCACACGAAAAAAGGTCATCTACTTCTCGGAAGAGTTGGGACCACGCTTCTTGCCGAAGCCAACAACTGCAAGTAGGGAACGAAGCTGGAGTCAATTTCGAGACACGGGAGAAAGGAAACCACTGGACGGGATATTCAGAAATAACACATTCATAAGCATTTGACAGCAAGAACTGTAACTCACCAGCAGTGACGAATCTGCGGTTGTACTGGATACGTTTGTGAGCACGGCCCTTAGGCTGCTTCTTCTTATCCTGCTTTTGCACTTTCGGGGTTTGCCCTCTGACCTTCCCCGCACGGGCGAGGGATCCGTGGACCTTACCTGCGCAATTTAGACAAGGTCACGAATGAGAGGAGTCCGACTACGAAGCATTCATACTCTTTGGCTTATGCCGAAAATCGTCCCACTTTCCCACTAAAATCCCAAAACATACCGGGAAGAATTTCACAGGGTGGTTCGAGAAATGGATTCTACGAAAGCAAAATTTGAGATTCTACGAGCAGATTAAGCGAAACTTACTCATGGTTTCGAGACGGGGGTGCGAGAAGAGCAGAGGTAGTTACGAGAGCGTACACGAATCCCGGGAATGCGAATTCGAGAGAGATCGTCTTCTGCGTAGAATATCGATATTTAGGGTTCATGCGTGACGAGTTAGGGTTTGATCCCGGAGACACGGCACAGTGAACTGCAAGAGTTCCCTTGAGCTCAACTGTGCTTACTTCGGTTGCCGAAACATATTCGCGAACTGCGGTGGTGCTGCAGTTTTGGAAATACATATCATACAAATTGTATAATATGATAAAGTATTTATTTTTACAATTACAGTATTTGAAATAGTGATGATACTGTACAAACGAATTTATTTTACTGCAAAGTGGGCAATTGCATATACGACGGTAGGAAAAACCACTTGTTTTGATATACTTTTTGTTTTCATCGTCACAACGTTTATTGAGATAAATCAGAATGAAACATCTTTTTGGTATTCTTAATTTTATAATCCGAGAGCACAATTCATAATTATGACCAAGTATATGGAAAAATATAAATATTTAAATTAAATTAAATGTCAACATTTTGTAAAAAAAAATGAAATAGAAGTATATCAAAATCTGCTACATACTCTTTCGATGTTGAAAAATCTACTCCACATTGTGCAAACCACAGTCAAATTTATTTCGAATTTCTTTTGAAACTATGTTTCATGATATCTCTTGGGTTTAAAATTTTATTTTATAACTATAACAAATCTGAATCAATGTATAATTTCTTTAGATTGAAACATGGTGTTATTGACTTTTAATAAGCCGTTTAAGTGCATGACATGATGCTTGCAAAGAGGATTTTTTGTTAACAAAGTAATCATACACACAAATAGTTTATAAACAAATTACAAGTTCAAATTCAAATACTTTTTTTTAAAATGTACATTTTATGTTTTTTAAATGACAAAGTAAATGTAATGAAATTCATTTACTTACTTCAGATTTCATATATATATATATATATATATATTATTAAGCTCATGCATATACTATTATGGAATCTAAATCAATATTTATCAATTATAGTACAGCATATTACTGGTATTTATCATTATTAATCATTTTTTACTTGCTATTTTGCAAAATGTTGCATGAACAAAGAATTTTCAGATAATATATATGTATATATACATATAGACAAATTACTATCATTAATGCACAATTGAATTATGACTTCTTGTTGCAATATAACAGACATACATATTCAATAATGATTATAATAGAAAACTGCATTTATCAACTCAGTGCTAATTATTATGACTATATCAATTGTGATTCATTTGTATTTTATATTTTTATGGCTTTAAACACATCTCATTGTAACTTGTGAGATGTTTTGAAATCAGTGTTGAGCATATTTGTTGGTACCATTTATGTAAATATAAAATGAGGTTAGATTTCACTAATATAAAATTCCATAAATATTCATTTTTATATATAAATTAATATTTTTACTAATTTAAAATTCAAAAATTCTTGGATAATAATGTATTTTTTCAATCAAATCGTTTAATATATTTTTCTTATAAAAAATAACATATGATATCCAAAATACTATGAAATCAAATAATGTCTTTGATCACTTCTTAAAAATACACATGAACCGGATCCATCATTTAATTGTAACATATATTTAAAACGGTATTTACTTTGAGTATTTTATTGTGATTTAATTTGATTAAAATGACATTCATGTTATGTGACATATTATAAACACATAAATGAATGAACTCATCAAATGGAATATCATGAACTGTTGGTAGACTTAAATTAAAGTATGAATGTCATGTGATATATTTATATGAGCAGGCAAATATAATTCAAAATTTTTGTCATAATGTCTTTTTTTAGTTGAAAATGTAAATTTTTTTAACAATTTGAATGACATGTAATTTACTAAATTAAATTAGTCTTTGATGTTCTCATACATGTTACAATGTTGTAATCATTTAATAAGTTTTTTATTTTATTAATTTGCCTCAATAACATTAACCAACGAATGAATGCGTGTGTACTAAATGTAATCTTCTGCATGTATATGCTACATTGCTTTTTCGTGATACAAATATTATTTTTTGTATTTGATAAAAATTAATGTTATATTATATATATTTTCAATTAAATAAATTTCCAAATATAAATTTTGTTATATTATGTTAATATCAGTTTGTTAGCAATTCGTATAATTGAATATAAGTAACTTTTTTTGAAGTTTAATCATAAAAATGTGCATATTAGTAAATTATAAATAAAATTTTATACAAAAATTTCAATTAAAAAACATCAAATGCGAAACATTGTTTTTAATGCAAAATCTATAATTTGTCACTTGTTTGATGTGCATTGGAGACTTAAATTACATACTTGTATAATATTACAATTATTTGTTAATTAAGAATATTATTTAATAAACAGATTATTATTTATATTTCAAAAAATATCATATGAATTTTATAAGTTATATAATATTTTTAATGGAAAATAAAATTTATAACGCATACTAAATTTATATTATGTCATATGTTTTATTAAGTACTCATCATGAGATAATTTTGATATATTCATTATTATATCATGTATTACAAGTTTTTCATTTTGCTTTGCTGTGACAAATGTGCGTGCGTCTATTTCTTTTGTTCGCTGTGTATTAAAAATAAACTGTTGACTTCTTTAAATGATCTATATAGTCTACAACAGTGAGCAATTGCGCCAACCGTGTTTCATTTATGTGCATGTTCATCAATCGCTTGTGAATGTTGTATTATTTTAGGGGAGCCGCTAACCAGCACTCACCTTTGGTTAACCACCACTCACCCTGTCTATATAGAACCCCTAGACTCGTTTTCGAGGCCTGTGATTGGCTGGAACCATTCAGTATTATCATGAAAAAATAATTTGCGTTTGCGTTGTTGCTGTTCTGCTTCTGCCTCTGGCGGTTGTGCTCCACAAGAACAGTAGAGAACCACTGCTTTGATGTCACCATTTTTTTTGTTTCCCACCCGCCTTGTATGCTTGATAGTCAAAACACACGCTCTCCAAGTAGTTCCAAGTTGTTCACGTTGTTCATTGCAAAGAGATTGAAATCCACACCTCCCATGATAATATTGAATGGTTCCAGCCAATCACAGGCCTCGAAAACGAGCCTAGGGGTTCTATATAGACAGGGTGAGTGGTGGTTAGCGGCTCCCTATTTTAGTTGTAATGAAGATTGAAATGTGATGATATTTTGGTAGTTATGTAATTTCATGTAAAAAATACTTGATTGGAGTATAGAATGCATATACTCGTACGAGTCGTACGAATTTATGTTTTCCCATATTGAGATAACGTTCTCATGTCTTGACGTATATAAAGTGAACATGTGTCTGTTGTATCTAGGCATCATACAGAAATTATGCAAATTAGGATATTGCAACAAACAATACATTTAAAAATATATATATCTTCAGAATTTATATATTTGTGACCTGAGGTCTCGGTCGACTCTAGCTAATGCAAATACAGTAAGTATTTACGCTTCGCATGGACGTAGACTAGCACAAATGAACCACGTAATTGTGTTGAGTATTATGAAGATGCATTTGTCTCTGCATTAGTACAATAATTTGTTTGCATAGAGTTGGAATTTTATTTCTTCATTACTCTACCGCGGAATGATGAAAGTTACTTAAATCTGTTTATGAGAGGGTGTGAAAGAACTTAACATTATACATAACATATATCATATTATGTGTTTAATATTGTGTTCTGAATGAATGTATCCGTTGATTCATAAAACGCAGTTGTTGGTGTAATCTATACTAAAATAATCATGTGGAATGATTATGTCTCACATGTTTGGATTACATATAGGTTATTAATTGTAAATATATCTTATATTTTAGTCCCAATAAATTTCTATATTATTAGAGGCTATCGTGTCTAGGTACGTATTACCCATTTAATCTCACCAGAGTACCATTGATTGGAGCTTATTTACTTATTATTAATTAAATAATCCTAACCTTTTTGCTGTATTCCTCGTTACATCTTCGCTACATACAAGTGTTTTCATAATGAAGGTTATCGTGCCAGGTCACTAAAAGATCAATGGAACCCCCTGCGCGTGTCAGTAGCATAACGTATACAAGAGGACTCCTGTTTACGGAAGGATGGATGGCGTTCGGTAGGGGATCATTCCCCGCGTCGTAGAGGAGCGGGCCTTGGGTTGGGCGTCCGTAACGAACGACGAGCGTAGGACCGTCGGAGGATTCAAACTCCTCCGCGAGGGATGACCAAGAAACCGGCAGGCAGATCCGTTTCGGTCCGGCGAGCGAAGCGACTGGACTGGATTGGACAGACGCCTTCCCACTCCGGGTTCCGTGAGGGAAGGCCGGACAGTGGAGCGGGAGCCCGAGCACTGGTGCAACCGCCTGCCCTCCCAGCCCAGCGGAGACGAGATAGGCGACGGAGTAGCTGATGACCGTGGTCTAAATAATGAGTAGCCACGCTGAGGAGCGTGGTTACTCAGTAATCTCTATCTCCGTTGGAGTAGCTTATGACCGTGGTCTAAATAATGAGTAACCACGCTGAGGAGCGTGGTTACTCAGTAATCTCTATTTCCGTCTTTTCTCCGAAGTAAGGGTTTTGCGGCGGAGGGGGAGAGGGGGTCGTAGGTCGAGTAGCAGCGGAAGAGCGGGAAAAACAGCATTGTAGCTTGTTGGCATGACAGACGAGCAGCGAGGAGTCGAAGAAGCGAGTTTTGGCATCTCGCGGAGAGAGAGAGTGAGGTTGAGGAGTATGAGAGGGATAGTGGCATGAAGACCGGGAGGTACGGAGCCTGTTGGCGGTGAAGAGGTAGGGGTCTGCATTGTACTGTGGTCGGAGAAGAGAAAAATTTGCGGAAGAGCTGAGAGAAGAACTGAGGTACTGTCAGTCAGCGACGGGTGCTGGACATTGTTGAATTCCTGCGAGAGGATTTCGGAGACAGATTTTGTCAACATCTGTTTGAACTGCAAGGGAGCTGGAACGAGCGGGAGACCAATTTCCTGCTTCAAGGAGAGGGAGCGGGGCAGAGCAGCGAATTTGCTGAGGAGAGGACGGGGTGGGGGTCGCAGGGAAATTAGAGGCGAGGAAGTAGAAGATCAGCGGTCCATTGGAGAATTGCAGAGGCAATTTGCTTTCAGGGGCGTGTCTCCTGTTCATTCCTTTCGGGATTCTTTGAGTAGGGAGTTGGATGTCTGCGGTGCTGGAGATTCAAGCTGAGCTTGGGATGAGTCTTGACGACTTAACGGCGCGCTGGTCCTCGCGCCGCGTTCAGAGCGGCATTGTTGGCAAGAGAGCTCATCGCCGAAGTATCCCCTACGAGGTGTTTCCTCGAGAAAAGAGCGGGTTGGCTCATCTCTCATCCAGGTGATTGTTCCAAGTATCGAGCTGTCTCACATGACTGGGGAGACTTGATTACTGCAGGGAAGCGTCTAGGAAGGGAGAGAAGGTGAAGCATTTCTTTTGAAGGAAGGGTGGTTGGGAATTATTTCATATCTCATGGGAAGGCGCATCTCAAAGTAAGTGTAAACATGGTCAGAGATGATCTCAGATCGCGAGCTGCGAATGGTCACATGGGCTCCTCTCGACAGAACACAAGTACCCAGAATGGATCACAACGACAGCCTGCTCACAATCGTGCAGAGCCTGGTTCCAGTCATCAAGGTTCATACCGGAATAACGAGGAGGACTTTGCCCAAACTCAAGCTATTCTGTCTGATGAGGTAAGAGAAGAATTGTCACCTGCGGTAACCAGTTATTCTTGCAGATGCTCATGGGACCTGATGCACCTCTCGCAGTTGCTTTACTTGTAATTCCGTAATTGTTTTCACAGAGACTTTTGCTGCTCGGAGATATCCAAAGGACGTCGTGAATTGAATCATATGGGCTGCTGACCTTCGAGACCTGGTTTTGTTCATTGACAGGAAACAAACAAGTTAGTGGCAGAGGTAATGAGACACATGCTCTTCAAGAATTATCAACAACCAGGAGTTCCCGTTAGTAGGGTTGAACTTACGGGAATTATTACTAAAACATACAAACAGCGGTACTTGTCGTCTCATGTCATCAGCATGGCGCAAAAGAAACTGCTCGAAATCTTTGGCCTGGAGATGAAGGAGTACAATCGATTAAGGTCTCTGACCAAAACTGGACGTGGCATCAATAATGAGAAGCAAGGTATATTCCCGAGGAGCGCAGACTCTTGGCCATAGCGTTAACCCTCTTCAGCTCTTTAATCTCAAAAGTTTGTGCCTTCAAACCTAAAGCAGTTGCCGGATCTCCTTGCAGTGGAAACGAAGGAGTATGTGCTCAGGAGTGTCATTCCAGCTGATCTTAGGAAACAGTACATTGACACACGAGAGTCAGCAGCGACGTACGGCTTGGCCACAATAGTCATTGGCATTATCAAATCTTTCGGAGAAACATGCCCTGAAGGTAATTGAAGTTACTGATTGTTACAAAACACGTCACTTTGTATCATCCAGTGCCTATACATGAGGACGACTTTGCTTTGTTTGCAGTTATGAATCATGTTACAGAACACGAGGAACGTGTGATATAAGAACGTACAAAGCTTAAGGTGTAAACTTTTTAGTGTGCCTAAACTTTCAAGGCGATTCAGTCATTCTCTATATTGTTTACTAGAACCCTTGAACAGATTGTAAAAGGCCGCATGAAGGATCTGAATCCGCAGTAAACGGGTCACAATTCGTTACAATAGAGTACAAAGTAGATCGAGAATGATGTGCAGAGGAATTCACTAACAGGTGGGCACTATCTGAACATCCATCTAATAGAAATTGGACTTGGTGTTGCAGAAGTTCTGTGGCAGAACTTGAGACGACTCGACATCAAAGAAGATGATTTGCATCATCCAACTTTTGGCAATGTAAAACACGCCGTAGAGTTGCTTGCCAAACAAAGGTATTTGAGCTTTATCTTTCTCTTGTGCGTCAATTGATTTACTCGTGTCACTTTTTGCTCAGGATGAAGGAGTTTGGTGGTATGTTTTGCCTGTATTCAGGCCACCCACTGAAGTTGAGCATAGTTAGCAGATCAGATTTCTGTTGTGTTTTTATCAATATTCGAAGTATTTGACCCTTCTCTTTCTACCATACGGCACAGAAGAGCCTCATTTTATCTGTTCCAAACAGCTTCTGGTCTTTATGACTCACTTTGGAACTTGTGAGCAAGATACATAATTATGATTATGTCCTTCAGGTATATTCAAAAGGAGAAGCTGATCAATAGTGAAGGAGATGGATTTGTTTACGAGTTGGCAGAGAGAGCACTCGACGAGACATGTCTGGCCCGCTTGGACGCTTTCATGTACTCGGTGAGCCAAATGATTAACTTCACCTGCTTTGTGTGCTCATCCGCAGTTGTTACCTCACGGGAGAATGAGGCTTTGTTGCTTTTCGCGATGCTCGAAGGCTTGTACTGTATGTCATGATATGGAGCTCTATTACTGCTTATCAAACTGACACTAATCTCCCATTGGGTACAGATAGTTCAGAGAAATCCTGAAGCGTTGCTGGCGGGACAAGGAGAATGATTACAGTTAATTATTTTCTCTGAAAGGAAAATATCTTATTATCAAGCCCAGAGAGAAGAAAGCTGATATTTGACATATCACCTGAGTATCATGTAATTATATATATCTATGAATGTTTATTTCAAAAGTGTGTCGGCATTTTTGTTGTTGCTTGAGAAAGAGTTTATGAGAACAAAATATTGGAATATATATATAGTAAAGTTTATTTCAAAAGTGTGTCGGCATTTTTGTTGTTGCATGAGAAAGAGTTTATGAGAACAAAATATTGGATTATATATATATTAATGTTTACTTCAAAAGTTTGTCGGCAATTTTGTTGTTGGTTGAGAAAGAGTTTATGAAAACAAAACATTGGATGTATACATGTAACTACGGGAAGTCATCTATTCAAAGAGAAAAGAAAGAATCGGACGTGCACAACGTACAGGCCTTACCTGTTTTGCAGTCTATTCAGTGGACAGTCCATGAGCCTTTAGATGCAATTCTTCACTCCAACACCATGTTGCAAGAATATGTATTCTCCATGGTAGCAACCTATCACAGAACTCGAGTCCCCGAAGGAGCAGAAAGGGTCGAAGAGGGGAATTTGTTCACGTAAGACTGCATTCTCTACACGTAGAAGATAGTGAAGTCCTCGTACCACGCCTTATGTACATGAAAACCGTGTTGTTGTTGGCCTACTTTGACATGGGTGAGCTTACTCTAGTAGTTCATGGTTGCTGTCAGATCAGAATCAAAGTAAGACGTTCGAGTTAATTTCGTCCAGTGTAGATGCAATAATACCAATTTTTCACTAGATTTGTACAAAGAATCCTAGTACCCTCCACGAAGTTCACGACGCTCGGAAAGTTTTACTACTTAAACAACCTTTTCTCGTTGCAGAGTACTCTGAGTCCTACATGCGGAAAGGTTGTGAACGTGGTCAATTTTGGGCCCAGTAAGCTTTGTGGAGAAGTTATGGCGGGTAGAAACTTTTATGTACTTTTCTCCTTAAGCGAGGAGGTGATGAAAACGCTTTAGTGGGAGACAGATTTCCACCTGGTAGTGTTGAAGTTCTATAAGCTGTGGGTAAGACACCAAATTAGATTTTAAGAACAATTTTGACGGTAAACCCATAGCCGAGAACGGTGACGGGAAATCCATCTGTGAAAGGAGATCTGTGTAGCCTTGTGAACGCAGCTGAAAAAAAATCAGTGGAATCCAAGGAAGCTGAACTGAAGTATACGACCTTAAGGACATTCAGACAGGTCTCTAATACTTCGACGTTTCGAGGAGACTGGAGTCCATTGGAGTGGATACCAAAGGATGGTTGGATTGACTTTGTTCACCACCGTAACAGCACCTTCATTTTAGCTCTCACAAAGGTTTATAAGTTGAAGCAGTCTTTTTTCTGAACTGTTGAAGTAATCTGTTTTTTGTTCAGACTGTCTACTTGTTTTCTGGAATGTAAACTTGGAATATGACTTTCAAAAATTCAACGCACATTTAGAGGAGTGTCATATTAATGTAATTCCAACAGGTACATGTCGTAACATGTCAATCTAAATGAGTTACATCACATATCTCATTTATCATCCGTCTAGATTAAACATAAATCAGAATCAACACATGTATGGAAATCTGAAATTGTGTACAACGAGAATTACGAAATTCAATTTTCTTTTTGTAGAGATTTTATTGACTAGCTCTTCATTGACAAAATCCAATAATTGAACTAGATAGATTTGGAACGAAATAATTGTAAGCATGTCAAAATTGCACTCTCATCGAGTGAATTTTCTTTAACTATAATTTTTTAGACTATCATTTTAAATGTATAGAAATAAATTTTAATTATTTTTATATAATTAAGATTTATGAATCAAATATGTCCTTAGATTCGTGGGTTCTTGAGAAAATTCATACTGCTTAAATCCATAAAGAATCTGTAAATAACTATAGATGGAAACATGCTTTTCTATTGAGCATGACATTTATAATTCTTAATTTTCTATTTACCAAAGAGATATCCTGAATAAAATCTACCTCCGATCATAATTTTATGTCTAATTGAGTTACTATGTTTTCAGATTTTATAATAAACGAAGAGTCAGTCTAATAGCACAGATTTCAAATAATTCTCAAATGACATATGGCGGAACGTGATGAATATAAATGATAATGCACAATTTTATGTCAAATTTAATATATTATACAAGGAATAACACATGGTATAAAAACACATGGCAGTTGTGTGAAACTCACATAATTATAACTTGATGTATTTTATATTCATCATTTTCATACAAATAAAAGTTCCAACAGATTTATGTCAGAATTAATATTTTCTATACGGTTTAAATATAAAAATGTACTTGTTAGTCAAAACATGTTTTCATAAATATTTCTTATTTTACATTTTGGCGAGTATAATTTAAGCATTTGATTTTCATGGTCATATTATCTTTGGAGCTGATTCATTTTGTAAACTTTTTATTTAACGATGTGATAAATCAGGATTTTTTACAATATAGTTAAATTAAATTCTCTAGTTAAAACCTTTCCAAAGAATTGATCATCATTGAAATTTTAATACATTGAGTTGATATGTATACCATCAATTGTACGTTATGTTACTATGGTGACATAAAGTTGACTTAGTGCGACCGAGTACAAACGATTCGTTGGGGACATTGTGGTCATAAATGTCACATGTGAAACAAAATACTCCTGAACTGTACCACACTCTTAGCAGTATAATGAGAGGCTATACCTCTAGACTTGGACTTTTATGGAGCTTTAACATTCGCATGACAACATAATTTTCACGTTGTGTATCAGATTGTCTGGGCTGTTTTACAAAGCTTGTATACACAAAACTACACAAAGCAATAGGAATGAAATCCTACGATTCGTTCAATCACATTACTGTAACTGATATTTTACATGTATTTCATACACTCAAATGAATGTAACCCTTTTGGTCTAGAAAGTCCATGCATATTTCACATATTGGGAATACCGAGGAAATTACTCGATGGGACCCCTTGGAAACTCAATCGTCTTGAAGGGACCCAACAGGTTTGATTTTACATGTAAAATGAAACCTGTTGGTCACATCAAGCGTATTGAGTTTCCCCGGGTCACATAAAGTAATTTCCTCTGGGCATACCCCTATCAATTTTTTTTAAAAATTTGTTTTCAGCTCCGCTTGAAAGTTAGGTTAGTAAAATCAACGTGAACACTGTACACGAAATCTAAGTACGAGGATGTTTCAATCCGAAGGTTTATGGACCTACGCACATCTTCCTCTCTTTGTGATTCTTTGTAGTGGATGGTACGTACGAAGTACGGCACTGTTAATATAAATTTGCTCTTCGGAAGGATGATTATACGGCAAGGGGTGGCAAGGGGTACCGCAATGACCGGTAGCTCCAAAAGTCGACTCCGCGCCATGGAGAGGGCTCGCCACGCGTGCCAATAGTAGATCGACAAGTGGCAAGAGAGTTGACGAGCGTCCCAGTCTACGCTCCCTTCGTCGATACCTTCTGCTTCATGCCTTCGATTCGATTCGATGCAGCGGATTTGTCACTCGCCGGCTCGCGCGTCGCGCTTCTCTTCGTCGTCGAGCCACCCCCTCATTCGCTACCGCTGCCGCTGCCGTCCCCAGCCCCAGCCCCAACCCCAACCCCTCGCCCCTAGCCCCCTGCCCCCGTGTCGAACCTTTCTTCCGGCCGTTGCAAGCTGGTGGCTGCTGCCACGGTGCGAGCTTCCCTTCGAGCGCGCGTTGTGTCACCGTAGTCGTCGATGCTGGGCCTGCTCTCCTGAACCCCCCCAGGGCCTGTCTGCCTGGTCTGTACGGGCTTAGCGTTTCAAACAGGCTCGCGGGCAGCTCTCCCAATGTTCCGGACCCGGGGTCAAATGAATGCTCTCCTCGTCCTCGTCCTCGTCCTCGTTGCCGCCTGAGTGGGGCTCGCCGCTCGGGCTTGACGGCAGCCCGGCAAGCACGCAGGCAGGAGTGGCGAAGAAGTGGCGCCGCGCGAATCTGCATCCTGCTTTCGTCCGAGGGGGCTCTGGTCGTGGTCCGAGGATCGTTGTGTGCTTAAGTGTTCCGGGCATTTCTCCAATAGTGGCCGATTCGCCGGAGTGGATGCGACTGTCGGAGCTTGGATTCTGAGTTGAGGGCATGATTGGACTCCGCTCGCCCTCGGACAGCATGAACCGGTACTGATCCGATGCTGGAGCTCACTCATCGTCCCCTGCGTTAGGAAGCAAGGCATCCGCACATTTCTGAGACGGGGTCGGTGGGTGGTGGTGGTTGGTTTTTTGTGTGTGCCTGATTGTGACGGGTTTTGGTTTGGATCTCTCGTGCGGTGGATTTGCGCCATTCGACGAGGAGGCTGCTGTACCGAGTGTATACGCCTGTGTCCTGTGCATATGGGAGTGGTGATTGGATGAATTTCTCGTGGCACTGACATGCGACGAGCCCAGAGCTAAGAGTGTGGGTGGATGATTGTCAATTGTGAAGCTCATCAAGTTTAATGTTCTCATCGGGAAAGTGTTGACTCGTAATTAGACGGATCGCGAGAAATTCCCTCGGAGGCTGCGATTTTGGCAAATTTTCATGTTGTGAGTCGGTTGTCCGCATGGTAGGTAGTTGAGACAGAGGACGCAGAGCAAACATGGCTTTCGATAACAGCAGGAAGCTGCGCAGTCGAGGGAACCAGGTGTTTAAAGAAGCTTGCTCGGAATGTCTGGCCCCGGTTCTGAGGAAAGGTCGATTCCTCAACGCAGGTGCCTTTTACACGCAGGCTCTTGATGCTAGCAGAAGCGATGATGAAAGAGCCAAGTGCAGCAAGAATCTGGGAGCTGTGAACTGGAACCACGCAAAGATGGTGCTGGAGCTGTACGAGGACTGCCGAGCGACCGCCCTGAACGACAGGACGCCGGCATTTTACGTGGAGAAGAGCGTGGAGTACTATCTTGCGGCCCTGCGGCACGGGCGAGCTTCGCATCAGCGTCGAGAGTGGATGGACGACATCGAGAATACTCTCGAAGGCGTCGTGAAATGCCTTGTGGAGGAGCACGCTGCAGTCGCCGACCGCGCTTTCTTAGAGAAGCTCTGCTGGGTCTTTCAGAGCGGACTGCAACCTGGTGCCAGGTCGCAAGCATTCGAGAAGCTACAACTGGGTTACATTCAGGTCGTATTCGATGACGCTGTGAAGGAGCTCAAGCGTCGAGATCAGGCCAGCTCCGGCGCCAACTACTCCAAGTGCCTTGCGCTCTTGCACAGCTGCAGTACTCCAATTGAGGAGGCCCAGAAACGCGCCAAGCATGATTCCGAAGCCGTGTCGAAGATTGAGACCCTGAAGAGCTCGATCAACTCCTGTCGCGCAACCTGCGAGTCCATTCAGGCTAGAGAAGCGGGAAAGCGCTTCCGACAGGAGTCCATGAAGGCTAGGGACGAAGCGTCTCGACAAGAATTCGCCATCTTCGCTCTCGATAAATTCAAAGAGGCAGTGGTTCATGCCAGAGGGTTCGATGCGGAATGCGAGGCCGAAGCTCTGGCGTGTATCGGTGATCTGTACACGGAGGTTCTGAGAAAGGAGCAGCAGGCGCAGCCTTACTATACTCTGGTGGTGAAGCTAGCTCAAAATTCCGATACCATGCAATCGGCCAACTGGTACCAGAGGGCCAAGACATCCGTGAATTTATGGTTCAAGCGAAGGCATGAAGGCCCTAAAACCTCCTACAGTGTTCTTCCGGAGATCAAGGGAGACGTCGAGAAGCTAGAGAACGAGTTCAAGCGACTGAATACTGACGAATTCTTGAGATTTCTGTACAAAGCTCATCCACCTCGAGGAAACACTGGGAGTTTTAGCTTAAGTGAGCTTGATGGTGGAACCAAAAGCCGGATTGCTGTAAGGAAGGCATTGCGGCATTACCATCCCGATCACAATACAGTCGGGGATGATAAATGGACTGCATTGTGCGGAGAGATCACGAAGTTGCTATTGCAGAAGCACCGGGGCGTTGTGCAGGAGTGATGGATTGTTGAGCCGTCATTTTACATTTGTAACATATTTCACTTATGTCTTACCTCGTATCTGAGAAAAGGGAGGTGAATGAAGCCACGAACGCACGCAGTGATCCGGTTATGTCTCGTGACCGTGAAATCTTTCCAGCAATTCTGAAGGTACTTGGATATTAGTACTTGTATTTGACAGTTCGACGCGCCGTCGATGGATGATCTGTAAAGATCACAAGCAACGACTATTTCAGATTGTGATATGAATTGAGAGCGTACCCTTATTTGGGTGGTAGGTTTTGATCAAAAATTAAATATCTAGTTCATTGCAGAAGGCTTAGCTTGCTAGACATCAGCTCTGTATAGCGTAAAGTGGAATTTAGTTGAATCGATCCCAGGACATTGAGAGGCACTACGATTTCGCTCGACTCTGACCTCCCACGTAGCACTCAAGTTTCTTGACAGAAGTAGAGATTACCGCTGATTCTCCTTCTGGATCCGAATTCATATTGTGAGCAATTAGTGCCACCCTAGTGCAGTAAGTAAGAATGTGCGGAATGTACATAACGGCGGTGTTAGGTGACTTCCTCATGGGGTCGTCTTCTTGTCTCCTCTGCTCCCTTTGAAAGAGGAACTTTGTGTTGAAGAAAGAAATGTGTGAAGTCAATCAATCATTCATTCTTTCTGCCAGAACATCTGCCGCAAGTAGTGTAAAGTATGTATTTTTGTGCGTTCCAATCGCTGGCCCGAGGAACACAAGTATAATTCAAGGGTCAAAAGATGTCGAGGACCTCATTTTCAGCAGATTGTTATCTTTTTGTCTCACTGTCTCTTGGGTATCTGGCAAAGCTTGATTCTCTTTCTTCGGCACGAAGGCAGTAGCAGGGGAGGGCCCAGACTTTTTGTAGGGATCTCTCATGATGAGTGGGAATAACCATTTGACCCACGATTCCCGAAGCATTTGTATATGTGATCAAGTGTATTGGTATATGTATATGTAAAGTCAATTGAGACCGTGAATATGTTTCCACAGCAGTTGATAGGAGTACTGCATGCAGCACCCAAATGGGTAGCATCATATAACGCATACTATTTGTACGGGAAATCATGTCGGGGTGACTCTTATTTTTAATTCCTTGCACGTTCCATATTTTCTCCGAAATGATTGTTCTAATAGTAACCATACAGTTCCCGAGGACTTTTCAGTTATTCATATGTCGTATTTCATTCATTTGTTCTACAGATCGCTCATGTCTAATGATGGATTTGGTTGTTCTAGAAGTCCCCACTGGTTTTCAAACAGTGGTGCCTTCTAGAACTCATTTTTGGGTCCCAACAATTTTTGTAACCTGGCGATATGGCAGGCTCAGGTTTAAGGCTCAAGAACCCCAACACTGTAATAGACGACCTCGTTTCTATCCATATCTATCATCGTCTCAATCAAAAAGGATTTGAAGGATAGAATCATGTATGAACCTGGCATTGAACGGAAGATTGGGTTCAATTTGGTTCATCAATTAACACATCTAGTGTCGCACGAGCAGTGGGAAGCTTATATGGAGAAAAGGAACTCATTCATCGTAAGAAACATCCAGGACTTGAAGACAACTATATAATTAATCCTATACATTGCGCCGAGCTATCATTGCAATCCCACCATCGTAAATGATATCCGAATCATAACCTTTGTTTAACAAGTTTAGATTCAGCTCTTAATGGATTGTAGAGAGCACCAATTTTTTAACATAATTAAATTATATATCTATATAAATTCCAAATCTCAAATGAACTTTTCTGGTAGATGATTGGTGTGACTTTGCCACCACAGATAGGGTTTTGTAGATTTGCAGTCCATGATTTAAATATTTGTCTAATCTCTCCATATCCACTCATTTGGAACCTTTTTGAAGTAAAGTGCACAAGAGAATCTCATTGGTTCTTCGGAAATTTGCTCTAATATTGTGAAATAAATAATCTTTCTAGGAGACGTGAAAGCATATATCTAAAGAAAATGTAAATATATTTTAAATCACCTGTAAATTTAGAAAATTAATAAAAAAATGCTAGCACTTCTCAAAAAATTTATCATAAACAACCGACTCAATATTCCAGTTATTGACTTTGTTTATTCAAGAGTTAAGAGAAAAATTGACTGTTTTTTTCCAAAAGAATTATTCTTATTGATCCATAATTATTTTTTATGATCTTGAACAAATTACAATTCCAAGTTGAATTAGCTACAAATCAGGCAACAAAGAGAAAAAAGGAACAAGAAACCCCATTTTCAAACACATTGAGTACAGCTCATGCGTTTATTGACATATGTAGGCTTAAAATATTATGAATTTCACATAATATTTTGTAATTAAGAAAAGAGTATTGAATATAATTATTTTGTGTAACTGATTAAATTAAAAAATAAAGAGTCATATTTTGAAGATTGATCATATAGATAGAATTAAAATTTTAATATGAATGAAACAAATCAATATATTTTATTTAAATTGGTATTTTAACGAATTGATGTACTCTATCAAATATTTTTCAAAATTTAATTGTTATTTGATTTATTCTTACACACTTTTGAACTTTTGTGTTTGATTTTTATCTATTATTTATTATGGGCCAGATATTTTTGATGTTTGGGTTTCATATTTTACAATATATATATAAACCTTAATTATAAGATATGACTAATTTATCTTGAACTTGATACAACATTAATATAGTGGGATGAGTTCTCATAAATTGACAGCTAAAAGAACTAACAATATTTTAAATTTCATTTTATGATACATCAAAATCTAATACTACGTTTTTGATTTTTGATTTTTTTGTGATAAAGCTTAATTTTCATCAAATAAGTTAAAAGAGAAATCAATCATTACACTACAAAAATATCATCAACATACTATGAAAATTTGGAATTTTTTTAATCAAATGAATATACTCAAATCATGATCAATAACTTGATTTAATTGGCAAACAACCAGATCATCAACCTACTATGTTATTATATCTAAACTATGTTCTTATATATTTATATGTAAGTTAAAATGTTAGATTCATGATGTTTAAATTAGTTTGTGTTTTCAATGAGAATATTATTTGATGTGATACATTTGGATCCAACAAGTATAGTTCTACACAATGGTACAACATCATACAGTCAACTATTTTCTAATATCAAACAACTTTCTAAGATAGATGTTTAGAGTGATGGCATAGAGAAGAGCCCAGATGCCTGAGATTAGCTAAATGGAAATTAGCACATACAATATGTCCAGTAGCTTCTCTTGGATTTTCATACCTTGTTACCGCAAGTAAATTGTCAAGCCATTTCCGCCCTAGGTAAGAAGAGCCGAAGACAAGAAATGGTTTGACGATTTACGCGCACGTTATTTATTACGAGCGTAGCACTGACTAAATATTTTTTCTCTCATTCAAGACCGTGCATGAGCGCCCTACACGCGTAGCGCGCTCACGCACGGTCTTGAATGAGAGAAAAAATAATCTTCTTGTTCAACAAAACAAATGATCATCTTGTTATTTTAATCAATAATCTCAAACTGATCTATCGTTAAAGATGGAAATGTATCAGATCATGACAATTTTTTTAAGCCAAAACTCCAAGAGTAACTAAAATGATCTAAGATTTTATGAATACTGTATAATAGATTATAGAAACATCTTATAATTTCTTAATATCAAATTATAGAGAATCAAAAAAATTCAAAACATTACTATCTTATATTTTTTAAATTTAAAATCTAAAAGATCGTTATATTTGTCATCTATGTTCATAAAATTAAATCAAAATCAATTCACAAGATTTTTGTGAATTAAAAGTGAAGATATTTTTTTAATTATTATTTTGATTTTTTTAAATTTTTTCTTAAGATTGCATCTCTATGAAAATGTTTATAATATTTTTTTAGCTAATTTTATTTCTTAATCTATGTAAATTGAGCTTAAGATGAATATTAGTTTAGATATTAAAAGTTACTATTAATTTCTAAAATATCATAATTATTATATTAACACTTTGAATCATTTTTTATTATATTAAAGTACCAATTAAATTGATAAAATTCACTGATCATGATGAAAATTTTAAAAAAATTCAATGAAGTTTGAAAATTGTATTAAAGATCACTTGCAAATTTGTAAAATATCTTGGAATATATTCAACAAGATGTGAAAAATGTATTGAAGGTTTTCACTAACAGAGTAGATTATGAGTACAATTTGATGATCAAGAAAAACAGAAAGAGAAATTTTTTTCCAATATATTTACAGAATCATATGGCATGATTAGATCATTTTATAATCAAAGTTATTATTTAAACCATTAGTATAAATTTGAAGTTAAAACAGTAGCTAAAAGATGGATACAAGAGTTGTAGAGTTCTAGTAATTGTTTAGAAAGATTTATAATAATTTTTACATATTGACATCATATGCAATTGTTACTTGGATAGTACGAGATATTGGTGTGAAATTGGGAAGAATAAAATTAATTATAAATTTTGGTCAAGTTTTGACATTCTTGTATTCATTTGTTGCATAACATATTGTGTTATACAATGCATGCTTGAATAAGTTTTAAAAGATGCTTGTGGAGGGAGTAAGGAGGAGGCTAAGGGAAGGTAGTTGGGCGCTTTGGAAGTCATGTGAATGAATCCAAAATGTGATTTTGAGATCATATTGGTTTAGGGGTGGAGATAGTCAGTGTGTAATCTTGAGCTTCCAAGAGCTTACATGAGACATCGGTTCCTTGAGCATAATCTTAAGTCTATAACAAAACAAATACGTGACGCATAACAAATCAGAAGAGTAGAGAGACAATCTCTTGTAATCATCGATAGATAAACTTCATGACAAACTGACAAGAACGTTGCAAGCATTAGCTTCAAGAGAGGTCACTTTGGAGTTGCAATCACTCGGTGATAGTGAGAATAGCAGATAGGGCTAGCTGCAATTACTACTCGCACTGCATACTATAGTTACAAGAACTTTGTTCAAAACATGAATGACGGTGTGACAATAATGAATTTTCATCGCATGAATCTATACATGTTGGGTACCATTGAGCTATTTGTGTTCCGCAAGGGTATCATCAAGGTACAAATAGTAATATGGCTAATCTAATAGATATTGTGTTATGCTATCATTCAATTGAAATATCAATTAAATCATTAACAAGAGATAGTGAACAAATCATATTACATGTTATAAATGATTGCGTTATTCAACAGTAAAAAATTAAAATTTTTTGTTGTGGTATTGATATTATGAGATAATAAAAATTGAAAGAATTTTGTGTATAAATGTGCATCTTGTTATTTTTAAAAATATTGATGCGACAATGGATGCAATCTTGGTCATGTAGGATATGTAAATCAATAAGTTGTAAGTAAGTTTTCAGTAAGTTGATCTGTGATATATATATATTCTAATGCATCACATATGTAATATTTAATGCAATGCTTAATAGATGATGAACTTAGATTTTGTCTCTTAATCTCTATCTATAAAAAAGGATTTTATTTCATAAATAGTTAATTATATAGGTTTGAAGAAATCTAATCACTTATTAGTGAATCAATTGTCTTTTTGTTAATGTAGACAATTATTGAAAAATATTACAATATTTCAAAGAGTTAAGATAATACTTATCTCCATTTTCAACGCAAAAGCTTGCTTGCATTGAACCAATGCCTTGGAGTGATAAAAGTTCTAAATAGCAAGAGAAGATACATTAAATTTCATATAATACTTTATACATTTCAAAGAGAATGAAAATATTTATTTCGATGAGACCATTTGGAATAAATAGCTGCAATTGAAAAGGTGCAATGAAAGTTACAAGAGATTATATTCTTTCAGACGTTTTTAAAACAGTTTAGTGTCATGCTTGTTGGTGAATAACTTGAAGACGTAGTATGTAAATATCCATACAAGTACATTTTATTCATATTTATAAATAATAGAACATGCAACAAAAAAGATAAAGACTCGAACAGACTGATAAATACAGATGCATAAGTAAAAGAGCTTAACATCCACTGGGCCCGCGTTCTGGTTCATGAATTAGGGTGTACGAAGATTCAGAAAACCAACACATAATCCAGTGCGAAGTCCTTGCGCATCAATATTTTAATTTCAACATGTATTTTACATGTATTTTCTACATACTTGCAAAAAGATATTTGGTGCCTTGTGTCTAAAACGGTTGGCGGATTGAAGTTTAGAGATTTCCCTCCGATGAGAGCGAATCGCTCCCCATGGAGTGATGTAAAATTCTCGTTCCCGCTGTTGTCAAATGCGAAGGGTGGAGGCTCCCGAAGCTAGAAAACGGAAAATCCCGTTTCAAGCACGAGGGGAAGAAGAATGTCCCCGGAAGTCAAACACGAGAATACATTTTCTGGCAGTGCAGACGATTAATAAATTAATTGCAATGATATGCGTCTTGCAATGCGTAGTCGCAGCCAGCCGCATCGAATCCAGGGCCACCTCTTGATTTACAAGGGCCGATCTGAGTCTTGAAGAGTCCTTCTGGCGGTTTCGTGGGCTTCTTGGCGCAGTAAAGAGGAAGGTCGCCAAATTGGCGGAACTCCCACCAGAATGGAGACCAGCCATACGGTCCCTGGGGAATGAGCGCAGCCCATGGCCAGCCGTGCCTTTCCTTGATATATGGCCAGCAGCAGTGTCTGTCTTCCCATGGCAGCCTGTAGGTTATCGTCATGGAGTCCAGTCCCTTGTACCCGGGTCGAGCTCTGCATGTCCATGATCCACGGCACTCAGGCAGGAATCATTTGCATAGCAGGGATGAAAGTGGAAATCAAGAGAAAATGGCGATTGCAGTGAGCTTGAGTGGGATATTCAAGCTCACTGAAAAATTGAATAATCCATTGATTGACCTCCATTGAAAAATCACGCACTGGGCTTGAAGATGTAATCGATTGAGATCCAGAAGAAGCGGTGAAAACAGAGGGTACTGACAGTCTTTGGTCTAGCTACTGTACTGCAATTCGTGAAATTACGGTATTTATGGTCTTAGGTTGGTTCCATTGATTGATGAGGATCAGGTGTGGAAATTTCTGAGAAAGAAGCATGTGCAAGGCTCAAAGTCGTGAGATGTAAATTGCAGTGCACTTGATTGAATGAGGTGGTGACTATGGACTGTACAGAGACTGGTTGAAGGTGGAAGTACGTACCTCTGCACAGCCAGGAAATTCCGGTAGAAACACCATTGCTTCCACATGGAGGAGGCAGCTCGGATGCCATCGGCACCCAGTCTCGAGTCGTGCAGACCCTGTTCAGCCTCTGTCGGGTCGTCTACCCTGCCCATAATGTATCGAGAGTGCTTTACCTGGTGAGTTAGCCATCTGTGATCGTCTTTGAACCATGGTTTCAGTAAGTCTTTCTGGAGTTTCCTGTTCGTGAAGCCTTTTTTCCTGGTTGGAATCTGGTACTCTTGGAGGTATTCATTTATGACGTATTGCCTGATCTTCTGACGAGGGACTCTTCGCTCAGCCCTAATGAAGGATTTGATTTTTTTCTTCTGATGCAGCAGCCTCTTTTTCTCCAGAAACTCCCGTTTCGGAATTTGCAAGTGCGGGTACCCGACTATAGGATGACGAGTGAACCATTGATATTTTGGAAGAGACTCCGGAGACCAGAGTGGAGGTAGTGAAACTGGGGGGAGGGAGGGTGGCAAGCTGGGTCTCAGACTGTACTGTATGACGGACCGAGCAAGACGAGTGCTTTCTTTAGTGGGCACCCCAACGAGTGTTCTGTATTGGCGTTTGCCATCCATGTTGAAGAACTTTACCGGATTCCAAGAGTTGCTATATTTCTTTCATCTCTCCGTGACAGACGAATTTTCCTGAAACCTAACTTTACCTACACTACCTTGTCATGCAGTCGTCAGCTAATTACAGAAGGCAATCTGATGTATGAGAACCTGAATGTGTCAAGCTCCCTCCCTCCCTCCCTCCCTCCCAAGTCGATAGCTATTTAAGAATTTGGAGAGCAGGTATGAGCTACAATAACTTCCGTATCGATCAGCTCAGTCAATCAGAGAACGGGGGCAATTGCCTCAAGTCAAGTAAAAACTTCGGGCTTCTAATTCGCAGAAATTGCGAACTTGCACGTGAGGTTGATAAAGAAGAGCAGATTTGATCAATCGAATCGACCGTTTTTGTCCGACAAGAAACTAGTGCATCAAAGAAGAAGAAGTCTGGAGTTCAGGATGGATGTGCTTACCACCAAGCAAGGACAAATAACAGAGGAGAGGGAACATGTTACCAGTTCGTGTCAAGAAGGAGAACACCTTTCAATCTATCCGTTGTTCTGAGTCAAAGATGGTACACCAAGGTCTGAGCTGTAGCTCAGTTTCGTTCCCGGAGACCGTGAGAAGAACTCAGCGATTCTGGCAGTAAAAATTGCGGGAGAGGCAGAAGAGTAACTGTAATATCAGGTACATAAGGTCGTTCATAGAATCTCACATGCTACTAGAGGTCTGCAGGCCAAAACTCCTACATCGAATGACAAACAGCTTGGAATCATAGAGGTATTTATTTCAAATTCTAAAACCTTTACGTATAGAACCTCAAAGATTTCGCCAGATGCTTGGACTTGCTGACTGACCTTCCTGCAAGAAGCTTAGAAGGTTAGCGGTGCACCAATTCTTTGATAAATCCTACATGAAGCACGTCGTTCCGCCCTATAAAGACCTCCGTTCTACAATCTGAATAATCTGAATCTGAATCAGTGCAGGAACAGAAATGTTATACGCTAAGGAGCAGAAACAGACGGAGAGAGAGCAACTGTCTATCCTGGAGAGATGTCGCACGCTAAACCATATTACATGGGTCGAGCGTCAGAAATCCAGAACATCAACAAGATTTTCAGGGTGCTGCTTCGGGAGGAATGGAAGACTTCGCTCGAGAAGTGAACTGCACAGGAAATTGAGGTGAAACGAGTAAAAGGTGGAGATGCGGGGACTCGAACTCCGTACCTCTCGCATGCGAAGCGAGCGCTCTACCAGGTGAGCTACATCCCCTTGATGCTGTCGGTTTCTCGTAAAAAGTATATGGTCTATGAAAATGTCTATGTCAATCAATGACTTTACCATCTATTCTCTCCACCATCTCGAAATAAAAAGCTCTTCCTACGCATTCGTGCAATAAATAGTGCCTAAGTAGATGATTTGACAAATTTGACAAATTTGATCAAATCTTGCAATTGCAATCGGCACTCAAAGGAACGCGTTGGAGAAGACGCGTGGACTCGAAATTCGTATCTCGCGCACGCGGAGCGAGCTCTCAGCAAATTGACCTTACCCCCCGAACGGAGGCCGAATTTTCGATCCGACTGCCACCTCGGAGTTTCGCGCCGCATAAAACAAGACGAAAATCAGGTTCGAATGTATTCGCCGGTTTCATCATGCCATACTCCATCTACCCCGACGAATTGCCCTATGGAGGTGACGAACCCGTAGAAGAAATGTACTCACCCGAGGCGGTCACATCCCCGTCTACCCCTCACGTGCACCCGGAGCTACTGTCGATGTCCACCCGGTTCAATTGAAAAGTTGTACCTCTTCCTTCGTAATCGTTGCCTCGAACTAAATAAATTGCCCACAAGACGAAAACTCTTCGGCGATCTCGCCACTGACAGACGCGAGCTGCTGATCCATTCGTTAACATCTTTCACGCATTGACTAATTGGAGCAATCACACCTGTAAGCGGGTAAGCGAGAACAGCTGATAGCCGGTTCCCGGTGAACGAATGAGAATGAAAGATTCGTTTCGAGATACCCTGCCACGAGCCACGACCTTGACCAAATGTGAGCATCGCGGGCTACAGAAGGTAGACGTAGTTGTAAATTACGTGGTTTTTGAATCCCTGTTAGGAGTACTACGGCCTGCCGTGGTTAACGTGGTAGTCTAGGGATACACTGCCACGAGCCACGACCTTGACCAAATATGAGCATCGCGGGCTACAGAAGGTGGACGTAGTTATAATTTACGTGGTTTTTTTGAAACCATGTTAGGAGCAATACGGCCGGCCGTGGTTAACGTGGTAGTCTAGGGACGGTACTGTGAAGTGATGAGAGGCGCGGAGATGGAGTGGAGTGGTTCAAAACATTCGATTGGCCCCCTCGAGCTCCCGCCAACTTCCCCGGGCTTCGTGAGCGAGAATTAGCTCGCGATTTCTTTCGGAGACGGATTCTGAGACGCACGCGAGCGAGTACTGAGTCCCTGATTTTACAGCTTGCACCACCAGCCCTGATTATGTTTGTTACCGATGTCTTCCGTCGCGAGTTTTTGTGCCAATTCGTGACAATGTGTTCGATGCAGACAGCAGGATGTTTCTGAGTGCATGTATCTCCGAGACTCCCCTGCTCTGCCAATTTTCATTCTCCAGCTTCGAGGTCGGGTAGCGCATTGTGCCAACTAAATTGGAGTGGCGTTGCGATGGAGCTGACGGAGGAATCTGGTGTTCAATTTCCTGCGTTTCCTTTCGAGCCGTATCCAATTCAGTTGCAATTTATGAAAGCCGTGTACAGCGGAATTCAGAAAGGCGGAGTTACGATCGTTGAAAGCCCTACAGGTACCTACCCGATGAACGGCTTGTTATTTCAGAGACATGATTGTGCCTCATTTCGGATACCCGAGAGAGATTTTGAATTTCTGCAAGTAGATGAACGTGGCGAGGAATAAGTACGAATCTTTGAGCTGAATTGTCATGTTATAAAAGATACATCCTGGTTTTGGTGGTCGTTTCAGTGACGGTATTGCACTCTCGAAGGACGTTGGTTTTCACTCTTGCTTCAAAAACGGTATTGATGTGCATGATTTCCAGAAAATGTAATTTTTTGACTGAAGGCCCGTGTCGTGAATTTAATTCAGGAACGGGGAAGACTCTCAGTTTGATTTGTAGTACGTTGCAATGGCTTATTGATCAGCACGAGGATTCCAGTGATTTAGCTGGAGATGTAGCAAAACTGTGCAATTCTGTAGGAGAGGAACCTGATTGGATGTCAAATTTCGAAGCAAAGAAGGAGGAGGAGGAAAAGAAGCGGAGGGAAGCCCGGAAGCGGACTTTGAAGACGAGATTGGCGGAAAAGAGCCTGAATCGAACTCCTGGAAATCGATCGGTGATGCATTTTGGGAGCGTGATAGCAAGTAAGGAGGGTAGGAAAGGCCGAGATGCAGTTCATCAACCCCTGAACTATAAGCCATGCCCAGATGACGACGACGATTTAATTGTAGACGACTACTTCAGTGACGAGGAAGGTTGTAAGGAGGCGAAGAGGAAACAGACGTCTGTGGACTCGAGCAGCAGTGATGACAGTGGTGGAGAGATCAGTGACGATGAGGAGCCTTTGAAGGTTTTCTTCTGTAGTCGAACACATTCCCAACTTTCCCAGTTTGTCGGAGAGCTCCAGCGCACCGTCTTCTCATCCTCACTGAGATCGGTTTCCCTTGGTTCTCGTAAAAACCTCTGCATAAACCCTGGTACGTCACCTTCGTCACCATCGCAGAGTGGCCTAAAGTTCACAGATTTGACCTTCCTTGGGTATTGGATCTATATAGTATCTGAGAGAACGAGATAAATATTCAAACATTTTCCTGAATTGTATGTTTACATGACCTAGAGGGTCGTCAACCTTGAAACTGATATTCGTGCTTTCAACGTCTGAAGTTGGATCGGGACTCATTTAGTTCGATCCTTTAGAACTAACTGGTCGTTCAAGTCTGGACTCGCGCTGGTTCAGGTACTCAGAGTTTAATGTATGTATTCACGGTTGCCCATTTGACTGTGGTAGGGATCAGCGGTTGCGGTATTGGGGAATTCGGCTAGAATCAATGACAAATGCTTAGAACTTCAGAAAGAGAAGCAAAGCAAAAGCTCTAGTAGAAAGCTGCATTCCTTGCCCCAGAAAGGCCAGAAAAAGGTCACCACTAAAGGAGGATGTCCGATGATGAGCAAGCAGAAGCTGCAGACACGATATGTAAAAGAAGTTCTGGAGGCTGGGGCCCTTGACATTGAAGACTTGCTCCATCTTGGGAGTAAGATTGGGACCTGCCCTTACTATGGCTCACGTCGTATGGTTCCCATTTCGGACCTTGTAGTGCTTCCTTACCAATCTCTCCTACATGCAGGTACTCGAGAAACGCTTGGCATTAACTTAAAAAACTGCGTAGTGGTTATTGATGAAGCCCACAACCTTGTGGACACTGTTTCAGATATTCACAGCTGCCAAGTTACTGCTCTCCAGATTAAGCAAGTGAACTCGCAGCTCTCCGAGTATCTGGATAAGTTTAGGAGGCGCTTGGCAGCCAGTAACAGGCGCTACATTGAAATGCTGCTGGTTCTAATTGGATCTATTACTAGGTTTCTGTCCAGCACACCCCAAGCTGAAACTGGAGATGCAAGGATGATGACCATCAACGACTTCGTCTTTTCTCTCGGGATTGATAATCTCAACTTGTTCAAAATTCGGCGATACATCAAAGAAAGCAACATTGTGCACAAAGTAAGCAGTTACGGAGAAAAACTTCTAGATCAGGCATCGACCGAAAGCAAGGCCAGTGCAGTGTCTGCCAGGACTTCAGTGACAGGCTTCCACATGCTGGCCGAATTCATATTGGCTCTTACAAATGCTGATACTGATGGTCGAGTAATTTTGATGCCAAGACCAGCAAAAGGCCATTCGTCTGACGCCGCTGACGGTGGATCCCTCAAGTTCGTCATGTTGAATGCTGCCAAGTATTTTGCAGAGGTTTTGGAGCAAGCAAGGGCGGTCATTTTGGCAGGAGGTACGCTGCAGCCAGTTGAAGAGCTGAGACTCCGTCTGTTCCCTCATCTACCCGAAGATCGGGTGCATGTATTCAGTTGTGGTCACATTGTTCCTCCGGAGAGCATTCTTCCTCTAGCCATCGGCAAAGGGCCCAGTAACCGTACGTTTGACTTCACCTATCAGTCTCGTTTCTCACCAGCAGTAGTTGAAGAGCTAGGCATTCTAATGAAAAACGTATGCACCGTTGTGCCTGAGGGAATTGTGGTGTTTTTCCCGTCGTTTGAGTATGAGGCCCACGTCTTTAATTCATGGCAGTCCGCTGGTACAATTTCTGCCATCGAGGCCAAGAAAACATTGTTTCGAGAACCTCGAGATGCAGCCGCACTTGAAGATGTTCTGAGGCAGTACAGAGAGTGCATATCGAGACCTCCGGAAGGGAAGAAAACAGGTGCTGTGTTGATGTGTGTAGTTGGGGGCAAAATGTCCGAAGGAATCAATTTCAGTGACGGGATGGGACGTTGTGTCGTGATGGTCGGACTTCCTTACCCAAGTCCCAATGATCCGGAATTAGTAGAGAGGATGAAATACATCGACAGCTTAGCATCTGCAGACAGCCAGGGTTCACATGGTGGGAAGAAAAGTAGAGAGTACTACGAGAATTTGTGTATGAAGGCCGTCAATCAATCCATCGGACGGGCAATCCGACACATCAAGGATTACGCTGCCATTCTGCTGGTCGATGCCAGATATTCGTCGGAATCTTCAGGTCCTTCATCAAAGTTGCCCGGCTGGATTGGAGACAGGTTGGTGAAAGTGACTGGAAGCTTTGGTGAAGTCCACAAACGGTTACATCAATTCTTCAAGTACAATCGATTGAGAGACCAACAAAACGCCAACTTGCAGCTGGACATGGCACTTCCAAACAAAGTCATCCAGCCCCGAACAAACATATTCCACGATCACGCCGTTTTCTCGTAGTGAAGGTACACATCCATTCGATCCTGCAGAAGGCGAACCTCGACAAGGATTCTCGTGTACACAGGGCAATGGAATTCAAGACGCCCACACAGTACAGTAAAGGACATCTCGCCTCGTTTCCTGGTCGAATGTATCCCAAAGGAGTACCGAGAATGTATCTCACTCAGGACTCATATGAGTGCATCAATAGAAGAACTGCGAAATCACGCAGATGTTGTCAAATCTCGTGTCCAATGCTGTATCCGCTGTGAATGGATTGATCTTGGCTTACTATCGAAGCCAGATTCGTGGTCTAGAATACACAGACATGGAAGGTCGAGACCAAGCAACATCTGATCGTTGCATATTATCTTAAACTTGCGTTCAACGGAGAGAAAAGAATAAAGCGCGAGAAACTCGCGAGATGCACATTTTGGTGTACGCAAATGATAGGTAAGGATGTGACACATGGCGATATGTGAATTGTAAATTATCCTTGGTACTGGATCCTCACTCCACGGTCGAGAGCTGTCTGCAAGAATATGTCAGAATATGAACGCAGGAGTGCCTTTAGCTTGCCCCGATTGTGCCAACTTAGAGGAAAAGAAGCCAGTTCAAAACGGGAATCAAGCGACAGAGAAAAACCTGAAAATTGACATGTTATATTACAACCTGCACTTTAGATGCAACAAGGCCGTGTGGCCCAATGGATAAGGCGCTAGCCTACGGAGCTAGAGATTCTGGGTTCGATCCCCAGCATGGTCGGGTTAATTCTTTTTAATGGAACACCGGTGTAGAAGCCATACTTGTAATTTGCCTTGCAGTATCGCGCTTCGCATTATTATCTAACTGGAGTAAAATGTGCAGGGTGATAATCAATTCCGAATGGGAAGTCTGTGAGATAGCCTTTTGCATCGCCCGTATAAAAGCCATATTCTTCATCTGCCTAAAAGGAGTACCCTTTCCAGTATTGTCATGGATTTTTTGCGTGTGCACTCCACTCTCCCTAGGTACGAATGGTGACTTGCCTATTCGGTCCATTCTCCGGTGGATTCATGTGCTCAGGTAGCAGGGGAAGAAGGGAAAAGCACGGAGAGATATATTTAATATTTATTTACTCCGCTCAAAACAATGGACGTGACTAAAAAGTGCCACAATACCTCTTGTCATCACCTGTAAGGTTCTGAATCGACAAGACATGTAATTTCTTCGATTAAATACTTATACAAGATTTCACAGTTAACCATCTGGTTGCCAACGAAGCTTTCAGGTACCACGTGTTTAAGTCTGCACAGATGTGTCCAAGTGTTCGTAAAACATGTGTCATTCCAAGCATGGTTGGTTTATTGATTGATATACTCTTCCCACCGGAAAGAGAGTCTTGTCTGAGTGACTTTCTACAGTGTCCTCGGATGGTCTTCCCAATAAACATTCCTAGTCTAACATTTCCATTTGATCCCATTATATCTCTTCTTTGGAAGTGACATAGAAAGAACTTACAAATTAAGATCCTTATTCATCATTCGATGGAGATATCTTATTCAAGGTACATCGGTTGTGTCGTTTAAGAACTTTACCTTTATATCTTTGATATGCTAATTTTTCAAGTATGTAAACAAATGCATTCGCAGGTACAACAAGCAGCAAATCAATTGACAGATCGGAGAGAAAGTGATGGAAGCAAAAATGAAAAGTGGCCTTGGTGTGCTTGGGTTCCATAGGCCTTGGTCATCCTTTTTTTTTCTGTATCTTGTGAAGCCATTTTTTTGTATCGCCATCCGTCTTTTACTCCATCCTTTCTCTTTATCATCACGAGCGTTTCTGCGTAGGACATCATGCGTCTCTTCACTTATGATGCAAAAAGAAGACTTTTCTGGTTGAATAATTCCCTCAAATTCTACGTGGTTTTCGATCGAGTTGACATCTTACGAAGAAGCTTCAATGAAGATTGGAAAGACGAGGCGTTTCTTGATCAATGTTGCTTAACGCACTTTGGCCGATGATTCTCTATCACCAGTCCCATCATTTGGGTAATATCCCCTTCCATCATTTTCTGATGGATACTCCTTCTTTTCTTTTTCTTGTACGCTGATCGAATATAGCTCTCAAGTTTCCTTTTCCTCTCGCTGCGTTGGGAGTATCGCTGCGATTAGAGTGGCTCATCTCCACGGTGCTTTAAACCCTTGATGGGGCTCGTGCACCGTAGGCCTTCATTCTTTTGTCATGCTTCCACCCAAGAAGTGATGCAGGCCGAGGATGACGAGTTTGTTGGCAATGATGAAGTATCCAATTCTTGGCATTGCTATGTGCGCTTCTGTGAAGAGGCGATATCTAAGAGGAAGGCCCGACCGCTCTTCCGATTCTTTTCGATGACTTGAACTATGAGCATGGCGCTTAATGTCCTCACGAGGCCTTTAACCTCTTGTAATTTCAGGATTTCTGCCCTCTAGCTACATGACCAACGGCCGATGATTCTCTATCTCTATCGGCTCTTGTTCTTTGTAGGATTGGCCTTTTGAGTGTGTTGGGTCAGTAATCGGGAATCACAAATTTATATCACGCTATTTTCTGGGTACCACATGTCTCTGCCTGGAGGTTAGCTGTGCCAAGTTGACAGCATGCGAGAAAGAATCTCGAGCTGGCCGGTTATGTGATAGAATTTCGAGTGACTTCACGAGGGAAGCAAATTCTTTTGGGACTTCATCGAGTTGCTTGATCCATGGGAGTCGTGGTGGTACAAATCGGCCAAGGAGGCAATCAAATGGGTTATGCTCTCTTCGAATGTCTGGCTTCGATGGCAGTTTCGCCACCAACTGAGTTTTTCCGATCAGCACAGCCTCATAGCGCAGCTGTCAAGGCCCGTGCTGTCCTGGTTGACATGGAACCGAAGGTGCTGTAATTTTTGTGTGTTTCTCCGCTAAATATCCACCTGCACCCGTCTTCTGCTTGTGGTCATTGCCAATACTCTCGTAGACCAATTATTGATCATTGCTACCTTCTTCTGTGGTGCTGACTGATGAGGACTAAATCAATTAATTAAGTTTCGTGAAGTTGTGACTCCAGCCTGATGTTTGCAGCTTGTGGACTTTGTATGTTAGGCTGATGATCCGAGCATCTGATGATTGTAGACTTCCAGCTGCAAATGTAGTTCCAGAAGAATAAGAGCAAGATCATGCACAGGCTTCCATATGCTAACTGGACTTTTAAACTCCTACACGAATTGCGGGGAAAAAAATAATGATAAGAATAATGACATCGCTGTACGATCATCACAGGAAGAGTAATCTCCATAATACTCAAAGGAGAAAAGAAGATGAAGCATAAGCCCTTAGAGATTTTGTTCATTGTCTATACTTGTCATCAGGTTATACAGGGAATTGTAAAGCGTGCGAAAACTGCTGCTGTTCAAGCTCACAGATCAGCTTGGACTTATGATGCCCAACGGCTAGTCGCTCAGAACAGTGGTTCTGGTAACAACTGGGCTCGGGGATACTATGGCCACGGTCCTCAATGTCTTGACTCGGTCCTGGATGCCATACGTCTCGAGGTAATCTCAATCTCAACCTTTCAATTTCCACCCAGACCTCATCCCTCTTCTTTCTGGTCGATGCGCTCTCTTTAGGTGTTGACAAAAGCAACTACTTTTGCAGTGCACCGATGGTTCTGAATATCCTCATACGAGAGCCATCCGAGAGTATTTTTTATCCTCATATCTAGAGATTTCTTAAAATAAATAAAGAAATGCAAGAAAGTGAATTGTGCCTCTACTGTTTGGGTAAATTACCTAAGAAAGAAATCTGGGGTCATGACTGTAGGTGGAGCAGTGTGATGTTTTTGGAGGCTTCGTCATACTGCAAAGTTTGGCAGGTGGTACTGGAGCAGGACTAGGTATGAATCTCTCGACTGTTAAGGCCATCATTTAATTTAGATCATTGTTTAATATCAGCTTTAACGACTTGTTCATTGGTGGAAAGATTGTGGAAGATGATGAAGAATCTAGAGCAGCTCTGAGGTTGTAACTACTTCGATAACGAGAACCTGGGAATTGCAGTCTAGCCCACACACTTGTACATCAACACTAAATGTTTATTCGAACAACGCAGTTGAAATCCGTTTTCACGTCTGAGGTCGCGATCAATAGTACATGTGATCTAGAACAAATGTTGTTATAAAATTTAACAAGTTCTGACACATTGGAGCATTCACAAGTGCAGGAGCATACTTGGTGGAGGCATTGAGGGATGAGTATCCTTCATCCTTCATTCTTAGTCACTGCATCTGGCCGTATGAGAGTGGAGAAGTCATAGTTCAAAACTACAATGTACTGCTCACTCTGTCTCATCTACAAAGTTTCGCTGATGGTGTAATCATTGTGCAGAATGAACAGCTAAGTGCTATATGCCGAACTCTACTTGGCGTTCTGCGACCATCTTTTGATGACATTAACGAAGTGGCGGTTGAAGCGCTAGGATGTGCTCTTCTGCCCTCTTACTGGAGAACAGTCCAACCGAGTACCCAAACCATTCAGACAGATGTAGTAAGCTGTAGGCCCGAGATTAGACGAGGTGGCCCTTCGTCTACGAGGCCTGGAGTTCGGCTCCTATCAGACTTGCTTTCAGTTTTATGTTCTCACCCGGGATATCGAATGATGACCATGCGTTTCACTCCTCAGGCAAGTGCGTTTTGAAGCATTCCGGATGAGACGTCCTGCACTACTTGGCAACTTTTTGTAGAATACCGCATCTTTATCTCAACTCTCCACCCCAGGATTGCAGTTTCGCTCAAAATTAAAAATTGTTTGCGAAGTTGTCATAGTTGTTGCTGCAGTCACATGCTTACATGACACAATTATTGAGCAAGAGAGTGTAAGGAAACATGATTGGAAAGTACTTAAGACACAACTTTGTATAGAAGGTATCATGTGCTTGCTTTAGCCGTTAGGGTGTCCTGCATAATCCTGCTGCAACAGCCGACTTTTTAAAGATGCTGATACAAGTTGCCATGGCCCTACCTTATGTGATAATTTCTATGTCTTCTCTTATGCAGGTTCCAGCCCAGTCATTGGATTTCACTAACTTCACGTGGGCCGCTCAATTAAAACACCTCCGACAGATGCTCATCACTGGAGCACATAAGGAACTTGAAATGGATTGGAATGTTAAGCTTCCAACCTCATCAGTTCATGAGCACAAACGAGGTGTTTTCCCGACGAATGGTCATCATCAGATTAACAGGTCTCTTGCAAACCTTCTCATATTAAGAGGCAGCGGGAGTGATAACGCTGATGTGAGTGATTTTGCGGATGTCAGAATGTATCCTATCTGGCAGGTGGATCCATTATCAGTGGCAGCTTGCTCCACTTCTTATGGAAGATACGAAATAGCTGCTGGTCTTCTCAGCAACTGTCAATCATCAGTACTGCCGGCATCAAGAGCCTTGACTAGAGCTTACAACATGTTTGCATCGAAAGCGTTCTTGCATCAGTATTTCGAGCATGGAATGGAAGCGGCCTCTTTCGATGGTGCTTTTGCTTCAATCGAAGATCTGGTGACTAGATACTCGTTATTATAACTCAAGATGTGGTAAATGTATGACGAGTTGTTATGTTGAGCTGATATTATCAACGTCACACAAACTGTAACCAAGTGGAATCTGTCGAGAAACAGCATTACTTTTTCCACTGAATTGACTAGATCACTTAAACACGGGCGTCAAAGTGGAACACAATCTTTCAGTATTTTCACGTACTTTGAGAGCAGCCACAGAGGTGCAAAACAATGTAGTAGAATTACGTAGCTACCCCCAATAGGACGAGGTTGGGTCCTTGAAATTTTCCCAAAACAAGTCTGACGGAGCGTGTATCTAGTTCGATTATTCTCATTGTGTTTCCAAACGTTTCGTAACCACGCTGTATCTTCTGTATTCTCATTCTTCCATATTTAGATGTAAGAGAAGAGCCTCAAAGGCTGAGGTGTCCATGTATTTACAAGCAGTTGCCACAACGCTTACCAGTACTGCCTATATTTGCATCACTAAGAAAGAAAAGCTTAGAAGCCTACTAAAGGACTGAAACATCATGACAAAAAAGTGAAGAGTGGAACTAGTCTCCCAAAGCCAGTACACGCTTTAGGACGATTAAGGACGGATGTAGACTGGTTTCTACTCGTCACCATATCTATTGTCTGAGTGGAGGAATCTTCGTAGTCGGTCTCCTGCACCTGTTAAAGTTTCTGATCTCTAAATCTTTCAAATCAGAAGTCAAGATCATGAAGTTGACTTAATATTAAGATGTGTTCAATATTCTTGAATTGGCAAACGCAGAAAAGTCAGGACCAATTGTTTGTTTAGGATATACCTACATCTTCGTGACCTTGTGGGCCAACTCTAACTTGAAGATATCTCCGCTTATGCCGCATTTATCGATTGTAATCATCCACATAATGCCTTTGTACTACCCTACAAAGTCTTGAGGTCTGGCAATGCTGAACTAACACACCCGTAGCGACGATTATTGAGTTGACATTTAAATGCACCCGACTTCATTTCGTGTAAAGCCTGTACTTAGCAAAATAAAGGGGTATACAGTCGGTTTTTGTGACTGGAGCTCGACATCAAGGAGCTCCTCAGCAGAGGCCAACATTTTACTTCAAATCTGCACCCAGACCAGACCATAACCATCAGCAGAGACCTAACCCCACCCATGCTACTCAAATTCTTGGTTGAATCTTGACAAACACTGCCCTTAGAATTACTTGTGCCCACCCATGGAACAATAATGGGTGGGTTTGGGCATGGACACCCAATGTTGGGCTCTGCTCCTCAGACAGTGAAACAATAATGTTCGCACCTCGCTTGCTGAATTGATAGGTTCTGAGGGTTCATTATCACCTGATAAGTGCAAAACTATCAAAGTGATTGGCAGGTGGTATACAGACTTAAGGAAAAGACCAGAATGGAATTGTATGAAATTGAAAACTTGATGCAACCCCATCTACTGAGATACAAAGAAAAAGGCAAAAATTGCCAGATAAAATCCAACTTAGTGGCCAAAAGGAGTTGAGAGAGTCAAGCTCTATCCTTTTCTCCATGAAAAGTATTTTATAATTCACTCTCATCTTCAATACGGGTGATAGCATGAGTCATCAATCAAAGCTCTCATCATGAACTAGTAGATTTTGAAAGTTGAAGTTGTCTAACCAAAGACAACAAACAATACCGTGCAACCGAACATGACAAATAGTTAATCAAGTACAAAGATCCACAATATCATAACAAACTTAAATGTAAAAAACTTTTAAATTTTGAACAGGATAAATGAAAAAAGAACTAGATGATTGTGGTTAGATGACATATGAATGATCCAGTTAACACATGGATACTATGCTCAATTACATTAAAAAATGCCCTAATTTTACAAATCGTCTACATGCAAAAATCATATAATGTAAACTTTTCAAGAAGATTGTCACATGATATTTAAAATCAGTTCTATTTGAATCCATAAATAATTTTTATGTCTTACAACTTATGAGCAGATTACAGTGAATATCAATTTTTTAATATATCTTAGAATTAATTTCAACTAATTAGATCAAAAAATGATAAAAGTGGTTAAAAATGTAACAATTACCCAAAAAAACTGAAACATAGAAGAACTGTTAGGTCATATGTCAAGTAAAACACAATCATTTTGGATGATGATTTTCAAGAAAAGCTAGTTTCCCATCATAAGGCTACTCCGGGCGGGGCGAACATATGGGAATCTGAGGCTGCTATACGGTCACGTACCAAGCTAATAGGACTTCTAATAGGTCTGGGGACGACTAAAAATTCAATGACGTCTCATGCCAAATAATTATGTTAAAAGATAGATAATGTTTATTAATTGCTATACGTAGAATAGCAATTCAATGTGAAATTTTCATATATTTATTTACATTGTAAGCATGTTAAATCCAAGGTATTATATTGATAACCGAGAGAAATGTAGTGTTCAAAAAATATTTGAGTATAAAAAAACATTGATATAATATGTTCATAAATAAAGGAATTAATCTAACATGTATAAAAATATTAAAGTCATCAATAGGTCATATCATGTGAATATGAAATGTAATTAATTGATGTAAAGTTATATATAAAATTATTTATTTGCATTATAGTGATATTGCAAAACTATAACTTTTGAGATATTCAAATTCAAAATCTTAATCAATTTAATTTGAGCTTTTCATCACATTTTATTTTGAAAGTCAAAATCAGATTAAAATTTTTTTTCAATTTCATTTATATCATTTATAGTTTTTTTAGAAATTATGAATTATGTCTTATGTTGTCCAACATTATCACAATTGGTATTATTGCGATAAAATTTATATATTTATATATGTACTCAGATATATTTATTATAATTTCTAGCCAAATTCTAATAAACCAAGCATTAGATGATTTTTTATCTGGATGTGTAAGACTTTTCTTCTTAATGTGATTATATTGAGGTCTTGGTATTGGTTAGCGGTTCGAATTTATCCTTGCACACCTAGAAAAGGTAGTTACATACTCTCTTTGTATTCACTTGGTACCCTTCAGTTGTGTATTGTATGTTTTTGTGTCATCAACTTTTTCCAATCTCCACTAACTCATCAGAGTTCCACAATTTTCACTAAGAGTGAATGAGAACCATACATTCCAATGTTTTGTTAGAAACCTTTTCCGCTCAAGTGACAATGAATGACACCAAGGTAAATGATTAATCACATATTTAATTCAGTAAGTTTTAAAAATAATATTCATAATAAGTACTGACATATAAGTCCAGATTAATTTTGATGTGCAATGAAACAAGAATTATCTTACCAGTCTTCAGTATCGATCTTAGGTTTTTTAGTTCCCTGATATAACAAAAACTCCTGTTTGATAGGATCTCATTGTTATAACGATTAAATCTAAATCATTTTGCTGGATTTAAGAACATTTAGCTTCTTCTAGTTTTCACTTACTGATACTTTCAATGTCTAGAATGCAGACAATAAATAAATTTGATTGAAAAAAATAAAAATTGATATAATATTTGATTTATTGATTCAAGCAATCTCTTCAAATATATATATATAAAACGTGTGAAATAGTTTATGAAATTCATTATCGTAAATTTATATCATTGTCATAGTCCCTTTTTTGAACTCATTAAGAAAATCTCATGAAAGTTTCTGATAAAATATTTTTTCCATAGTAGAAATATTTAATACCAGAATTCAATCTTCATCTTAATTTCAAAAGCACCTACGAAAAAACTCATACACTGAGATTTATATTCCGAGTGGTAGAAATAAAAAATAAATTCCAGTGAGTTTGCTCAAATGGGGGAAAAAAATTCTTGACTTTGAAGGGCTTTGTAATTTATTTCAAATAAAAACTATTAGAAAATGATGATCATAGAAAATAAGGCTAAAATACTAACTCAGTATTATGATATATTTTAAGAAAATTTTTTTTATTGTAAATCCTGATTGGAAGATCATATACGAAACAAATATTTTGAAGGATCTCTTTTGTCTATGTTGTTCTGTCAGATAAGAATTAGATAACCCAAACGAAAATGGTGTGGGTTTGTGAAGTGAATTAAAAATATTAACAGTAAAGAGTTCTCAACATCAAACATCAACCTGAGAGGGTGATAAAATTCTTTCATATTTTGAGGCTTTCATATCTACTATGTGATGATATGCAGCCAAGATAGATAGAATAACACTCTAAGTAACCGGAACTACAGTACATGTAGGGAACACGTCAAGACGAATTATGTGGTCGGAGAAGATAACGCACTTTGTATTTGACGATAATATGTCCACATAAATGAGATGTGTTCTTTGTTTAGGTGGAAAGCTCTAAAATAGCATCATCGGGCCAATTTACGAGAAGTTCCGCTACTCAAGTCACCTCGACACAATGGCCCGGCACATATTTTTGTTAAGATTAAGTTGTAGGTTTTACAGTTCATTTTCCCCAACTTCAGTAAATAAGATTTCGAGTTACATAATAACAATATGTAGCAGGTAAAGTACAGCACACGGAACCTCGAACCTGTGATAATTACGCATGGACTCCCGTTAAGAACCGTACAGCAATGAACTGAATACAGTATCTTTTGACCGTTTAGCAGACAAGTCACACTCCGAGATGGAACTTTCATGGAATGAAGGGTGCTGTCGGGTTTGTAGTCTTCCGGCCTCGTACGCAAAATCCTTTTTCTCTTTAACACGTCTTTAATTTGGCACGCAGCTTGTCGAGGGCTGCATGGACTTGCGATACCAACCAGAGACGGAATTTCTGATACATCATTATGAGCGTACATGCTCGGCAGTCAAGCTCATTCTAATGGGACTGGTAACCTTGGTTAACAAGATCTAGCAAATTATGCGTCCATGGGGAGGGACAGAGCAGTATTGTACATGGAGTACTTGGCGCACGATACAGTACGCATAATGGTTTCTTTGTTCGTCAGCTCTCGAGTCTTGCTGTGGATGGACGATGGACGGTACTCCGATCAACTGACAAAGAGAATTTGGTGGAGTAGATGCCAAGACCGATGCACAATCGAAGGGAGAAGAGAAAGGGTGAAAAACAAATCATTGCAAACTGTTAACTGAATCAAGTACGCTGGGAATTGGGGCTGTACTAGAGAGAGAGAGAGAGAGAGAGGGGAGGGGGGCATGTCAGAACCTGCTGGGAAATTCAAAAAGCATGACTTGAACATGAGCAGGATTGCAATCATGGGACGATGAAGATGACTATATATTTCCGTCTAAAAGAGGAATTGTTGGATGAGAGGAGAGATGACTTACTACTGTAAGATTTGGTTGGTACGACACATCCAAACGCAGATTTACAGTTTGATAAGTCGGGTGGTTAGTTTGATGTACTCGAGCTCGATGGTACGCCAATTTGTCCAGCTTCAGAGTGTGGACTCAGGATAGATCTGTAGGCCTGCTTGCCTGCCTGCCTGCCTGCCTGCTACCTACCCGGGCCCCGGAGCCTGCTAATCTTATCTCTTCATCATTTGCTGCTCCGGAAAGAAGTGAGCAAGTATTTTACTTCTCGTCTGCTGATGAAGAGCTTAAGTTGTCGTGGACTTGCCTCTCGACTGTACGCCAGTTCTCAGCTCTCCAGCTGCTCTAGTCTGCTCCAGAGTCAGGATAGAAGTGGCTGCGTCCTTC